CAATAAAGAGCACCAATGCATCCTGGGGGGGGGAATTTACATTTCCTTTCCACGATATTTGGTTTCAAAGAACAAAACCAGGGAGGCAAAAAAAGGTAGAAACAAAAAAAAACCTTGGCAAGTATCGCCGCGGGAAATTTTCATCCCAGGGTTTTGCAGGGTGTTGGGTATTGCCGCACAGAAATTATTTTCTTAAAGCAGTTGGGAGGGACAGGGGGGTGGGTGTTCATATTTTTTTTTTTTTTCTTCCCTTCGGCGGTTTGCCCTGGTTAAATTTGACCATTGCCCTTGGGGCTTTTTGTTTGGATTGTTGAAACTTTTGCCCGGAGCCCTTGGGGGGGTCGCTCAGTTCGCCGAATTTTTCCACACCCTAAAAGAGACCCCCGCAAGCATGTTCAAAAGGGGGGGGGGGGGGGGGGGGGGGGCGACATGGTTCATGAACCACTGTGCGCGTGTTGACCTTTCAAACACCGCTTGCTGTGAACCAGACCAATTCGAAAATGCTATGAATCACTGTTCCTCCGCCATGTGACCCAAGGGCGGCATTTTTCATACACAGATCCTGGCACCTCTTGGAACCCAGGCGCCGATGCCAAGGGCAGAAAATGATGCAGAAAAAATATGAAAAAAAAATTCCAGGCCATCGCCGCGACGAATGACTTGAAAAGCGTACCTCTACAAATTATCCGGCAAAAGGGTTACCAAGCTCTACAGCACACCTCAGCGGATGGAGGGGAAATAGCGAACAACGGACAACCCCTCGTAGGTACAAGCTGCAGGCATGAGGTGCATCATTTACTTCGGTTGCACTCAATGAGAGAAAAGCTCACCCTCATGTTGGGGGTCATCTGGTTGATCTGGGCCTGCAGCTCCTGCATCTGCTTCCTGTAGCCTGACACCACCTCCTCCAGGCCTTGCGCATCCTTCGCTCCACGGTGTTTCTTCAGCTTGGACAGGTCCACCTTGCGTCATCGTCAAACGAACAAACAAACAGCGACACAGAGAGAGAGAGAGAGAGAGAGAGAGAGAGAACCGTCTCGTTGTCAAAGATCGCCGTCACTCAGGTCACTGAGGAGAAGCAACAAGATCACACTGTTCAGTGAATCGAGCGAACAAGATTCACAGTCCACAAAACCAGCCCAGTTTAACCGATCTGGCACTCATTAAATATTTATCACCATTGTTGTGGACGTGGTATCCCACACCCGCACCACCACAATCTCCTGCTGTAGTTGTGTACCACCAGACGAGTACCCCGTCACACAATATCCGCAATCAATAAAGCACCTCTTCGGTAAACATAGCTCACGTCCAAAGACCCTTCCTCAAACCTCTTCTGCTATCGGGGTAGCACACCCACAAAAATTACGCCATCTAGCCCGTCTCTCGAAAAAGGACCAGTGACCCGAACGAGTGGAAGCTCCTGCACACCAATCTTCGTGCATGGTTGGTTTAGTTCAATTGGTTCGAAGGTCTAGCACAGTCTGGACTAAGGGTTTCGATTCTCGATGCTTTACCCTCTTGCATAAGTCGAAGGGTCATTTTCCTGTGGCGAACTTAACGATCTGACACCATCTCTGACAATCACAGCTGTGAAAGCTGAAACCATCTACGCACATACAGCACGCGTTCTAGGCAAATATTCCCTGCGATCCAGATCATCTGCACAAACATTACCATAACCGAGGCAGTCAAGAACATCAGAATATCAGAATATCAGAATATCAGCTCGTGCGTGAGTAGTTGGTCGTCTTGTGCCCGGCACCCCCTTCGTGTCCAATTGTTTGAGTATACCTTTCTTAGGTAAGCTAGCCTGTGACAACGGGCATCACTCGGTCAAGTGTTTAATGAGTACGGACAGATCAAGGTACAGGGTAGAGAGATCGGAAAAGTTATTAATGTGAAGACAAAAACAACAACAACAACAGCAACCTTGCAGGAAAAATAGTTTCTCGTGCACTTCCCTAGGGACATTCGCAGATGACATACCATGCCACTAACGGCATGCCGGTACAACCCACCTCGAGCGCCTTCTCTCTGTCTTCCTTCACAGAGGCGTTTTGTGCCTGGCTGAAGTGGGCTGTGGACGAGCCCTGAGTGCCTGACACGCCAGACAGGCTCATGCCACTCGCGCCCGAGGACCTGGCTCCTCCTTCCATGCTGCTGTTCTGTACTCGTCGTCCCCAGGTCGAAAAACGGCGAAAGGGAAACAAAGGGTAAAAACAACAACGAGCAAAGAAAACGGGAAAAAAAAATTGGAACAGAGATAAACGCGAATGGGGGTGGTCGAAAATGACATGGTAGGGCGTACCCGACCTCAACGCAAAAAGTTTGCCGAAGATTTACACGGTGATACTCCGAGGGTAGGCAACAGCCAGCCTCGCCTTCCGTTGGCTAATGCTGTCATTGGCGAACCTGATGGCAACGCGGTCGAACAGTATTTCCGGGCAATGAGATACGAGACACCCCGCAAATCGTTTTGACCGCTCGCAGCACGACACTTTTTGAGATGGGTTACGAGGTGCGACATAGTGAGCGAAAGACCTACCCAACACTTAGCTGGCATGGCACTCTCTTGCCGAGGAGAATATCACAAAGATTCTAATATCGGTGCGGGAAAGCCGAGACATGCAGCATAACACGACCGGTTCAGGCAACACCAACGGTACTTAAGCACCACATCACCACCACCACCAACCACGGACAACATGGGAACCGGAGCCAACAGACCTCTTCGGAGTGTTCTTCCTCTTCCTCCTCCTCCTCGTCCCCGTCTTCCCCCCTGCTCCTCTTCCGGCTGCGGGTCTTCTCTCCCTCCCCTCCCCCCGCCAACGTACCGCCTCCCACAAGCGGGAGCGCTACCTGCTCCACACGGGCCTCCTGGAGGACACCGTGGAGCTTGGCACGAAGCTGCTCCAGGGCAGATTCCTCCGACATGATGCGCTTGCTGATGCCGTCCCGCTCCTGCAAACGTTGTTGGGGGGGAGGGGGGGCGGTTCGGCAAAAACGGAGGGCGATGTCGACGTTCGTGTGGTTGGCTTGATTTGAGGTGTTGGGAATATGGTCGGCGAAATAATACAACCAGCGCTGATTGCAGACGTTGGGATAGGCGCCAATGCGCCACAGGAGTGAGAGGAAACCTAACCGCCATTCCTCCGCCTTACCTCTCCCGTGATTGGTGCTTGATTGAGGCCTTGATAGTGTAGCGGTACAAAAAAAATGAAAACCATTCACTTTCAAGCCATCCTCCTCTGTATTTCTTCTCGCTCGCGCACGGATAGGTGGTTTATCTCTGGCGTCCGGAGGACCTAAACACCGGTACCATCGACCAACATCCTTCGTCGTTGGTAAATGGATCCACGCATTGCAGCGAAACAAGAAGAGTATCAGACAGACTTTCAAGAGCACTTCAAACGCCGTTTCGCGCCTCGCCCCACCTACACCCCAACCGAACAAAACACAGCGTGGAATTGAACTTTCTGGTTCTGGCCGTGTTTGTTTCAAACTCAAAGGGTTTCAGATCCGTGGAGCAACGAAAAACGGGCTGGTCTCCAAAGTGCACTCAACGTTTCCCACGAAAGCTCTTCTCGATTTTTCACTGTCTGTCACGCCGTTGCGATTGAGTTGACCAATCTAGGCACCGCTCCGCGTAGCCAACTCTCTTGTCCTCTTCCGAGTACCAACTGCCGTACCGTACCGTTGCCTCCCAACACAGCCAGGAAGCCGTGTGCATGGAAAGGGCACCCACCCACCTGTCTTGTCCCTGTCTTGCTCCCTTTCTTTCTCTACTGCACCGTCGGAGCCACATTGTTCTCAGTCGCACAGTCACAGGCTTCAAACATACAACCTCCAAGACACACCTTGACGAGTTTCTGTCTGCCGGAATGAGCTGCCTTGACCTCCCCCTCGTGTCTTCTCGCAACCTCCTTCGCCGCTAGGTGCTCCTTGGCCGCCTCGTCCTCGGCCTCCATGATGCTCTATCATATCGCGAGGACCGATATATACACAGCCGGCGTCAGAAGGGGTGACAAGCACAGGGGGGCTCTTCGAAATAGTTGTTGCAAGCGTGGGACGGGGAGGAAGGGGGATCAGACCTTCAGCCGCCACGGCATCAATGAACATATACAGTAGTGCGAAAAATAAAAGTGGAACACGACCACAGCAGTACGGGGAAGGAGAAGGTGTGGGCGCGTCGTTGTGGGGGGGGGTGTGGAGGCTGAAGGGAACGTAATCTGCTTGTGCGGATAAACGGTGTTGTGAACTCACGGACCCGCTTGCAACTTTCCGCGATACGGTCACGTAATTGATCCGTGGGCAGTAACGTCACCAGTTCGTGGCGTTGCGGAAGGAGATGTAGGGCCCTACTTGCGAAGTGGTAACAGAGAGAGAAAATGTCAACAAGGAGAACAGGTCACCTATCCTAAGGCACGCCGCTCTCTCTCTCTCTCTCTCTCTCTCTCTCTCTCTCTCTCTCTCTCTCTCTCTCTCTCTCTCTCTGTCGACGAACTCTCCCTTACCTTTTCTCTCTCGACCAGTTCCTCCATCTTGACATGCTGGTCCTCCAGTTCCTTCCTCCGCGCGTTGATCTTTCGCGTAAGCTTGTCCAACGGGCCGTCGAAATCGCGGCTACGCTCGTGTGCCAGCTGGGCCTAAAGGGATAGGGCCAAAACCATCAGACAGGCGAGACGAACAAATAAATCCACAGATATTGCTAGACCACATAAAATATATTTGAGAATGTGACCAACACAGCGATGAAAAGACATCAAACTCCCCGAATGCAATCTGCGTCGAGTGATTTCACCCGACCTCTCGGCCGTCTATTCGCTCGCGCAAATCGTAGAAAACCCACTATTGCCTCTTTAACCTACAAAACTGTCACGAATGTCTTCAGCGGTGGTTGCTCGGCACAAAGAGTGAAGCTGTCTCTGCCATGCACGTATTCGCACAAGCAACTTGGTCAAGTACGAACGTGTTTCGCCTCTCACCCCTGCTCAGAATACCCAATGCCTACACCCAAGCACAAGTCGGGCAGAATGACTATTGTTGTCGACCACGGCTTCAAGCAAATCTGTCTGCTGTACCCTCTGTCCTGCTGTATCCTCTCGGCCGACCGGCCGGCGAAGGTCAGGTCACCTCTTTACCTCTAGCTTGGAGCGGTGCTGCTGTAGCTTCATGCGCGCCTTGTACTGCTCCTGCATGTCCTTCAGCTGGCCTTCCTCGAACGAGCGGATGTCGCTCGCGCCCACGCTCTTCAGGAACGGTGCGAACACCTGCGCGGCCACGTCACGTAACGAATCGTGTTCTCATTACTTCCGCGGCAAGATGGTCGGGTGATTGGCTGAGGTAGGTGGTTGGATTGGTTGATGAATCGGTTGGTCGATGGATATACGGCAGCACCAGCAGCACCAGCAACTGAGACTAAAGCGACGGCCTAAGGCTACAGCCTCAAGAACAGCCGCAACAAAATACGAAAACCTGCGGAGCAAGAGTTGTACCGGGCGAACCACCACCCGTCTTTCGCCGTACCCCATAGCTCCACGGAACCGCTGCCGAACGCATCAAAACCAACACAAACATGCCGAAAAAAATGGTGCTATCGCCCGTAAACACCGGAACCTTAGCCCCCCGTGAAGACCAGAAGAACATACCAAAGCTGAAATCTCGACCGGCAAGCTTTACGGCCTCCGTCACCCCCGTTTACCTCATTTTCCACGGCGTCGACCTTGTTCTGTAGCGAAAGCAGAGAGGCCTCGAGCCTGCTGACGTCTGCCTCCCTCTCCCCTAGCTCCGCGTTCACCTGCGGGAAGCAGTTACGGACGGCAGCACCGCGAACGGCAAAGCTTGGGTGAAGGCGGTGACGTCCTCACCTCAAAATACCTCTCTTCCCTCAACGTGCAAACATAAACCGTCCGTCGTGTCCGCAACCTGAGTCGGGGCTTGCGTTCTTCAGTGCGCCTCTACATGTATTGCCCTGACCAACAAGATACACTCGTCAGAATCACTTTCCTCTTGGAACCATCTGCCGGTTAATATTCCAGGAGGGAAGGGAGCGCCGGAAGGAGGGATAAATCTTGCGCTGCTGTCCCAACATAAGTAGGTACACGTTCGAATCCTTGGAGGGGGGTGGGTGGGAGGACAGCTGTGTATGGATGAGTTACACGTGGGCATGTATCCACTTGCTTTTATCGCCAGTCGACAGAGAACCTATTGAGGGCCTCAAACTGTCTGCGCGGCGCTTGTAGGTAGCCAATACTTTGCAAGTTTTGGCTCGTGGATGACACGTTATCTCCATCGTTGCTGCTTGTTCAGCCCTAGGCATCTCTCAGCGCGGTGTAGACACCCTCTGCCCTCGCCGCAACACCAAAAAAGCCTGCCAATCTCTGTGCGACACCAACGACCGCCCCGTTCATCTCTGAGGTAGAGCGCGCAGATGAAATAGCGTGGGCCGGTGCTTGCGCATAGGGTCTTCTCGAAGGAAAATGGGGTTGGGGTGGGGGTACCTTGGCCCTGTCGATCTCTGCCGCCTCCTGGTGCTTCCCAATGCTCTTCAGCTCCTCCCTTGTGATGTCCAGGTCTGCTGAACTGTGCTTCTCGCGGTTGGCCAACCCTCGGATCTTGGTCTCGAGCTCAGTCTGCACGTGGGTGTGACGGGCGACGGGCGTCATTGTGTAAGGCGAGAGCGGGAGGTGGAGAGAACGGGGAGGGCAGCAACAAAAAAAAAAAACAACAGCAACAAAAAAAAAAAAACATAACAACGAAGACAGCAACAACAGATTTTCCAGCAACCAAAAAAACAAACAGTTGGTCGTGCCTTGAGGGATCGGTTCCGGTGTTCCCTGGAAAGCGTTTCCCTCTCGCCCTCCAGCTCCTGCCGCCGCTGCTTGAGCTCCGAGAACTCCTTCTCGTCCCACTGTCCAGCGCGCGCTAGGTCGCGAGTCGTGGTCCCACCGGTCATGTTGCCCGACTTGCTGATCAAGAACCCGTTCAGGGTGACGGCCTTGATCTGGTTTCATTCATGTCGTTTGGTTGGGGTGCGGTGGTCGTTTCGGGGCAGAGTGAGATGGGCCGTGTCACAGCTCAGGCGTTGACGGGTGTACTGTACTGTCGACTGCTTTGTTTTCTTGTTCAGTCGTTGTCGAGCACACCTGTATCGTAAACCCGTTCGGGTCAACCGCCTCGAGCACACCTACTGTTTCAACGCAGTTGTCGAACGTGTCACCGAAAATCCAACATGATACTCCGAAGTATGTAATATAATGAATAGTGTCCCTCGTTCCTCCCGTTGTCTTACCATCGGCCTGATGGCTAACTAATATTCCGTTCTTCTGGTAATTGGCGAACTACACCACCGCGACGCACACTTCCAACATCCGCTGCGAAAATCCATACTCTCTCATTCGCTAAGGCAAAAGAACCCGCCTGTTGTAATTCCTGCAAGTCTTGGTCTAAGCACTGCAGATCCCACCAATACGCCTTGTACGCTAAATTTCGGGTACCTGAGACAATCTTGCCAGGGTACCTCCCTCTCGTGACATTTAGCATTGATCCGATATTCAACTTCCACCAATTCGGCAGCTAACGTTCGCCGCAGCCCCCAACCGAGCTATCGCCGCTGTTATGCAGTTTTCACACAGTGCCTCCTGGTTTGTCTCTTTCCCGTCTGCGGCGAAAACCACTTCTGCCGTGCCCCCACATGCACAGGTCAACTGCCGTTTCCATCCGTCGCCTTCTTCAACCTCTCGCCCAACCATTCTTGCCAACGCATCCCTTTTCCTTTGCCCCCAAACGTCCGCGCCGGTGCTGTGCTGCCTGCTACCCCACGAGCAAGCAACTTGCCTTCTTGTCCTCGCCACTGCCGAAGCAGAGGTCGCGCGCGGCATCAAGGGTATCGCTGACGATGGTGTTCCCGACCGCGAAGAGGATTGCCTTCCTCACACCGTCGTCTCCTCCCTGCATGATGTCCGCGCACAGCCGGTGGCTGCATTGAAAATGTTTTTAACGTGTTTCACAGAAAATAAGAAGGAAATTGTCAAGTGAAAGACAATAAGGCTGGTGTTCTCTCTCGGCATGATACCTCAGTTGCAAGGAACCTACCATACCATTAGGTGGGAAAATCGACCAGAGCAAGAAAAAGGGGAGTGACCTCGTCTCATGATGCTCTCGCACCTTCAACACGAGCCGATTACACCAAATAGTGTACTCGGGTATTGGCCTCGCCGGAGGATGGGTGCATTGGTTCAGTTCAGTGCGCAGGGAAGTGCCAGAGTGATGTTTGGGTTCAGAGTGCAACGACAGTTTCGAATGTGTCTGTCTGCTTAGCATGGGGAAGAAACACGCTACATTGTAGTTATGTTGATAGGATTTCAACTCACAGGACAAGAAAAGAACAAGGGCAGGCAAAGGTACTCTATGTTGATGTTATGTTAATGTCTCCGTGTTGTTCAGGGAATGGGTAGAGATCCGTGCCGGAAAGCCATGGTAAAAGACACAAGCAAGAAAAGAAACAGGAACGAGTGCGACAACAACAACCATTCACACTTTCGCTTCCGCTACTGACTCTACGACTGTACTTCTGGTGGCGGTTGTGGTAGCTATAGCAGCGCTCACCTCGGGCCTAGTGAACGAAGGCTCTCGCTGATGGGCTTGACCTTGATGGTGTCGAGGGGGATAAACTGAGCCCTGCCGACCTTGTTGGTCTGCATGTACGACAGGCACTCCAGGCACTCCGCCTTTGTGTCGACCACTATGGCTTCCATGTACTGAAAAAGAACACGTTCAGCAACAGACGGCAAATTAATGGACCAGAGGTGTAACCTCGGGAGAGCGAGAAGAAGCGAGGGCGAAAACAAAAATGTTCGATGAAACCGCTGCGACGTAAACGGAGTGAAAAGGGGGGGTAGAGACGTGAGACCGGGGAGAGTGAGTCGTTGGGAGGAGGGGACGCGGTGGATGAAGGTAAATGAAACGGTGAAACTGTTGCATCATAGGTACGCATCACACAGCCGTGCTCGTTACGCAATCACGACAGTTGCAGACACAGTAGACGCTAGCACCCAAAAAAGCAAGAGCAGGAGATCGCCGTATGCCGCAGAAGCAACTCCCAAACCATATGATTATCTTCTCGCTCCAGAATCAACGTACGTCTGTACGTTCGGGCGTAAACATGGACACCCGAGATTACCAGCGTGTGGGAAAAACACCGACACCAAAAAGAAGAGCTTTGGGGCAAAGCAGTAATTCCTACGAAAGGCGACAGAATCGACCACTATGAATGAACTCACTCTGCCGGCGGCGGTAGTAACGGCCACGTTGAACTTCCTCTGGGTCGGCTTGCACAGGTCCACCAGGCGGCCCCTAACCCCGGGATAAATGCGCTTCAACGTCTGTTGGCAATGGTGGTGGTGGTGGTGGTGGTGGTGGTTATCGTTGCTGTTGTTGGTGGTGGTAAATAACATTGCCACGTACTAAGTTTTGGTGTGATTTCATGCCGTTCAGATCCTGGAAGTGGGATAGCGGGAAGGAAAGAGGCATAGCAGAGTCACAGGCTCGCGCACCCCGAAGGAGTTTGGTGGATAGGGATAGCCAGAGTACTTATCCAATGAGGGTTATCGAGCTGCTGCTTCTGCTGCATGAGTCTCGGATATGAACCACTCAACCCTGAGCACTATATCGTGTGCATAATATACTCACTGAGCCCTTCGCTAGTCTTCCGGCTTGTTTGACACTCGCCAACCACATCCGTATTCCTCCATCAAAAATAATTCTGGATTCAAGCCTGCAGCGTTCTTCTCCTCGCCGATGTCGCCGGCCGCCTCGCCCTGTTGCCAATAGCATTGCTGCAACGTGCTTCACATTTCATAAACTCCCTCGGACCTTTGATAGAGCGACGGCAGTCTTTGTCCCCTGGTTCTGACACAACAGTGCGTTCTCTGCTGAACAAAACACATCCATGTGTAACGCATTCCCACAAAACTACAGTACATAGCCCGTGTTCTTGGATGACTTACCTCTAGGCAATCGGCCATCTTCTCCTGTTGCTTGGTCATGCGTCGGTCGTCTTTGGCGTCCCTGAGCTGCTCGTTGATGGACCGAAGGGCCTCGTCGATCTAGGCACAGGGTACACGGTTACAGGGTACGGGGAATGAGATACAGAGTACAAGTACAGGGTACAAGGTGCAGGAGGCAATTATGTGCTACACATGTTGGGGTTACAATGAACGGTAGAGGACTTGAGGTTGGTTGGACTTGTGTCGAGTTGGGACGAGTGGTACCGCGAATACAAGTGCGTGAAGTACATACAAGTACATGGTACTGAATGCCATGTGATTTGATATTTTAGGTTGCCGTTCACTCACCGTCCACTACATGTATGGTTACGTTTCAGCGCTGGTGAACCCTCCCACGTGCCTGCATCGGTGGCGCGCTAGCAACATCATATCCCAGCAGGCGTCGCACCAACCAATAGGACGAAAACCACGCCATATTGACAAGCACACTGACTGGCATGGGCAGCAGAAAGACGTTGTACGGTGTACCACAGCAGCCGTGGCCGGTACAGTGACGTCATCCTTCTACAGCAGACATTGACAGACAAATCTCAAGGCAACTACAATAGGACTCAAGCGGTGACATCCGCCCCACGTCCGTCGCCCTGAGAACGACAGCGGCCATGGTGCATACCGTACCAACAGAAGCAAAGCCTGCACCAGAAAAACTTAGTGGTGACATCCGCCCCACGTCCGTCGCCCTGAGGAAGACAGCGGCCATGGTGCATACCGTACCAACAGAAGCAGACCTGACGCGAAAAACACCACAAACGACTGGTCGCGTCCGCCCTACCTCCGTTGCCCTGAGGGCGTCGCCCTTGCTCCTCCCAGTCAGTTCGTCTAGCTGGCTCTGCAGCTCGGCGCGGTCCAAGGCAGCCTTCTTCGTGGTCTTCTCCATGTCGCTCCGACGCTGACGGAACCTCTTCGCGCTCGCGTCGAAGCCAGACAGCCGCTCGTCGAGAGATGCCTTTGGTTTGGGGTGGCATGTTAGGAAAACACACGAGGTAGGAGGAGAGACACACACACACAGAGAGAGAGAGAGAGAGAGAGAGAGAGAGAGAGAGAGAGAGAATGGGTCGCATGGCACCAGCGCATGCACGTTTTTGGCAACAAACAACACCACAAAGTCAAGGATCTTGTCTGTTTGATGCTTGAAAAGAAATTCCTTGAAATTCGTTCACGTTCGAGACCCATAATATCTTCATTCCACGACAAAACCTTGAGGCTAGCAGGGGCTTTTCGTTCAAGAGTCCACAGGTAGGGGTGCTTGATCGATCGACCAGCGACAACAATCACGTCATCGCTTACATCGACAGAGCTAGGACTCGAGCAAGCTCATCCTCTTACGACGCTTACGGCAACCGAGCAACAATACTACGGGAAAACATGGCCCCGAATCCATGCAACCTTCACATTGCAACACGATTTCCCTGTTGTTCCTGTTCCACACCTTCAACGGGCAGGATGCACCAATCCAGAGAAACACCCAAAAGAGAACGACCTTGAGAAGCAGTCCCCAACACAAAACGTAAATCGTTGGAGTTTTTCGCAAGGAGCGCAAGCAAGGTACTGACGGTCAGAGTTGACGAGGAGGCGTGTTGCCGTGGGGGTCCTTCAGACAAGAAATATACTTCGCGGGCCCCCCAACAAGCGCACACACCAGTGGATGGCAGCCTCACCCCGTCTGTCACCAAATAGAGCAATACCCTGGCAAAGAACAGCAGACGGTACACCTGCCGAGCTGGCCCGGCCGAATCCCCCACCTACCTGCTCCGAGCGAAGCTGATCGACCTTGGACCTAGAGTTCGTGAGCTGTCGCTCGACGTCGGCCATCTCCTCCCGCTCGCCGGAGCCTCTCTCTCGCGCATCGGCCTTGAGCTTCTCGTACTCCTGTGGCGTACGTGCAAAAGTTTGATACATCTTGTTTGTTTGCATGGGTGAAAGCAAAAGGTAGTTAGAAAAGAATGCAACTATTCTAGAAAGTCGCCGGTAGCTGGTGCGTGGTGTCTGCATCCGCTGCACTGCTACCACGTGCACGCCCTCGGTCCTGTGGACGTGCATAGTACTGTACGAGGTGATGCTGAAAGCGCAACCTTGGTTTTCGTGCTTTCGTTGGCATTCCTGACAGCATCCTTCCAAGGGCTTATGATGCCTGGTGCAATGGGGGTTGAACAACAAGACCTGTCTTTGCACCATGCACACCAAACACATCCAGACATGACATGAGACGAGAGACGAGAGAAGAGAGACGAGTGTGACTCACCGCCGCCTTCGCCTCGCTAAGCCGCGCCAGGCCCCCGCTGCTGCCGCCGCCACCCTTCTTCCCCTTGCCCTTGCCGTCCGACACCGCAGCCTCTTCGCGCTGCTTGACGGCTGCGATGTCGCGAGACAGAGCGGCCACGGTGCCGCGCTGTGCATCCCGATCACGGCCTATCTTCTCCAAGGCCTTGTCACCGTCGGCCACCTTTTTTCGTGTGTGTGTGTGTGCATATATGTTCTAAATTAACAACGACCGCGCTTTCCGCCTGACACTCAAACGACGTCATTGATACAATAGCGTGTGTGTTGTCCAGCAACATGAATCTATAGCGTACCAAGACACCAAGACATGGTATATCAAGACAGCTGAGAAACCTCGCAGGGGACATTGGAGCGCAATACCGTATCGCCAAAAAATCAAAAGGGGACCCGGGGAAGCTTCTCCGCCACCTCAACCATGTTAGATACCGCATTCGGTGCTGGAACTACTTCGTAGCCACGGGCAAAAAAACAGTTTTGCTCAAGTGCGGGCAGGTGCGCTGTGCATGGAACGCAACCAACACCGACCAACTGGGCGTGGCGAGCGAGAGTACCTACCTGCCGCTTGAGCGTGCTGATGCCCCCCTTGATCTTGATGTGCTGGGGGCCCATGTCGTCACGGAGACGCTTCTGCTGGTTCAGCTCCGCCTGTGCCTTCTGCAGCTCGCGGTTCAGCCTCGCCATTTCCTTCTTCTTGCTCTGCGAGGATCGGGACACGTACACACTTTTCTAGATCAAGCTGCTTTTGTCTGGCTCATGCTGCATCCCCTCGGGACCCACGTAGATGTACAAGCACAACACCCGCAGTTGTAGATCAACATGTTTTGGGTCTAGCTTAATTTGTTTCGCCTCCTCGGAACACGCACAAATGTACATGCCATGCACGCTTCTCGATGGATGATGCTTCGCATGGCTTCATTTCTGCAACTCCTTCTTGCGAGGCGAGGCGAGTACTTGCTTGCAGACGGGCACCACGTACTTGGGGTTAGCAGCCCTTGTTAAGGGTGGTTGACGACTTCTCTATATTCAACTTTTTCTCTGTGCGGAACGAGCTGTATCGCACAAGATCGTGTCATCGGCAAGAACACTCTTGGGGTCTCGTACTCGGCAAACTATCCTCCTTGCACGGCAGTGCACTGCACAGCATCATCGGTGAAACTGCCAAATAAACGATTATGTGTGTATCGGTCGAAAGGGTTTCTCCTCCGACATGCAATATTGTGTTGACTGCGCAGCTCCTATTTGAAAAAAGCGCACGTGTTGTAATGACTATAATTGTTGCGGTTACGATATTTCTCTTTTTATTTCTCTCGTTCTTTCTCTCTCTCTCATTGTCTCTCGGCCCACTCTCCCGTCTCAGAACGCCACACTGACACCGCCGAACTGCACGCACACATAATACTACGTAACATATCTTGTAACCCCCACCTTGAGAATAACGTCCGCCGCCTTCTCCCTCTCCTGTGCTTCCTCTAGCTCTTCCCTCATCAGCTTGATGTCCTCCTCGCGCTCGTCGACATCCTGAAACAAGACACGATAAATCCAGATACCGTTGAACAAACCATTCCATTCTTACAGGCACGATTTCCTGATGAGACCAGTGGACAACACATACCATGGATGAACACATCATGAAAGAGCCATACGTCGTTGGTTTTCTGCATCTAAAGATGAACAGCGAATCTACGTCTGACGACGAGGACGATTGATAAATGATAAATATAGGGTGCGTTATGTTGGCGCAGACAGACTCAAGTTTGTAGCATGGGAGTGTGTCTCTCTTTCCTGATCCATGTTTGACACGTGACATGGGGATAATCTCTCTCTCCTTTTTCACATTTCCCAACTGTTTCTGTTCATTTGACTCTCTTCCTCCTCATATATGATACTCGGGTGCCCCTCCCGCCCTGTTCCTATCTCTGTGGATGCCCTCCCGACCCAGTTGCGGGATTCCTCTCTTGCCTTGTTGATGTGAAACAGCTGGACAAGGAAGCTCTCGATCTTCAGGTCCTCCATCTCCTTCAGCTTCTTCTGGAACCTCTCCGCTTCCTCCTTCTGCTCCTTTACCTGTGACACGAAACAGTGACAAACAACCACGACTTGTCAGGCAAAAGAAACACCAGGCAATACGACGCATCGCTACAGCCCGCACGAGACCTCTCGACTCCACCGCGACTAGGTGCTGCTCGCGGAAGCACATGCAGGCCGAGAGTACGGCGCTACAATACCCGGAAGAACGAGAGGCGACCAGTTTGTCACATCTCCAACGCAGCACGTCGATGGCTACTTCCCAGCATATTTCGCTCCTGTACACCGGCACTACCGCCACGAACGGTATCCAGCATCTAGCCCTACGGGTATTTATCTTGCCGACCCTACATCTGCTGCTGCTGCTGCTGCTGCTGCTACTGCTGCAGGATTCATACCATAACTGCCGCCATGACGAGTCATGTCGCGAGGCTTCTACGCTGCTGGGGTTCACACTCTAACCTTTCGCAGCCGCCGTCGACTGTTGCAAGTGTCTCACCACAAGTTGTTGTGCACTACTGCCGTAGACTATGCTGACTACATCGCTAACCCCTTGCCTGCTTTCGCTCCGCCTGGCAACCCTTCTTCCTCTTGAAGCTAAAGATGGTGTCCTCCTCCGCCTTCTCCTTCGCAGCCTTTAGCTCCTCGTACTCAGCCCTGTGTGTTCAGAGGACAAGCAAATAACGCGCACGGGAACCAAGTGCGCATGCACTCTCAAACGGCTCGGCATGAAGCACAAGATGGGTCGGCGCAAGGCGTGGAGTATGCCTTTGGAGTGGCCTCGCCCCCCCGGCTGTGAGAGTTGGTCGGCGTGCAGATCCTTCGAACAATGAGGTAGAAAAGAAGAAAGAAGTGAGGGAATGTGTTCCAAACGCTGGTGGTTGCGATGGTTTCATGCTCATCGTCCACAATTAGGTGGCCTACAAACGCCCCCTGTTGCCAAGAATGACATCGGTACCCCAAAGGGGTACGGCACTTCCACTGTGAACAGGAACCGAATCTCTTTCCAACAGGCTCACAACAACCAACCGTGGCTATGGTATAGCGCTAGTTCGTGTGTACACAGAGGGAAGAGAGTGCTGAACTCTTCTCGCATTAAAAATCGTAGGCAAAGTACCGCAGGAGGGGAGGGTAGAGAGGAACTCTTCTGTGTGACCACGGGTCGGAATAAACGGCACTAGTGCTGTGAGTGCTGATTTGAAGTGAAGAACAAAAAAAAAAAAAAAAAATGGTAGCTCACTTGGACTCGTCTGAGCCGCTGATCTGCTCGAACAGCTGCGTGAGCTCCTTGGGCGACTTTGAGGCGATGGACTCCACGTCTCCCTGGAAGACGAGAAAGTTTCGGGCCTTGACCAGAACCCCGATGCTCCTCAGTCGCTTCTCGTAGCTTTCCCAGGTCACCTGCGGGCAACGTTGTTAGTGCTGGGTTGGTATTGTTGTTGTTGTTGCTGTTGCTGTTGCTGTTCTTTTGGTTAATCGCTGTCATTTTCTTCCCCCGTGTTCCGTATTTTGCTCTGTTTCGGTGGTGGTGGTGCTAGGGTCGACATGCCGACATGTTCTTTTACCACCACGGTTGCGGCGAGCGCGTCAATATCACAACAACAAAAAACGTACTGCAGTGTAGCACGGGCTTGAAAACACACCGCCGACAGCTGTACCAAACCTCATCACATCTTGCGGGCCACACCACACATCTACCACCCCGAGTCATCACCACGCGACAGGATGAACGAGGTGCAAAGAGGTGCATACCTCTTTGTCGTTCAAGCGGTAGGAAGACGCTCCCCCCGCGCTGATTACCCTGCTGAAGTGGACCTCGTCCCCGGCCTCCTGCCCTCCCACCTCCTCGCCTTCACCCACCATATACACCACCTTCACACGACACGGTCGGTTGTGTGAGGCATGACGGGGGCGGCAGAGTATTAGCATCGACCGCGCTAACCGGCCGACCAATGAAAAGACGACGGTCTCTGCCGTTCAAACGCAAAATGCTTCTACAGGCCATGTGATCTCTGTGGGTGGGTGTTTGATGGTCTTGCATGCATAGGACACGTTGACCGACTGACCACCCACCCAGATTCTGATTGTCCCTTCGTAGCTCGACCGATCAAACAACGCGACTCAGAGCAGGTGGATGCTTCCCGAACTGACCGACTGAGTGGCTGGCAGATTGACTGACTAGCGTACCTTGACCATCGCACGGCGAGACGAAGGCACCGCGCCGTCGGCCCGGAAAACGAGGTCGCTGAGCTTGGTCGACCGCAGGTGCTTCGACTGCACGCCAAGGACGAAGCTGCCCGACACACAACCGGCGGTGGCAGCATCGGCGAAGACAGCGGACCGCGCGCGCGTGTGGGAATGTGCGGGAGGAGGGGGGAGTTACACGTTATTCCCGGGCAAAATCGTTGGGGTGACACCACCAAGCCCTCCCCTCCGTTCGTTTTGAGAGTGAGTGCGCGCTGTGAGGAGAAGGGGAGCTCTCGGTGGTCTGCTCGCCAGCGAAGCATGGGCTTTGCGTAAAATTACCACTGCAAAACAGCAACGTTTGGCGAGGGGTCCGGCCCCGGAGATCTCTACTCACAATCCCAGTGATTAAGCCGCAAGCCCATGTGATCCAGCCTGGTGCTAACGAGCTCTGAGCGTATCTTTCATGCGATAAAAATAGACCATCCGTCTAGTCAACGTTGGCTAGACGGATGGTCTAATTTTATCGCATATGGGCGTGCTGGGATCATTGACCCTATGATACACAGCAGTACGACACCCTTTTCGAGAGAGATCGAGGGACGGAGGAGGATATCCACGTGACACTGCATACGTAGAACCACGCTGTAGCGCAATTGTGGGGGCAGATGCGAGGAGATAAAGCCGGACGGCCGAAATAAACACGCTATACATGGACGCGTGATGGGGCAAAGCGACAGAGCAGAGGGGAGAAGACAGCGTTTCGTCAGAGCATTCGAAACGACTTTCTGCGTCGCGCCCAGGCGTTTCTCGACAATATGTATGATACCACACCTATTGCGCAAAACAGTGGGCAAGTGTCAAAGGCGTGACTTCGCCGATCTCTGGAGAGGCATGCTCTTACCCCACTGTAGGAAGGTCCTGCTCTCAGTCTGCTGTGTCTACAAACAACATGGGGGGTGTTGTCATGAGTCTCAGGTCACGACTGCTGTAGATCCACTGAAGTACTGCTGTAAGTAGCTTTAGAGACACAACCAGGAGAAAACTCGCCAACAACCACGACTGCGCAGCAAAGCAGTAGAACGACACCCCATCAAAGCATCGCAAAGTCAACGAGGTGGTGTGCCTTGCCCCGATGCCAAACTGCAGGTGACTGCATGCTGTATTGCCGTGCCAACAGACCGCCCTCTTCGCCGTATCATACGCTACCTGATGGCATCCATGAGGTTGGATTTTCCGGCACCATTGGGCCCTATCACCGCGGTGAAGTCCTTGAAAGGGCCGATGATCTGAGTCCCGGCATAGGACTTGAAGTTCTCCGCTTCGATTCGTATGAGACGCCCCATCCTCTCCTTCTCTCTCCTCGGTGGGTGCGCGTTTTCAAACTGGCGTCGTCGCTCTTGCGCGCTGTTTCAAATTTCAAACTGCAGCCCGCAGCAGTGCGATTTTGGTGTGCGTGTCGAGAGCTCGTCCTCGCTTCCTCGCAGCCACACCGAATCCAAAACCAAGCAGCTAGAACTTCGCAGATCGTCCACCCGGAGAGAGGAAGGGTGAAACGGCGGGGAACAAGGGCACAGCAGACACTCAGAGCGGAGCACACGAGCGAGGAACGCTGGCTGAGGACTGAGGACGAGAGGGGGCTCCGCGGATATCTTTCTTCTCCAGCCTTCAGCACCCCCCTCTATATTTCCCACAAGCACTGCCCTGCTGCCCCCGTGGTCTCCACACATCGCTGTCCACGAATCGTTAGGTAGAGATATGTACACATTCAATTCGCCGGAGGTTGGTGTGTGCAGCGGTGATACCCCCGCTTCCCTTGGGCACTTCAGCCCGTTTCCGTTGGGAACATAGGGATGTGTGATAAATATTTGCAAACGAAGTCGATTTGTGGGAATGTACGCAAAAGACGGCTCTGTAGACTGCTTCAAAGTGTAATGAAGTCAGAGATACGGTGGACCAGGGACATGGCGGATCTCGCCCGAAGGCTCCCGGACAGTGTGGAGAGCGGAAGAAGTGCGGGCCAACCGAGTCGATCTTGTTGCCGTGTTTTGTCGGGAAGGTGGGGGTTCCTACCAACATTGCCACGCTGAGAAATCCCCCTGGGAGAGGAACATCACCAACGGCTTGAGGCCATGTGTTGAGAATGTGTGCTGGAGATTGGCGACGGGATAAACACAAGCAACGACGCCTCCTTTTGACGAGGAAAGTAGGCCCGCGTATTCAAGCGAAAGCACACGACATTTTCCATACATGTCGTGATGGATGCGCGTCTGCTTGTTTTCGGATGATCAGTAAAAAAGTTCATCGTTAAAAATATGTCACGTGTGCGCGCGTGTCCGAACGTTACGTCTCTCGCAGCAGCTCACACCAAACTACTATGTGCTTGTAGTGAGAACACGTTTCAAAAATCAAAATCGAACTCGCTGTCTACAGGTTGTCACCCATCTCCAGACCCACATGTGGTCTACCGCTGCACGCCAGCAAACCATGCAACAAAAATACGCATAAAAAAAAAACCGCCAACTACTCAAGGAAAAGCAAAGAAACGCCACCGAAAATACTGACTCAAGAACTAGGAATCTATGTAGACTAACACGCTCGACGCAAAGGCTTCATGGAATCGCCCCCCCCTTTCCGACTGCCAGCGCCTTTCTCGGCAACTCTGCCGTCCTCCCTTGCCGCGCGCTCTCCAGACAGTTGAGCCCCAGACCCAACAACCTAGCTCGATCCGGCAGGAAGACCGTGTCAGGGCCAAGCTTGCTCCCGGCGGCGACCTCAGGCGAGGTAAGGTCAAGCCACTCCCCGAGCGACTTCCGCAGGTCCTGCGGTTCACGGTCCCCCCCGAGCCGGTTCCCCACGTTGATAGCCCTAGCGTCGCAGGCCTCTCTCAAATCACTGTCGCTGAGCGATTCCAGCGAGACGGTTCTCAGGACATCGTCCATCTTGCCCAGGTCTCTCAACCTCTCGCTGAGGCAGTACCGCACGTAGAACCCAGGCGAGACGTGCCACCATCCCGACAGCCCCGTGCCCTTGCCGAGCGTCTTGATGTACGCGTTCGGGACCCCTTTGCTAGCCGGGGGAAGCTTGAGCTTCTGGGGCTTTGGCTTCTTGCTCTTCGTGGTGCCCTTGTTGTTGCTTGCGGCGGTATTCTCTGGGTCTGGAGAGGCGGGGGCAGAGACTACCATGTGCTCCTGGAACCGTTCGAATACTTGCCTGTTGTTGGCGATACGACACGAGATAGGTAAGTTAGGAGAGGGAAGGCCTGCTGGCCGCAGATCACGAGGGACTGCCTTCAGGGGGAACCTCAGCGTTTTCTCGAGGAAGTTGTGAGCGCAAGTATCTCGAAAGAGGAAAAGGGAAAAGAAAACCATCGCTGCGAGAAAACCAGCATGCATCAGGAGCAACATGACCAAGCACGGGCGAAGTTGAAGCGGTTTTCCGATCTGGTTGTGGCATTCAGTACGGTTATCGTGCTCGAGGCCTGGCGGGTGGAGGGGACACCTCCATACTTGACAAGCGTCCCTCAGTTCATCGACGATAGGCTCCGGGCTACACTTTACCGCACGAGCCCAGCACAACAAATCTATCTCACGAAAAGCACCAATTGGCAGGGGAAAATCCCCCTCAACACCCTCACAGCATCACGCCTCCCAGCCTCCCACCAGAACATACACCACAAGGCGCCCAGACAACAAAGCATTCTCCGACGTCTGACGGACTCACCTCTTGCTGTCGGCCTCGAGCACATCGAGCACCATCTCTCTTTGCCTTTCCAGCTTCTCCATTTTCTTGGACTGGCGTGACCCCTCTTCTCTAGGCTTTCCCTTGAACCCCTCCTCCGCTTTCAGGAGCCGGAACTCCAGCCCCGTGACAGCATCCCACGTGGCCGACGCGCGCTCTAGGGCAAGTCTAGCCGAGAACAGCACACATAAACACAGCACAAAGGAGTAAAAGTAGACGACACGAGGTCAGTGAAAATATCTTCGAAACAGGCGGGAACGGCGTGGCGACACAAGCAAAACAGAAGCCATGAAGTGAGCTATGTAAACGTGGCCGAGAGGGCGACGAAAATACTCACCACATGCATGGTAGGCGTTAGACTTAGCAGTACGTTCAGATATCGTTCTGTACTGCCGGGAAATCGCCAACAAGTTGCCTCCAGGCTGAGAAGCCTACGAACAGCAGCGGAGGACCAAGAAGTCGCTCTCTCAAACAGGCTCGAGCACTGCGGCCCTCATCAAACTTTCACCCAAACCCCAAACCCCAAACAACAGCAGTCCGTACGGTGGCCACACCAAGTACCTGAAGTTTTGTGCACAAGAGTATGTAACTTCCAATCGAGAAGCGCCACGGATAAAATCACGGTTCGAAAAACGGTACACGTACGGTATATGCATACCTGTGGTATTTGGAGCGGATTGTATGAGGTTTCACGAACGTCGAGGGAAGGAGCCCCGGGACGTACCAGACTACGTACACGAAGTTCTGCGGCGATACCGCGTAGGCGATAAGGTACTGCAGCAGTTTTCTGCGGTCCTGTTGACGTGATAGTTCCGCGATGAGCGAACAGCATAGTAACAGCAATGGCAGCATGCGGAAGGAATTATGGGGGGGGGGCTAGGAACAAGATCGTGCATTGCCAACAACAACAAGCGAAGCACTACCGGAGAGAGCGATACAATTCCAACACAGAACCAGTGCACTCTAGAACCGAGGGGGCTTTCAACAAGCTCAAGTGGCCATATGGCACCACTTCAGGGAAGTGTCCCCAGCGCGAAGAGACTTGGGGGGGCACGCAGACTATGGAGAACAACTCTCTGCACTATCGCACGTCCGGCTAAGAACCACATTGAACTCACAGTAGCGCCACGCTCCAGGTGCGCGTGCTCCGCATAGGTCATTACATGCCCCGCCTTCACTCGCTTCCGGATATCCTGGCTAGTCTGCAAACCAAAATTAAGAAACGATAACGACAATATTTCGCGCGGAAGAGCGTAGAAGAGACAAGGTCGGGGTCAAACTCAGGGGAAACGTGCAGCCGACAGAACACATTACCTACCAATGCGATCATTAGGCATGGTTGTGTTGGATTCCCGCCATCTCAGATGCTGCCGGTCTTGGGAACAAATTGCGGGTGATTCTGGAACACATCAGATACGGACATAGACAAGTTCGACCATGTGCATCTATCGATCGAAACACAACCTAGACTCGGCTTGTGTTATGGCAAGCAAGAAACGCGTCTCCGCGAACGCGACGGACAGGACGGACTTGGTCCTGAGGTACACAGGAAGGTGATGTCATCAAGACCGCAAGAGGTACAATTTCTCACTCATACAATTTTACTTCGTTCTAAGAACAACGGGCTGGATTCGTGGCACAGGTGACATGTAAGGCGATGTGTCAAGTCGCTCGCGTGAATCAAAATGCTCCTTCCTTCGAAAAATCTACCATCTGGGAACAATCGGGAAGCAACGAGGGAGAAGGTAGGGTCCATCTGTATGCGGAAGGAAACCATGCACACGGTGGAAGGAACATGTCTTCTTGCCTTAAAATTCCCCCACAAGGCGAACGTCCCGTCTCTTGCGTGACCCCAGAAGTCTCGGAACGTGTTGACAATCCCCTGCGCGGCGCTTACTCTGGGCGTCGTTGCGGTCGGGACGAAAACAAACGTGAGAAAAAATGTGGAAATAAGGGGGGGGGGGGGAGAGGGATGATACACAATCACCAATAAGACGATGATGGCTATGTATTGGTGGTAGAAACAGTGGTCGAAGCTTGAACCGCGTACAGTAGAGATGCTCTGTGGGCTATTCCAATCAACTGCTGTCGTCCAGTTGAAGTAAGAAACGACCGTTGCTCGCAGCTTCTACATGGTACTTCGCACAGCTGTCTTGCCAGGTGTTAACTAAATTATTTCCTATCCGGGGTCATACAGAACATCATGCACATGGCACCAAGCCGCGGCACCATTGTTAGCACCGATGCATGTAGAGTACTCTGCATTGCATCCAAACCAATCATGATCTGTAAAGAGTTCCTTGGGAGAGTGTGACTTCGGAGTGTATTTGTGAATGCAAAACGCTACTTCAATAGATGTTGCCATGGGTAGACTTACGCATGGAGAGATGGGTGGTGCGTCTGGACGAAGGTGTTTTCACAGAACGGCGAAAGCTGAGGGCATGCCGAAGCTCGAAGGAAGAAGAAATGCTTCACATCTGCATACAGAATGTGTCTCATGTCCGTACGTACGAAACAGAACTGGAGGGAAGGACCGCCGTGAGCCGCATGTGGGGAGTCTATCAACGGACATGCCGACTGCACCTTCAACATACCAATTGCACAGAAAGGTCTACAAATCCAAAAAACAGGCCCAACAAACCGCAACATGCACTACAGTAGATGGGTTGGTGAGGACGACCGTATAGCCGCTGTGGTGGACGCATGCTGGGTACGCATACCTCGGCGCTGCGGCTGAATCGCCTGCAGTACCAGCAGATGAAGTGTCCGCTGCTGCTGGCGAACCGCGTACTCCATTGGCACCTGCTCCTGATGCATCGGGTAGTGCGTCGACAGCTGATCCTGCTTCCGAGCTTCCAGTCACTCTCGGTGTCGACGTCCGAGGACGGCGTCCAAAGAAGGCTACAGCGCTGCGAGACTGGGGCTGGCGATGCCGGTCGTTGAACACGCGTCGATCGCTCACAACAGCCGCTGATTTTGAACCCCATCCAGCCGTCCCATGGCCGCCTTGTGCAACTGCAGCAAGATTCAACACCGAAAGAAACTCACTCAGACGCATGATGCTCCCCCGTTTCCCCTGTACGATCTGGGTGGCAGCTCACGCACACACACGATGATCTTGCAACGCTGCTCGTGGCACGAGCAGGGTGCTCAAATGTCAACAAGCACTCAAGCACCGAGCGCGATGGTCCGCGAACAGGACAACCAGATACCCGCCGCCTCCCATTCTTCATTCTGCGGAGACCCGAATCCTGCAGGCGAATCCCCGAATGAATGAATCCACCACCACGACACATCTTAATATCACACACCCTACGCTTGTAGTGATAATTTGTGCATATCGACGAGGAAGCTTTCTTTGCAGGGTGGCACGCTGGGTGACCCTACGCTGCTTGCAACATATGACACTATGCGCGTTTGTTTTTTTTTCGTCCCTTGTACTGCTGGAATGGTGCGAATTCTACTGGCTGTATGGAATATATATGGTATTATTCGACGCGCATCAGCCGGGGGTCACATACTCCACAGCAGTATCAAAAAAGTACGACCACACCGGTACTTTTTCGTTCCACCTTCTCGCCCATGTACTGTGTGTCTTATTTTTTTCAACAGATAAAGGTTCTGCCGCAGTCCCTGTTCCCTCTTACTGTTGTGCTCACAACGATAACGGTAAGACTATCCACCAAAAAATCAACGACTGACTGAATTCCAAAAAAACAAATATAAAATAAATAGATTGCCGTGTACCACGGCTGCTTCCCCAATTGATTTTTTCAAGTGCCGTTTGTGTGTCGTCATGGACGGGGATGGATAGAAAGGTACTACGCACCATACAGCTGTAGTACTACTGTACTCTTCTTGTGAACTGCTGAAAACGAGAGCGAGACAGGAGGAGAAGAAGGCTGCTACGTCGTCTAGACTATCTATTACTATTACGGGCGCGGAGGAAGCGAGAGGACAGAAAACGCCCATCATTCGTATGGTCAGCACCACCACCATTGACGATGCATGAATGTAATAATGTACATTTACATCTACTACTACGGGGTACAGAGCAAACGGCGGTGCCGTGGCTCTGATGGTGGAACTGATGTCTATAGTCATGCGACGCTGCCCGACGACGCGCCACTATCCTCGTACCGTACGGGCTGTTTTCTTGGGCAAGAAGAGATAGAGATAGCTGAGGGACAGAGACACCGTAGGACAGGCGCAGAGGGAGTCTGCAGGAAACGAACGAACGTGTTCTGTCAGTCAGTGTGGTTTCTCTCTCTTCCCCGCGCGTGAAGAGAAAATAATGGCAATTCGAAAGAAAAACAGTATTTAATAGCAAGTTTGGTGAGGCAGATAAGCCGATGCAGACTACTACTGTACTGTTGTTCATTGAGACCGTCAAATTTGCCAGAGGCGTTTGTTTTTGTTCCGTATTTCGGGGTACTGTATCAGAATGGACAGAATATTTTTGAAGTGGTCACCACTTTCTCGGAGAGTTCATGTGTAGGAGAAGGCCCGCTGGACAAGCAAGCGTGCCATAGCAGAACTACACAACCTTAGTAGGTGAACTCAGAGAGAGGATACAAAGGATTTTGGCCAGGTTAGGAGGCCGAGAAATTGCGTTCGACTACGTAGGAACAGCAGTGTCTGTCCAGCAAACACTGCAACAAACTAAACGTGTGGTGACGTGCAAAAAATCATGTCACTTCTTTCTGCGGACCGCGTCTTGGATCTTGTATGCATGCATGCATGCATTCAGACTTGTTGTACAGCGGTTGTTGCTTGTCTACTAAAACCCGTTCCGGTCTCCACTCAGTACCACATAGCTGTGTGCTGTTCGGGGAATCATGGAAATACAGGTAGCCTTCGCTAATGCTATGGATTCATTGCTAATCTGTCTTCGACGCGTTCAGTTCGTAGATATTGACTATGTAGAGATGAATTCGTTGGGTCATCTACTACACATGAAGGAAGGCGACGGTACACACATGCCATTTTTTACATGCCAAAGGATGCTGCAGGCTCACATGCCACAGGGTTCAGTCCACTTTATTTTCTGTGCACAGAACCCCTCCAATGAAGTTGGTACATATTCTGCTGCTGTAGACGGGTATAAACTCCCGGCTCAGCCCGGCACACACACATAAAGACACACACACGCGAAATATCGCCCATCGTGTAGGATAGCTTTCACATACGAAGAATTTCCATGCGTTCCTGCGGTCGGTACCCGGGAGCGTTTCGCGTACTTCCCACAAATCTAGGCAATCACTCTCTGTCTCTGTCGTACGCAACGCACCCACATTGCACCGTGACACGGACTACCCACCTGACGATCCTACTGGTAGGAAAAACATTCACAACGGAAAGCGATCAAATCCGTACCCTAAATCCCTTGGAACACGAACATCCAACAAGAGTTGGTGCTGATGCACCGCTGAAAGAAACAGCTAAAGAGACCACGCGGATTGGTGGTGGTGAAAGGCTGGACCCCTCCGAGATTGAAAGGTGTGGAGCACATCACAACAGGACGGAGACTAGTGATACTCTACGAATTTTCGAAACAGGTGTCAGCGACCCCCACGATTGTTGTCTACAAGCTTGCAGCTATGCGAGTACTATCTCCTTTGGGTCGAGCAGCGACGGCTCCTCTAGCTCCGGATATGCCGGCGAAGCGCTCTCCGAGCATATCCAAGACATTCCTGAGCGAGAACATAAGAAAGAGGGTACAGCAGTGACGCAAGTCAAACCAGGCCATACAGAAAACAGCTGTCTTTCGCCCGCGTGATTTCTCGTGCTGCCGCAGCTCTCTTCTACTTCAAGCATATATTAATTCACAATAGCTTGTTGTTGAACAAGAACGCGAGTCCCGCCTTGGATCGCTACTCCTTCCATGATAGCGCGTTCATTTTCGAAAAACATCTTCATTGCTGTTGTGCCAGCCAATGGGCGATAGGCGCCCTACTGCTGTGAGGCCCCCGATGTCGGTAGGTAATGGAAGCAATAGTCGTGAACCAAGTGGCACAATCACACATCCAGTTCTAAAAAGTGAACCAAAGTAGACGAAACCTCGGTGAGAATTTTCTACCAACCTTCCCCCGTCACACACGAGGTCGTACGCGGAGCTCACCCCGCGTAAAAAGACTCCTTGTCCTCCGGTGCGGCACCTAGCGCCTCGACGGAAGCGATGGTTGTTCTCGTGAACATGCCCCTCGTTCCCATGTCCATGGGCGTGTCGGTCCCGAACAACACTTGCGACTTGCCAAAAAAGTCGATAGCCTGTGACAATGACGCATAGCAGAGTTTGGATTATCTCTCCGATGTGAGGACAAATCGGAGACCGACCAAATCGACCGCAAAAGAAAAACATGACTCGGATAACGTTGTTGCAGGCGGGACTTAGGGATTGCTTGAGATATTCCGGCAGATTAAGAAACGCGGCTACAAAATTCGAAAAAAAGGTCACGAGAGGAGAGGGGTGGAGCTTGATAAGTCCATTTTCGTCGCACCCATCTGCAGAAGCCGCCGAGTGCAGATGCTGCTGTCCAATGAAAGCCCGGCGGCAAGCATTGTGGTCTATTTCCTTGAAACGCACACCAGTCCATCAAAACAAACATCAACTGGAACTCAGCATTTTGGCCAATAGGGGTCGAAATACCCACTACCTATTTCACAGCGAGGTCTCTCTCTAGGCTGCCGCCTGCGGCAAGGACGACAGCCCCACCGTCGCCCGACGCACGCACTATCATAGATGTCTTTCCAGAGAACTTTAGTTTTAGCCCTCTGCGACGCCCGCGTCTACAACCTTAATACGCCGTCAACTGTGCTGGTACGAATCCAAGGCAACCCGGTAGTCTAGTTGGTATCCTCGAAAACCTTCTATTATATAATAGTGGCCAGGGTCACGGGTTCGAATCCCGGCCTATGCGAGCTTTTCTTGCAAAGTGAGTCATCTCACTGATCCATTTCTGGCCTGGGTTTAAAGCGCTAGTAGCTCGTGTGTACACGGAGAGAGGAGAGTGCAGCAATCTCCTCGCATATAAAATCAAAGGCACAGTACCGCAGGAGGGGTGGGTAGGGGACCTCAGGGAGCCCTTGTTTATGACCACGGGATGGAGTAAAGGCACAAGTGCTTTGAGCGCTGATTTGAAATGAAGACAAAAAGAAAAAACTTGCACAACACCACGCACCTGTTGGATATTCGCCGCACTTTCACCAAAGGTAGCAGTGTCGCAGTAGAAAAGTCGGAGGTCTTCTAAGAGGTCGTCTCCTTCGACTGCGAGGGGGGAAACAGAGCGGCGTCCTTAAAGAGCTCATCGTGTATACAGCGCCAACCAACAACGCGAGGTGGGCCTGTCCTTCATACCCCTTATTCTGCTCTCACACCCACCTCATACTCTTCTTGCAAAGGACCATGTGGGCGAGATAAATCCACCACGTACCGTCGCCAAATGCAAAACGCAGCCGGGTCTGTCGAAAACTTCTCTAACAGACGGTGGCTTGCCCCAGAGAGCAAGAGCCAACCCCGCACCTTCTTGGAAATTTCTTCGCTGTGTGTCGAACCGTGCCGTGAAGAAGGGCACCATGGCGCCGTGGTGATGGGTCACTACCTTGAGGCCTGCGAGGAAAGAAAAACAACATGGTAGGTCCGGACGAGACGACTAACTGGCATACTGACATGGCTGGAGCAACAGGCCACGATCAGCGGCAAGAAGCGACTCTTCATAACAAATATCCGGCAGGCGCGCTGGTACGAATAGAGCAGATATTTGCACTCTAATGTAGACACCCGGTACAGCGATTCAGAAGGCGTCGTGCGGCTGACCCAAGACATTTTACGCCTCATTTAGGGCTGGTCTTATCCAGATTGGCCGTCCCACACTTCACTCCCACACCAATAGTTAAAACGGGACGCAGCACAGACGTCCCTGTTTGATTGGGTGAAAAAAAAAAATACCGACAAGACCACCTTTTTTTTTTTCTACCTGCAGTTCCAGCAAGCAATAGACTGGGTCAGAACATCCGGACTAGCATTTGAAATAAAATCAAAAGTCACTAAATTGAAATCATAGTTCAGCGAAACGGAACCCAGAGTTCTCAACGGCAACCAAAATTCGGTCTATTGGAGGTAAGATGGCAAAGAGTGCACGACGATGTCACTTTCACGCTACGTTGCAACATGGCACGAGGTACAGTCTTCAAACTCGCGAGCAACACACGCTCCACCATCAATCCTTGAGCACAAGATGCCCTCCTCGCATGCTGACCAACAGCACCGCGACAAGTAGCAGCAGCAGCAAGCTGCCACCAGTGCCACAACGATGTAACCGCAGCATATCCTCGCTTTCTACACGGCTGTGCAACCGTTCCATCGAGTTCTTGCAAAAGGCAGGGTGTTCCCAGCCCGCGAAGCTCTCAAGGGGCTCACTGGCCGTGGCCCTGTCTCCCCACATCGACACACACAACTGCCGGCCCGCGCAGTTCTCAAGGGAGGCCACTGGCCGTTGGCCCAACTACCCATCTCCACACAATTGCAAACCAGCACCTCAACGCCTCCACAGCCTATTCGTCGTTATACCGACCACTCAAGTCTGGGTTTGCTACAAAGCGGTTAGGACCCGCCACCATTTTACTCCCACAGTTCTGTGGATCTTCCTGTTGGAACTGTTGGTGTGGGTGTGAAGTGTGGGACCACCAAAGTGGATAAGACCAGCCCTTAATTTACCAGAAAAACATGGAGCAAACACCATGGCATTCCAACTCTACTTGGCCTACTGTATTCGAACCAGGAATCACACCTGGATATCTCCTGAACACCCCCGCCAACGCAATGTGCACCATGGCCACTGACGTATCGTAAATCCAGCCGAAAGTATTCCAGATTTGGTGCTTGCTGCCCTCCCCCTGTCAGCAGGTGGCACGGCAGAACAGCCTGAGGCGGATTGGCGTTATTGCCGTGTTTATAATGGCAGCAAAATAGAGGCGAACCCTTTTCCGCGTTGCCATAATCAAGCGCGCGTAGCCATACCTTGAGAGCAAGACTGCATGCTATCAGGTGAAGCGCGGTCATACCACACCGTAACTTGCAACACCAGCATGCGCAAGGAGAAGGGGGTGTTCGACCTAACAGGCCATCAAGCGAGCGAGCAAAGCACCTTGTACGAGTCGTAGTCGGCGTAGGACTGAGGTCTGCACGGGTGCATCCACACGACAGCCCCGAGCTCCTCGCACGTCCGGTACAACCCCTCGAAGCAGGCCATGTCTGGGGGTTTCGCCGTCGGCCCCACGAACAGAGCCACACCCGCCATGCCGAGCTCCTTCACCGCACGAGTGGTCTCCTGAATCATGGCCTGGTGCACACGGGGCACGGGAAAAGGCGGCGGCGCATTCTGATTGCTCGTGAGCACGACGCTCGGGCGGGACTGTCAACATCGTGCACGTTTTTCGGCGCAGCAGTCTTCGTGTTGCGGCGGGAGATTTGGCAGGCGGTGATACGGAGCAAAGCAACCACCGGCGTGCGACTGCTGTCCTTTCCCATCATAATGCCACGGTCTAGTTGAAGACTACCGCAGGCCACCGTTATCGCCGCGAGCGCAACCGCCTTAGCTCTACGGTACAGTACGGCGTCGGTGTGTGTACCACCCACGGGCCACTTCCGTTCCCAGCCTCAGAAATCTGGCACACGCAGCAGCACTTCTTCGGCGCTATAGCTATGTGCGATTATGCCTCGCAAACGAGGTGCTGTGTGGTATACGTAAAGCAAGATCGAACGCGACACACATACTGTACCTACCTGTTCCGTTGTGGTGGGGATGAGAGCGACGCCGATCAGCCGGTCGGGGAACCGGGCGACCACTCGCGCCATCTCGTCATTGGCGATCCTGCAAGCCTGTCGTTGGGAGAGGCGTGCGCGACATGTCGTTGGCGCGGCACACGCCATGTAAACAACGGCGCGCGTCGGGCGCGAAACCGAATGGTATGTAGCCGGGGAGAGTACAGGACGTGAACTACTTCCGAGGACGGGGCAACACCTCCTGCCTATTGAGATCGATGTCGCACCTACTCGAGGATTTCAACAGCCGATATTATGGGCGCAGCCTGCTCGGCCATGTTCCCAAAAGCCTCGGAGTCTCCCCTGCCCTCTCTCGGGCTCGCTCGGTGTGCACAGGGGGATGGACAAGGAGAGCGACACGCCATGAGACGAAGGTCACGATGCCGCAACAACAAAAAACACGAAACTGTCAGAGATCTTCGTACCTCGAGCGCCTTGCCCTCGTCGGCGTGCAGTCCGGGCTCGCACTCCAGCCATGGCAGCGGCACCAGGCAGTGGACGTCGATGCCGTGTTCGTCCATGTACCTGGAAAAACGAGAGAAGATGTGCCACCGACAGAGCAAGCAGCATCGAGTTCTTATGGCGGCCTTTCGCGTGCCGAATTTGCAAGAAAGACTACTGTAGTGGTGGACTCTGGAACCCCTACATGTATCAACAAGGCATTTCAACGATATGTAATCCGGTCATCTGCATCTGGTGCTGTCGTACTGCTGTGCGAGTCGTACGCAAACGGCGAGTTTCCGAACCCACAAGTGATGATCTTCGAACATGAAACATTGTTCTCACACATGAAAACGATATGCACGCACATGGGTGGCAAAGTGCGGACATTGTTTGTGTTGCACATGACAGGGCACAAGGCGCGAACAGCTGCCAAAAATAAGAATGGTGGTTGATGTTGCCTTGACTCCGCATTACATCGGTAGAAACCTTGTCGATCTCTGTTCCCGTCAAGCATGGTCCAACTGACACCGACGCCTGCCGTTGTCACAGGCCAACTGCTTGTAGGAATGTGTAAATGCAGAAGGGATGTACAGCTACTGCAAGTACCAGGACACGTCGAGTCTACAACAGTAATCTCGACTACCATACGTTGCTGTTCTACGGCGGCGCACGCAATGGACGGTTGGGCGTGCAGGCCCGCTCAAAGAAACACGTACTTGCATTATTGAGCGAGGCTCAAACCTTATTTGTCCGAGCAAAGGCTTCTAAATGTATACTTACACTTCTGTAGAAGTAGGGATTAATGTAGCGCCGGCTGCTATGCTCAATTTCTTGGGGGCATTTTTGTCCAAAATCCGAGCCTGGGTTTCTTTGGAACACATTTCTCACGCCGACACTGCTGTTTTTACACATGCACTAAAAGACAGAGCAGCAACATACTTGCCTGATTCGAAGGTCAATATCCGACAGCTCTGGGATGGACGAGAACAGGCCCCGGAATACCATCGGGTGTCCGCTCTCGGCTTCGAGATGGTCCATGAACGCCGGGCAGGCGAAGTGGGTGTACGAGTCTATCTTCATGATGGCCCCTCCCTCTGCTGCTGAGAGAAGGCGTTTGGAGTGGTGGCATGTACAGCAGTAGCAGTCTGCTGCCTCTGTCGCACATTGTTGCACAAATTGTGCATTGAAATCGTTACCGACTGCGGACGCCCCTCCCCTTTGCCATCGGCTGTGCCCCCGACGTCGTCGGTGTCGATTGCGTCCTGCGCTCTGGTCTCTGTCACGCACGTTCGGGTTGATCGCGTGTCTAGCTGATTTGTGCTTCCAGGTAGACTCGAGGTCTTTCACGCCGAGGTGGTCGTGGTCGAATCGCTCGGCAGCAGGTGTGGCACCACGGAGACAGCAGGAGACGCAACTTGCAAAGCTTCGCGCGCGGTACACGTGTGTGTGTTTCACAGGGTCACACAACGAAGAACGGACGATGGCTCGGGGCATGATGCGGCGACAGGCCGCTGTTGGCGTGGTGGCTCTGGCACTTTCCGGCGGTGGAAGCTCAGCCAGCGCCTTCGTCTTGGGCCCTTCAAAGGGAGGGCTTCGATCGAAGGTGTGTGGGAGTCTGAGCTCCGGCCCGTTGGAGGATCCGTGTGTGGCTGCCGCAGCGAGTTGAACTCAACGGCCCGACGAGGATCGATCATGTGTTTGTTTACTTTGGCGCTGGCTGCGCACGCCTGATGTATGCCTCGTCTGATCTCTGTTGGATGTGCTTGTGAGCTCGCCGAGTGTGCGTGCCTCACCAATTTCAATGGGTGGTGGGCACTTTGCGTTGTTGCAAAGAACAAACGTGCACAGCTGCAATGTACAGCTGCTTGTGCGCGTATGCACACATGTATGAGTGTACAACCAATTGGTACTGCTGTAGGAAGGAGCAAGTGCTCTCCCGTCACACACGCCTTCACACGACGCGCGTCCAACGCTCTGTGTACACACATTGTTGCGCTTGTACCCAACCGATCCGGAAGGTGTTGCCTAAGAGGGGGAGTGTTCGACGCACACGAACCTGGTGAAACACATACATACATACCCCCGTTCATGCGAGCGTGCTGTTGTAGCATAGCTACGACCTGTTTTATGTATGCTTATCCATGTCTACACCGTCCGTGCTGTACATATACATCCACGCTTTATGGTCGCCAACTGCGCCCAGGGCACAACAGCACTGCTGTGTTCATACCGATTGCGAGCTGGTCGCACTGCGTGCTGCCACACACTTTCATGTCGGATGCAGTAGAATCACACCGCAGGCTTGTTGCTGGTCTGGTCGGCATGTCGCCAGCTACAGCAATAGCAACCCCCACGACGCGCCGCAGCTATTGAAACAACAACCGCTTGCTTTCCTCCGGATGGAATGTATGTACTCCATGATGTGATACTGCTGCGGGTAACTACAGCAGTAGCCCATTTACAGTATGTAGTTGCATGATTCCTGACCCGAGAACAACTACAGAGAGGTTGTTTTGGTTGTTTTCATCTATGGAACTGCCCGCGTGTTGCGGATGTATATACATACCCCAGAGTAATGGAACATGCACGGAGGTGGCGGAAAACTACTGCTAATTTACTTGTACATGGTACGTAGTTTCCTCAATATACCGTATATGACACAAGATAACACACCCCCTTGGCCGATTTTCAAAGCTCGATTACTCCACGACGAAGAGGATGCATAAATGAAACAATACGTTTTTCGAACAGCTCTCGACGAGACGGTTCCAACGCCGCCGTTTTCGGCGCTGTGACTCTTGCTGCTGTTGAGAAATCGAGCTTTGAAAATCGGCCAAGGGGGTGTGTTATCTTGTGTCATATACGGTATGTGTGCACAAGAGAAATATGTGCATGTGTCAACGTTCCAATACTTGCCTTCACTGGCAACACAACGCGAAGAATGCCACGCAACCGGAAGGCATGAACTGATACACTGCCGGAGACTACAGCAAAGCAGGTGGTGTGTGGACACCGAAGGCTGCTGATGTGCCAACGAAATTTCATTTGTTTTGACGGGCGCCATCCGACGTACTGCTGCATCACACCACAACGCCACACAAGTGCTGCATGACATACACCGGCGCGCTGCCCGCCCATTAATAAGGATACACTCCTCTTATTGGGTTTGGCCTCCGGCAGCCTGTGGGTGCACGTCTGAAGGCTGGGTGGCATTGTTGGGGTGGGGCGGACCGCGCCCGTCAATACCGAACACTCTTGTTGGCCGGCGACGCGAGCAGTTGCCACGTACTCACAACCCAACAGATACGATGTGGCTGCTATTTGCTGTTGGCGGTTGATTAGCCAAAACACAATTAAGGCTGGCACAGCAAACCCCAACAAGGAGCGACTTGTGCAGATGCACACCTTCCCCCACACCAGCACCACCACCCACGACGCAAACGCCAACTCTCATTCATTTCCCAGGCACCGAGAACGCCGGCGGTCCGACCGCTGCAGATGGCGGGGGGTGGTCCGAGAGGGAGATCTGGCGGGGCCCCCGTGCGCATCGAAGGAGCGGATGGTTCGAGGGTGGTTGTCGCTTCGGCGATGCCCGTTCAGGGGATTCCGCAGCAGCAGTCCATGAGTGTGGACGGGGACGGGTATGACGACAGCGGTACGTGCCTCCCCTGTGCTGATTTTTTTTTTGTCAACCCGCCATGAAACCGAAAACCGCCTCCATATTTTTGTAGCGTGGTGCTGTGTTTTTTTCATGGGGTCGAGGGAGTTTCGTAGCTGTTGTTTTTTCGATGCGATGTAGATGAGAGATGAAAATGGCAACACTGAAAGTGCCCCGCAAGTGCGCATTGCTGCCGTACCCCGTTTCTTGACGCAATGCCAGGGTTGTTTGTAGCTAAAAGGAAGTTGTCCTCGGTTTTGGGATGCTCATTTGCAGATTGGTCTCGAATGTTGATATTGTACCTTTCACCTGCTGAAAGCACGAAACTGTCCAGCTGGCTATGCGATCTCTTGATTTTGTGGCACGCTTGTCAGTCACCTGGTGTTGGCCCAGGTGAACGAAGTGCACAAGACGATCTCCCACGAAAGAATGCCTGGCACGAGATGGCCATCCTTCTTCTCTCTTTACTAGCTAGCTGTAACAAACACTTAGCGGCGGCGAAAACTGGGAGCTTTGCTGGGGGGTTGTATCAGCATCCGCGAGATTTGAAACGTGGAAACAGGGGTCGGTTCGAATATTATCAAGTCTAGTTGATACCCGGCACGTTTGGACAAGAATGGGACCTCTGACCTATGCATTCATCCATGTCAAGTCACCAGCAGCAACGGCCCAAACGACGTGACAATCGCATTTCACTATGTTGCAATCGCATGTACCAGCTAACGCCCCCTCCTCTATCCTCCACGCAAAAGCAAAAAACGTGACTGCCGTTGTAGTACTGCTGCAATCGAGTTGATCTGCTAACGCCCCCGCCCCCCCGCCCGCCCGCCCGCCAAACATGTCTCAGAGATGGTGGAAGGCGCTATCGGAGCAGCATCGGGGATGCAACAGGAGGATTACCAGGGCTTCACTGGCGGACAGGAGAGGAGAACGAATCAGGTGGTGGATCCCAACAGCCGAGAGGCGACGCTAACGAGGAAGAACAAGCTGCTCTTCGGGGGACTGGTCGTGGCAACGGTCACAGGCAAGGGATGGTAGACAGCTACGTCTACGTATTGTCTCCTTGTCGGGCAAGAAAGCCGTCGCTCGCAGTATCGTACGTCTCTTCCCGCCAAAAAAACGTCGTTGGCGCACGCTGTTTGCAGTACTCTGAGGTAGTGGGCGATGTCGTCAGCAGCGGAAACCACGTGGGGCGGGAGCATTGGTTTTCGTTCCTATCGGGTCGACATGTTTGGCAGTCATCAAGAATCTTGGCAGGAGAGGCTTTGTGCGCCTAGAATCCCCGAAGGGTTGATTGTTTTCGTGGGAGGTTTTGTGGGTCGGGGTTTTCTCCTCACAGCCCCCAACCTCGCCCGTCGCCCCCCTTGCCGTTTCGTTCGTTCTCCTTCCCGGCCTGCTGCGGGTCGAAAAACCGAAACGGGACGCCAACAACATGGGGAAAAATCGCGGGACACATGCACATTTTCAACGTGTAGCTGGGGTGTGGGTAACTGGAACGGCATTCGTTAACCGGCAGACGGATCTAGTGGAGGCCTTTGCGGACGAGATGACCTACCACATCGGCGACGAGAAGGAGATGGAGCTTTGCATCAAGGAGTACAAGGGGAAGCTGGGCCCCGCCATGTACCGAGAAGCCATGTTCAAGGTATCGTACGTACGCTAAGGGGTTGGTTGGTGGTCCAGAGGGGTGTATCTGGATAATTGTTTAGGTCGTGCGATTTTTTGGGGTGGTTGAGGAATGCGTTTGGTTGGGTACCGACGTTGGTAGAGCATGGCTTGTGATGCCATTTGGGGTGGGCCGGTATTGCGGAGGAGCCGAAGCTCCGACCAAAGCCGAGCAAGGAGAACGTTACTGCTGCTTCATGTGGAACAGAGGAGAGTTACGTGAAGCGAGTTGCGATTGCTCGTCCAATCGTTCAATGCCGCAGGGAGGGGCGGTCACGTACGTACGTGAGATGTTGACCTTTGTGTGAACCCCCAGTGCTAGAGTTTCAGTTTTTCGAGAACAATCATTCATACCAACTCATGGTCCAGATCGCAGTGCGCATTATACCCTGGGAATTACACGGTATGGAGCAGTTGTGGCTCACTATCCGTGCAATGTGGAGGGGATAGTTCCGTTCGCGTTCTCCGTTGCGGAGTTGTGCCGCATGCAATCCCAAACACGTCCCTCAAAAGATTTTCAGCTTGTGTTCTTTGTGGAAATCTTCATACTCTTTGATGCCACGTGTTGGGATGGGCTTGGATGATGGTCATAGGGGAACCACTCAGACGACCTCCCCCCAACTCGCCTTCTCATTCATGCTTTGCAGGAGTGCATGCTCGCTGTGGGCCGGAAGAAAGCGGTAACCCTGGAGACCGTGAGGTCGATCAAGTTCATTTTCAAGCAGTTCCGACTCTCCCCGTTGAAGGTGAGATACAAAGGCACTACAAAGGCACCTCACAGCAGTCGGGAGACAAAATGCATACAACGTGCAGATACACAGAATGGTTGCACATGTCTTACACGATCATCTGATGCGGCATGCGAACTTGGGACAGGACGATGACGCAAGCCGGGTGTCTGTTTGGAGTACGGGCGAGGCGATGTTGGTGTTCTCTCGTCATTCTTGCTTGACGACAAGCTTCGCGAACTGATGGCGACCGGGGAACGGGAGTGTTGATCGTTCATCTTGTTGTTCAAGGTTCAGTCACAGGTTATTGCTGCTGGCAGTGGAGTGGAGCCCTTTGAATGTGTTTGAAAAAAAACACCGCAAGACATTTCTCTTTGCGAAAGATGGCTCCAAGACACAGGTGCGTAGTTCACCCCCCCTCCCCCCCCCCCCCTCCGCCTCCCCCCGACAAGTTTCTGGACTCTTTGCTGCGTGTTTGTTTTGTTTGTTTTGTTTGTTTTTTTTGTTTTGGCAGGGGGTGAAGCTGGTGGTGGCGGCCACGAGACGAACGGACAGGTCTCAGTCGAACGTCCGGTCCAAGCTGCTCTTCCTGGGGGGGCTGGTTGCCGAGGGAGACATCAAGGCCCAGGAGGCGTTGGAGGTACGGCAGATGGTAGTCTTGCGGACGACGTGTTGGGGGGGGGTGTACTCATCGCCGTGCATGCCGTAGTCGTTTTGACCGTTGACCTCGCATCCCTACGAAGCCGGGACGGAACACGCCGGACCAGGCTCTCACATCACCAAGCGCGAAGCACCGTGACGGGTGTGTGTATGTGTGTGTGAACTAGGAGGCGACAGTAGGGGGGGGGAAGAACGTGGGGTGAAGAGGTGGTATAGGAAGTGACTTGGAATAAGGAGGGGGAGAGGGGACCGGGAAACGATGAAGACAAGGCCCGACGGCAAGGCTCTGGCAAGCATGTACTCAAGTAAAGTACAAGAACAAGACAGGAGGAAGGTCATCAGCTTGCGTTTTTTTTGTTTTCTGCGCTTTTGTCCCTGTCCGACCTTTGAATAGAGTCGAACCTCGGTTGAGGACACACCTGGCTTTTCAAAGGTTCCTTAAGTGTCGTTAGCGTTGATGCCTCTCCTAATGTTGTACATTCTGCGAGCCACCACGCCGGTAACAAAAAATTGTCCTTTACCAAGGGATTTTTCTCAATAATGGTATTTGTAATAGTGGTATCCTTCAGCGAGGCACGACTGTACACTCATGTGTTTCCATTCTACGACAACGGCTGTCCTTGCAGGGTCCGATCATCCCTGGTGCTGCCTGGTTTGTCCTAGTACCATCTCCGCACTCCTTGCTCTCTTTTTTTTTGTTTTATATTGCTGCCCCATGTGTAGCCTCTCAGGCAGAACGTGCAGTCGTCGTTCCCGGTGGACGGAGCGAACATGCTCAAGATCAAGGAGCGGGATATGGCCGAGTCCGCTCTCAGGGCTGCAAGTGAGAAATGATACACAGACCATTGGCTCGGTTGTTTTGGCGGTCTGGGTGTTTGAAGTGTGTATGTTGCCTGCTGCTCAGAGAACAGCGGGGGCCAGTGTTTGGCTGCAGCATTGGCAAGAAACGTCGGTTTGCTTGAAACGATGCTTGAGCCAGACCATTGGTTGTGCGTGTTGTTGCTGATGATGGTGTTGTCTTGACGCATAAAAGACCCGATCTAAAGTCTTGTGCAAAGAGAAGGAACTTCCGTTCTCACAGGCTAGCCAACTAAGCATGCAGGAGGGAGATACATTGGAATGCCTCATGTTCGTCGAGTTTGGGTTTTTTGTTGCAATGTGAAGCTGGCGCCAGTCATCATCATCGTCACCGCCACCACAACTGCAACGTGTGTGTAGACAAATGTTGTCGGTCTTGAGCCATTACCCTTGCTGCCCAAGCGTCGGCGGCATCGGGAATGAATGTACATCGCCTTTTCTTTGTTGCTTCTTTTTTCAAGGTATGCTGTTGAGTCTTGAGGTCTATAACGTACTCGGTTGGCATCCTCATGCGGCTCTGCCGCACACACACACACTGACCCTTGAGTCTTGTCAGCATCTTAGCGATCGATTCCTTTGTCGTTCTCCCTCTCATGCTCTATTTCTCTCTCCAATACCAGAGGCTAAGCTGCTGCCTTCGCAGTTCGCCTCTCTATCGAAAGCATAAGTCTGGCGTCTTGTCGTGGGCCTATCCCTTCATGCGGTAGGTGCAGGTCAGATCTGCACGAAACGTTAATGTGCTGAACCTGCACACTTGCCGACCCCCATGTTCTCTTTTTCTGCTCTTTCTTCATCGGGCGCAACTTGACGTGAGCAGTCAGCGACGTGCCTGAGGGAGAGATGCTTGAGTCGGGCTGGGAAGAGCTCGGAATGGACGATCAGTGGGCAGCTAGGGTAGCGACGGACATGGTGGACAACGATGACCCAGCTGGGGGGCTCGACTTCTACAAGGTACGTTGGGTTCCTTGGGTTTACACGGTAGGGGTGGTGATGGTCGTTGGCTTAAATGGCGAACAAACGCGGATCGTGTGGCCGTTGGTTCGTTGGTTCGTTGGCTCGTTGCTCGTCAAAGGTAGGTGTCGAACTGTTGTCGAGACTGTTGGATAGGCTCGGTGGACGACGTGCCTTGGAAATACGGGTGATCCTTGCGTGTGCTGGTGATGGCAACGGGGCAAGCAATACCGTACGTGTTGCAGAAGACGTCACAACTCTGGGCGGAATTTTAAGGCTCGACTAATGTGCAAGAAAACCAGTGACCAGTGACGCAAAGCGGCGGCGTTGGAAGCGTTAGACCTCGAGATTACAATTTTTTTCCAGGGATGTATGTTACGACGGTACGCATAATTACCCGTAACACATTCCAGACGTACGTAACTAGTTCCATCCCACGTACCCCCACCTCTAGGCTGCGGGGCCCCCACGGCAGCAGCTCAACTGCTGTGCAGCCCTGCGGCATATGAAGCAGTTTGAAGTTTGAAGCTTGAAGAACACAAGCAGCATGTCCAACGCACGCAGTATACACGTATACACGTGTACGCGTGTACACAAGGAAGGCTCATGTAAACCCCTGAACCCCTTATCTCTACCTGCTGTAATCGCGTTTGTGTCCTACTTGTACGGTGTTCAACACCCCATACGGTGTTCAGCACCCCGGGGACGACGAGATTTCATCCCCGGTATGCTGCCGTAATTACGCGTACGTAACACATTTTGTTGAGTTCCCGTGACTACGGGTACGTAACGGCCCTGAACCGCCGTAACATACATGCCTGTTTTTTTCGGCCAAAAAAGTGTCCGTGCTCGGTAGCCCAACAGACTAGAGCCAGTTCAAAGTGACCAATCAACGATCCCAAAAACAGGTGGCTACGTCACCAAAACGCTGAAAATACACAGCTGAAAATACATGACTCAACTTGTACACTTTGTCAACAACACAACACACACAACCACCGGACTACCCATGAAAGGATCATGCGTACTTCACTGGTGGACCAGGCGAACTAGTATAACCCATCAGCTGGAGCAGCAGCGCATGCATATGTATGCATTCACAGCAGCAGCAAAGTCGAAACATATGCGTATGATGAGAGTCGAGGAAATAGACCGAAAAAAATGGTGTCATCAGAGGCAGTTCCAGGCGCTGTTTCTGCGGCCGCCCACAAGCTGCCACAGGCGATCCTGAGCGCATGCGCCGCTAGCCCTGCGCACACTGGTTCTCGGAAGCTATCAACTTTGCTCGTTCTCGATGAAATGGTACCGATATGTGCATGAACGTGTTTTCGAAAAAGCTTGAAGTTGGAGCCTGCAGCCAGTTCTTCAGCCGAATCAGACCCCAATCTCTTGCTTCCACCAAAACACGCTCACGTACATATCGGGACCAGTTCATCGAGGACGAGCAAAGTTGATAGCTTCCGACAACCAGTGTGCGCAGGGCTAGTGGCGCATGTGCTCAGGATCGCTCGTGGCAGCTTGTGGATGGCGGGAGAAGGGGGAAACCAAGCTCGAATATGACGCGTGATTTCGGCACCCTTTTTTTGTGGAATTTCAACATGTGTCATATGGCCCCGTTTCAAAGCAACGAATGTCGGCACCGCTTGGCAGCGCTCGACAGCGGCTGCCTTTGTCAGAGTGTCTGAGCGTAAGCTTCGCACTCTACCTGAAAGGCGAGGTATAATAGTTGTCGTCCACGAGAGCCTTCGTGCGCATGTCCAATCGTGTCTCCGGTACGCTTTCAAAGGGCGCCGTGAACCATCGAAATCTTGAAAAAAGCATACTCGGGAGTGCTCTTTTTTTTCTTTTCGGCCATGATTTAAGGCGATCATCTCTAAAACTTGCGCCCATGAGAGCCCAAACGGGGGGACGCGCCCCTCAACAACAACAACTTGGATTGGGGTGCGGTTTTTTGCGTTGTGTACGCAGAAACCAAAGGTAGAGATCACCAGGAACGGAGTTTCAAGTTCAAGGGAGGACAATCGAGCAATTGGCCGAACCCCTCTAAAAAACAGTGAAAATCGTATGTTCTCGGCCTTTGAGAGGACAGAGAAGAAATGTAATCCTGGGGATCCCTTGAGTACGGTCTGTAGACAGGTGTTGCAGAGTACGCAGAGCCAACTCTCCACCTGGAGCCAGAACTTCGTCCCCCCGTTTCTGCTCAAAATCAAAGTAAATAATATTCGGCCACCGAGTCATGAAGAAAAAATAGTTTTTTTTGGGCTGGTTTTTATGCCGTTTTTTGCTGGTCGTTAGCGGCCTAACCTCGAGGTCTAACAGTGTCGTCGAGAGCATTCCGAGAAGCGTTCGATTTTGTTTCGTCCATCCTCTTCGTCGGGAATGATCGAACTTTATCAATCGGTCCAGGGGGCGTAGTATCAACGAACACGATGTATGAATCCCCCCTTATATTGTACCTCTTTCGGCAACAGCACCCACAGAGCAGCGGACCGCCGAAAGCCAAGACGGAGTCAATCGTGGCGCCTTCTCGTGGAGGTGGTGAATTTTTCGTGCCATGATCCCCCCCACCCCTAGTTTCACCAGCCGATGACCCCCCCCCGTCCCCCCCCGTCGGGAATTGGTGCCCCCCTCTCAGACGGGAGGCCCGCCGACAGGCGATGCGGAGTCCGACCCCGAGGCGGCGAAGGCTCTCGCTGCAATGGAGGAGGACATGGCGGCCAAGAAGACGGAGCCACAGGACGAGAAGGAGCCGGAAGCGGAGGGGACGGCCAAGGCCTACGAGTGCACGGTCTGCGGGTGAGAGCGTGTTCACTGAAGTACCGCCTTTTTTGGCTCTGCTCGGTCCCGATCTTGAGTACGATATCTACATATGTATATGCTTTGTCAGCCGATCTCCTCCCGCGGCTCTTCATAGTTTCAGCAGACGGGCTCTAGGTCTCTTGAAGGTGTGATTGTTTCTCGTTCGGTGTTGTCTCTCGTACATGTTGGCGTGGTTTTGCCCGGTGCGAACGTGCTGGTGGCGTCGGGACCAGTAAAAATGAAAGGGATAATGAGTCATACCGTGCGTCAACGCCAAATTTTTGCTGGTTTTGTGTTGGCTATAAAACGGGAGGACAAGTATGCTGTGGCCAGAGGATGTGTGGGGGGACATTTTTTTTTGTAAGGGTTGAGTGAATCGTGATGGGTGAATGGGTTGTTTTTGTGGCAAGTGATCGTCTCAGTCCAGCCCCAACCGGTGTGACACGAACGACCTTTTCGTTGACATGCCGGGTTGTGAGCCATGAACCACGAGATGAACGTGATAGCTCGCGGAGTGTGAATGACCACGATGTGGTGTACGCACCCACGTCATGGTGACACATTTGCAAGTGGCGATACTTACAACCGGCTCTCTCGCAGCCCCCCCCCACCCCATGTTCATGCCTTACTCCCACGGGGCCCCTTTGAAGTGTACAAACGGTCGTCAAACGGCAGGAAACTGCGTGGCTCGTTTCATTGACGGGCAGAATATTGAATATTGTGCTTGAGTCACTCTGGTCACTTGTCTCTCATTTTTCCCTCTTTACCCCTTCCCATGCGAGGTCAATGGTCTAACAACTACGGCATGCACGACTATGAGTACACCCCCCCCCCCCCTGACGGATGAGTCAATGCAACGGCTTTGTTGGCCCCATCTCTTGTTCTCGTTACTTGCGGCAAGTGATAAGAGTAATTTACCAATCCGGAACGAATTCCGGCCACAAGGGAAACCCTCAAGATACGGCGAAGACGCACGACAAAGAACAGGAAGATGCTGCAACGGTCAAGTAAAGCGCACACAAACCCCCTCGCTTCTTGGCGTCTCTCTCCCCCTACACAGGTACAAGATGTTCGTAGCCAAGGGGCGAGAATTCAAGTTTTTCGGGGACGACTTCAAGTGCCCAGAGTGTGGAGCGGGCAAGAACAAGTTCTTGGAGTCAAGCATGGACGACGATTAAATTCATAATAGCATTTCGTTTCATGCAAGGTTAGGTCGGATATGGAATATTTTTTGGAAAGCCTAGCTCGCTTTTGCCCGCTGACGTCCGTTTTTGATTGGGTAAACGAATCGTAAGGGGCTCACATCGAGTTGGCTGCAGTGCCTATCCGAATCGATTGATGAATTTGATGAGTGTCGGTGATCACATTCTTCCCGTGAACCTTTCGACAGCAACCGGTGCAGGCATCCCGGATGAACTCACTTCGCTTGTGTCTACGCTACGCTGGTTCTATGGGGTAGATTTGTCCAACTGTTTCTGCCCACAATTCCCTGTCTACATCCGTCAGCAGCCGTTGATATGTGTAGAATTTCGCGTGCGCATCTGGGGAATTTGTTCATCCAGCACACTTGAGCATCGCAACTGGGTCAGTTAGGGGCCACAGCGAGGCCATCATATCATTCTAGTGCTGTTTTGCCGACAAGCAGGGGGTATTTGGGGAGGTTGCGTTGAGTTTGGTGGTCTGGGCGTCGCCAATTATTTCTGCAAGTGGTTACCAAGGTATGATGTGGCAGAGCGATATGAGGGAGCTCTGAAATGTTGGGATTTCGAGTTTTGGGGAGTAAGGGTGGTGCAAACACTCGAGGAGAAGAAGATTAGCGAGTAAGTCTTCTTTCTTGAATTCGATAAGCTTCAGACGGGGAATTTTCGTGCAACAGGTGCAAGGGTAGTCTAGACGGGCGTCGCGAAAAAAAAAAACAGTCGTCTTTTTCAAATTCCGGAAGTTATTGTCTCACTTTGTCTCATTGGCTCACATACATGCCCCGTTGCCGTGGGCATTTGAGCTTGAGGTTGGCATGTCGCCTACAAGTCTTCATTTTTCTGTTAACACTGAAAACGGCTAGATACTTTCGGCTCCGTCCATAAGCAGGCCAATGAGTCATGGCATGACCAACTGCTCTTGGGATGTTCGCATCCACGCTTCGAAGGATCACCTTCCTTGATCTACCGAGACGACATCTAAGCGCCGCACCCATCGTCGTTTCACACCTCGCAATTTTTCGTTTTTGACCGAACGTCCGATCTGTTGTGTGGGCCCCCCCGGTCGACACACCGTTTGGCCAATGAAATGCTAAGCCCACCAGCCGGGATCACAGAGAAATATTGTAGGAATTTTCCACGCTTCCTCCTGTCGCGGTGCTTTTGTCAATTTTTTTGACAAGCGTTAGGAGTTACATGTAGTTCAATTTTATTTGCGAAGGTCTTGCTGTGTTCGGTCAAGACCTTTGTATTCGCTGTCCACTGCATCAGTGAATGTTTTCACTATGGGGTTGTCTGGATTCATTGTAGAGCAAGAAAGGTTCAGGCTTGCTTGCTCGAGGTTGGTGGCCACTTGAGTCACAGCTCGCGACAGACAGCCGCTATATTTCTCTCCACGCGCAGACTGGACCAGCACAGAGGCCACCCTCCTGAGTGAAGTGAATCACATGCGTTTGGAAGAGCGATTTTTTTCGCGGCGGCCCAGTACACACGGTCGTTGTTGTTTGTCCTCGTTCTCCCTTTCATCGTGCACGTCCCGGCAACTGACATACATAACAGTTTAGCGTTTTGCGATGACTCCGGGCGTCGGAACGTACCGATGCACCACAGCTCTAGTGGGGCATGTCTTGATCTTCTACATAGTGTAGGTGCGTTGTTGGTGCATAGGCGATTTTGGTGGGAGGATAAACACGGATTTCACGCGTTGTTCTTTAAGATCCTTCGCCTCGACGGGGCAAAATATCTCGAAGCCGCTCTCTACATTGAAATGATGGAAGGGCTCACGTACCGCAGACTATCGACGCGTGGGCTGAATACGATCGACTCATTAGGGCTTGGCAAAGCAGTGTCGCACACGGAGAGCAGCCACATCGACCGCAACATCCCCCACATCCTGCTACGTATGACGCTGTACCGCAGTACTGTAGGCACAATAACGCGCCCAAGCCAGAAGTACACATACATAGTGCTACAATGGCATGAATGTACAAGCCGTTACTCGCCTTTCTAGCGAGTGAAAACCAGCCGGCCCTGCTTTCACACCCAGCCACTGTACAGTGGTACTTCGTACTTCCCTTCGAAAAAACGACACAAAAGTCCGGCAGGTCATCCAGGGCCACTAAGAGCCACTTTCAGCAGCGAGACAAGGAAAATGCGATCTCGGTGTCACTATGGACCGATGGGGCCTTGATCGGAAAGTGTCGCCGATCGTTGTTTCCAATTGATGTTGCGCGTTCACCCGTGTCCGCTTTATCCGAACAACATCTCAATCTCCTTCTCGAAAGGCCACTCCACGGTGTACGTGAGGGGGACCGAAACCCCGCCCTGGGGAGCGATCTTCCCTACCCAAGCCTGGCAAAATCGAGTTGTTTCGGAACGGGAGAGGCGTGCGTGAATCTTCACATACGTTTTCGACGGCAACCAAAACGTAGGAGGAGGCAGGTACAGGTGGGGCCGTGGCCGCAAGACGAGGGGACGGAAATAACCAAAAAGTGAAAAATCTCCGTCGAGGAAGCGGGACGCGAGGTGGAGAGGTCATCAAGCCGTGTAATGATAGCCACATAGACTAAGACAGTCCGGGCGTCTGGGATTGTCTAGATGTTGCTACATGCGGATAGTGCGACCACGCAGGTATGCGTCAAGGGAACACCTCTGTCCGTTGCTACAGTCTTCTCTGGAGCAGACACAGAATGGGCCGATATTTTATCGTGAACCGTCGCGTGAGAGCCCGCGGTGTAAGCAAACAAACGTCACCTCACCAGGTGATTCGATGGACTCTTGAATACCCCCGTCACGAGGCTTTCGGCAGGAGTCGCCGGCGGGCGTCGAGTGCTGTTGTTGCTGTTCCCCTCGCCACCTCCGAACGTCTCCAACGCGATGGACACGAGCGAGTCATCGGTGATAGCTTCACACTCGGACACGCTCGCCGGTAGCGGTTCCTTCAGAGTCACCTGCATCGTTTTGCCGTTGTCAACATGATTGATCCAGCCCGTATAGATGTGGCTAATACCGTAGGAGCTGTGATCGCCGTCCATGACACAAATGGGTGCAAATACAGCAGCGTCATTAAGGCGGGCCTCACACGATGCCCGTTTCCGTGTAAGAATGCCACGCGGATGAGTCGATACACTGCTGTTTACCGTTGGGAAGATTTGTTGTAGGACCAGACGGAATCATATCAAGTTTTATTGAAACCAGTCGAATAGCATCGTCTTTGTTACAGTGCATGAGAAAATGGCCACGGATGTGCGTGGCCTCCTCCCGAGCGAGAGCACGGGAGCAGCTGCACCACGAACACTTTGTAGAAGCTAGTTGTTCACCAAAGGCTTGCGAGGACTAGAGAGAGCAGCGCAGAGACATGAAGCGCGGTGGCCACTTCGGAGGCTTTGAGTGGTTTGCCAGCTAAAGAGCTGCAAAGACGTTTTGTACTTTCCTCTCCTCTTCCTTCTAAGGTGGGGGAGAGGAGAAGACCGTTGCAATTGCTAGCTGGGTAGGGCGAAGAAAATGGGAGGGAACCATTTTGGGGACCTGGTCATCTGAAACTACTGCGTGCAGCAAGATTAGTTCCTAGACCGAGGTAAAGGGAACTAATGGTTGCCGCTCGGAGGAACGAGAGAGAAAAGCAATTGCAATTGTATAATAGGTGGAAAGGCAGAGACACGTTGGAAAAGGCGCAGAAAGGTGTCTACGAAAAATGTGCTCTGGCAAGTTGGCATCTCTCGGATGTAGGACAACAATGATGAAGGCAACTAAAAAATAACCAACAAAGTTGCGGTTCGTGGTCGTTGTTTCCTCCATGTCGAAAGCGGGAGTAGCCTCTTTACCTCTGCCTTCTGACGACGGACGGCACGGTAGTGCGTTGCAAGAATCGAAGATAAATCAACACCACCCACCTTGATGATATCGTCGGTGGAGCGCGGCAAGGCGTCGACGACGACACACGTCACCGGCACCGTCTTGTTGTTGGAGATCAGCGTGCTGTTATTGAAACGCGTGCAGAATCAGCAGTGCCTGAGCACGGGAAGACCGCACCACAAGCTTAACAGTGGAGGCGAGCGTCGACTACATACCCGTCACATCGAGTTTCCGGGGCCACGCGAGAAAAGCATGCAAAATCTTGCTGCATACCGCACGCACAACCACGTGACACATGTGTTGTTTGATACCTACTCTTTGAGAGCAGTCTGCCACGGCGCCGCTTTGGTGTGATTGCCGTTGAGATCTGCGCGAACGCTGCAACGGCAATGCCGACCGTTTCTGACACAAGGTCGTCTTTGGTACCTGTGGGTGTGCGTGACGTGGTTGGACTTGGAGAAGATGCCGCGCTTCTTGCTGGTCTTGCGAGGCGGCGCAACCGTGATCTGTTGCATTTAACACCAATAAGTTTCAGGGTCGAAGAACAGGGAAACGTGCGTTAGGACAGGTGGTACTCTAGAGGGTCAAGGAAGGAAACACGTTTGTCGACACACGAAGAAGGTAGTCTTTGAGCCTAAAGTCGACGGCCAAACATGTTTTCACGGAACAATGCACGAGGGAAATATTCCGTGACACATGGGGTGCCTCCGTTCCTTCATGCACGAACCTTAACGGCGGGGTCGATGCCTAGGAAGGTCTGGAAGGACTCTCCGGGAGAGACGGAGGTGAGGCTGGTCTTGGTGACGAAGCTGTTGTCGAAGAAGATGGACACGTCATTGCTCGCCAGGAGCAGGTAGTCTGTGTTGTTCGTCGCCTGGGTTTTGCGACAAAACCAAGCAACAACATCGATAGTGGGCGTTTCCAGGGAAACAAAATTGAGGCCTGTGAAAACAAACGATTCAATCCCATGTGCGCCAATCTACCGTGTCAGGAGTTGAGCGACATCCTGCCGTGTCGATCGCTGAATCCCTCCCTCGGTAGTTCGGTAGTCTCCACCCCCCACGCTCTCTCTGCACCTTTGCTTGGAGGTAAGCGGCGGGTGCTTTGGCGGGTACGATGTAGTGCGTAACCTCCACGGATAGCTGCAATTCTCCCACGGTGAGCTTCTTCATTTGACCGTTGCTCCTACAATACAAGGGCAGAAACGTGAGAGCAGGGTGTCAAGGAGGAGGGAGTGAGTGGCAGGAGGTACAACGCAAAGAACAAGTGTAGGACATGGCTGAACCAGGAATTCTGTCGGGAGACTCTGGGGGCAATCGCAGCGTCGTCGTCACATGTCGACCTAGTCGGTCGACGTTGTCCAGCCTAGCGCGGAATGATCAATCACTGCACCAGGTTGTGCTGCAAGCACAGTGTGAGACTGGAGCGCTCCATCGCAAAAAGTCGTGTTCATACGCAATAAATTCCACATCAAGCCGCCGGTCACACGCCTCCCTCCTTTCCTAGACCGCTTTGTGTGTCTCACTTGATATCTGCCGGCGTTTCGACGACGAATGATACGGCGCCCAAGAACCCTCCCCCGCTTTCCACCTGAGCCGTGGCAGGCATCGCCCTTGGGGGCGGCGGCGGGACGGACGAGCACGTGATCTTCGCGAAACCGGCACCCGTGGCACCAAAACTACATTCCGCCGCCGCCCTGGGGGCGCCTGACTCTTCAACAGTCATGTGTGTGCTTGACTGGGCCCTTCTCGATGGCTTCAACAAAGGAAATCCGCCCCCCTTCGCACCAAGCAATGCAGGACATTGGTGAGAAAATACCCGGGAACCAACCAGGTGTTATTGGCCAGGAACACGGGCAAGTAGGGAAGCGGGGAGGTCAGCTGCTTGACATGATCAAGAACATGTCCCTCAGAGAGGGAAAGACCAACACAGCAACAAGACCATTAGCGATATGCTCAACACCGGTCAACAGCGTCCTCAACTGGCAATCTGACAGAACAACAAGGTGGCAACATGGTGGCAACATACTTCCCATTCGGCAGCCCATAACAAGGCACCTTTACCTTTCCATGTATTCAGCACGGTCGTATGGCGTTGGTGAGGTTTTGTGGACACCCGCGATGGGCTTTACCTTGCGATCGCCAGTCCTCGGCCACCAAACAATCAAACGAAGGGCGGTTGGCCTGGGCGGGGGATACCTACTGTAGTCTCTCCTTAACTTTCACGACCAATTTGCGTCGTTGGCGATCCCAGAGGAGCCATATCTCTATCATGCGTCTTCTCCCTCACCCCGGGCGTACCACGGTCTCGGGAGCCGAGTATCGGCTTCGACCTGGGTATCGGCTTCTGGACGGTTTTGAATGCGACGGTCTTGCTTCCTAGCGCAGGTGGCGTCCCGTGGACAGTGGGCTCCGCTGTCGACAGCCGAAGAGAAACACCTGGTGTCCGTAGGTAGGTAGGTAGGTAGGTAGGTAGGTAGGTAGGTAGGTAGGTAGGTGGGAAGGCGTGTGCCAGCGACGACACGTTCGGTGTGAGGCGAGGGTGGCCAGACGGATGAGAGTGTTTGGATCTGTTGTAGTTTGTTCGTTTGGGAAAGGTTACGTGGACGCACACAAGGCCAGGGCGGGCTTCTCGAAATGACGTGAAATAACTCATGCATTGCACCATGTACTTCTTTTGTACATTTCTATCGCCTGAAGCCAACGAACCTCCGCCTGGCTTCTCGGCCGTGCGGCGGGGTGATGGCTCTCATTGCCCTACCCACTGGTGCTGTGGTGGCCACCAACCAGTTTATCGAGCGGATCATACCTTGCCAGTCCTCAGTGGTGCTCTGTGTGACGATACCGTAGTACGTGCACGACACCGAGTCGGTCTGGGTATCCACTCGGAGGTCGTACGAAGGAGACCAGCTCGCCCCGCGGGTCATATACTTGACCTGTTTCGTTGAATGTTTGTTTATAGTTCGCACACAGGTATTCAAAACAGGGCGGAAATTCTATGCTCGCCGGCACATTTTGAGTTTCACGATTGGTCAGCAGCACGGTCACGCACGTACATCAGAACACGCACAACGAAGGAAGGGTTATGTGGCCGCCTTGCCTCATCAACGGGGTGAGGCCCTAAGGATGACGGGCATCCGTCCGTTCGTTGAAAGATTGCAATATTGCTGCCAACGTTTGGCGAGTCCGAGCATCACATTTTCTGTCGAATCACAACCGTACCTCCAGTTCGATGTTGCCAAGCTCTTGCACGTCCACGGTGATGAGTATCCTACCCAGTTTTTTGGCCGTTTTCTCCGTCTTTATGCGAGCAAGTGCCGCAACAATCGCAGATCTTGAAGGTGACTGGAGCTCGGCGATGGCGTTCTTCAGGCTATTCGTCGGCGGGTACGCGGGGTCCGGTTGAAATCAACAGAGGCCACACTTCTCGATACGAACACGACCAGGTGCAAGCAAGGCCAAGAGTACAACGATCTCTCCATAGAAGGCACCTGCATATCGCCTATTAATTTGTCAATATTTTGAAAGGAAACACCCGGCAAGCAAGCCTTATCCCTGTATCGTACCGTCGGCCCTCTAGCTCGAGTCGGTGTTGTTCGGCGTCGGTCTGTTCCGCTTTGGCCGTCCACCAGTCCAGGGCCTTGCCCACGTCCTCCACCTGCGGACCCGGTCCATCGTCGGAGGCGCCCGGGATGGCAGCAGAGTTGGCGCTCTCTCCGGCGGTGGCGGTCATGGCCCTCTCGGCGAAGCGATCGGCGTACTGGAAGACATGGGCGGATTGCACCAGATTGGTGTTAAACTTCCAATCGTTGCTTCCGAGACTGGTTCGTGATTTATGTGATATCCAAGAACATTTGACCGGCAATGGAGTGCGTCCACAAGCTGTTTTAACGGATCCAGTTCCAGTACCTACAAAAGTAGGTTTGTCTGGGATTGGGTGATGGATAGGAATTCGGGCCAATTGCTCGTGACTAAACAAAAGGGGTTCACTACTGTTATGATCGAAGTGTTCGCGTTGCGCACTTTGTAGTATACGTGTCGGAACGATTCCACGTTTTGTCTATAGACAGGCTACGTAGTTTTCCACCGGTTGGCAGTATGAAGGTGCTCCGGATCTGTAGAACGGGGCCGAAACCATCTAAAACCGAGGATGTTTGAAGTGTTCAAGCCTTCTTGGCGTGCTTCTTCACGTTGCTGGTTCCGACCACATTATTTACACCCTACACTAACTCGCCACATACAATCGCCAGGACAGAGTAAACAACGCTTGCGCATGTTCTCGTTCGACGCACCTCTCGCACGTGCGAATTCCGAGAGGACTGCTGGTTCAGAACCGTGAGTTCGTCCGTCAGTTTCTGGATATCTTGCTTGCGCTTCTCTTCCCCAGCCTTTGCCGTATCTCGCTCCTCCTGGGTCTGCCAACATCAACGTGTTACGCGATATTTTGAACGGAAGAAAGTGGAAGAAGATAATACATAGCGGTCCTGCAAACAAGCGGAGAGGCAGCGAAACGCACGGTCAAGTTCCATTTGTGACGCGTGCGCGTGCGCGAAGTTAGAACATGTATCGTAGGCAATCGCAGAGTCAGTCGACAACGCAACACGACGACCACGTACGAATACGTGCGGATCCTCACCGGCTGTGTAGGCGGCGGCGGCTCCTCGGAGTAGCTGACGTGGAGAATCGTACAATGCCCGGAGCCCTTGACTCTGATGCTCGTTTGGTCGATGAAGTTGCGAGGAAGTTCTGCGAGCTCCACCTTCCGCGCATGGGGCGGCGGGAGGGGGGTCATCCTCATGTGAGCGCATGCCGTAGTTGGTATGCCATCGACCTCGCATCCCTACGAGGGCGGGACGGAGCGATATGCCAGGTTTTCGCCGGCCCAGGCTACATTTCACAAGCATGAACCAGAATTGGTCATCATCCTTGTTTGCGCTGTGCCAAACCAGACATGCCTCGGGTTGATTAGGCATGCCTGCTTACCAATTGTTTCATATTCGGCAGGGACGACGTTTCCCTAAGTACCGCAAGCGACTTCGCGATTTTCGCGCGCCCGTGCGCGCGCGCCACACACAGCCAACACATCGCTCCGTGCGAAATACAAGTACACGTGATATTCCTCCTTTTCATACCGCATTTTGCACCCTCCCGCAAATTGCTGTCCATAATCCCTATAACATGCCCCCCTCTCGGTTTGACAAGAGACGGCTCAGGTCGAGGGGCAACCTTGCACTTGCATCCAGGGCTTGAACTTCCCGTAGGATCCAATCAGTAGGCGTCTTCTTTAGACTAGTCTCAGAATTTTCGCCAGAACAACAATTTTTCTGGGGTCACAACAACCCTCCTACATGTAGACTAGTACTGGAAGCCCAAATGGGGACACTTTGGGGACACAGCACTCAAATGCCTATATTCCGCACTGTAGTCACCCTAGGCTCTGCTGTGTGCAACGCACGTGAGCACCCTTGGTCTATCATGCTTGGCTGAGGTGGTACGCTTTGTGATATGCTGTGTGATGCCTCTCTTGGGCCTTTGACTCACTGTACATTTCACCCGACCCGCGTGCCCCCTAGGTCGTAAAACTGCGCCTGGGACCAACTGGCACTGGAAAAATTTGCTGACTTGGCTTCAGTATGAAACGTGTCCCCTAATACTGAAGCCAAGTCACCCTTTGTCTGGCACGGAGCTCAGATTCTGAGGACTTAAGGCAGTAGACTCTCGACCAATGCCTGACAAACAATTTTGCGACATGTATTTTTTACCCCATGAGTGTGAACCCTACGACCGAAGCCCACAAGCAAGAAAATACAACACCGCACGAACAACCCCCGTGCCCTATGCATACTATAGCTTTGCAGGTCTATGCCATGGAGCCAACCCCACCTCTCGGTCAAACCACCCTCGAACCTCGCATGCAGCGGGATTGTGCACACAGCTTGCTCTCCCTGGAGGACTGCGAGGCAGTTGAGGTTGCTATCTTTGCCCGATGCAGCACGTCACAACTAACCGTAGCAACGCGGGAACGCGGCCTCTTTCTGCCTTCTTGCTGAGATGATCAGACTCACTTTACCGTTCCTCCTTTTGAGCTCATATGTTTGCATCTACTACATGTAGCTCTACACACCACGAAACACGGCGCAAACCACGCCGTACCGCGTTATGTCCCCAACGCTGTATGTAATGTCCATTATGTTATGTCCCCAACGCTTTATGTACATGTCGACATTTACTTCGTGAAACGGAGAAATCACCCGTGTCCATCGTCCACCACACCACGGCGCACAATTCTACCCTGTAACGCTGTCACACCTCATGGCGACCAAGGCTGGACGGTGACGAGAAGTTGATGATACGCGTGACTTCAGCCTTGCCCTTACGGAACACGGTCACTGCCTGGATTGGCGCATCCGAGCTTGAAAAAGAGACCGCTTTGGGCTTATCCGCACCGGGTACTGACGGAGGAGGGGCGGTCTCCGTTGCCATATTATGGATGTCAACGACGACAGCAACTGGACACTGCTGTGTGTAAAGCTATGGTGCGCAACAGCAGTCCCTCGAAGGCCCGCCCGCAGTGCTTGCGCTACTGCCGTGCTGTGAGCTGTCCGCTGCTATGGGTGAACGGTGAACAAAAGGAGAAGGGAGGATGCGCGGGTGGATCTCTGATGAACACGATAACTTGCGGGGGGACCGTTCCACAGAACGATATCTGCGCACTTGCTCCGAAGAGCAACATAGTCCTCGACGAGCCAAGTCACCGTTCAACACAGCAGACGAGCAGCTCGACCCACAAACACAACACTAACAACATATTCCTTAGGGACCACTGTGCGCCCTACTGCTATGCTGTAGTAGCTGCTTCGTCCTTCACTCCGCTTCTTTTTTTTTTTGGTACTGCGAACACTTTGTTGGGGTCCTATGCCCCCCCCCCCACCACCAAAAATCCATTTTCACTTGTATTGGACAGTTATTTGTCCTTTGCACCGGTGGCAGCCCCAACGAGGCAAGTCGCCGCTCTTTTTTCATATATATCCTTACAACACCCCTCCTACAGCAGTAGCTCAAACACACCAAGTATGCCCCCTTAGACATCCAAGGCGTGCGGGGGGCCATCGTCGATGAGCATGATTACCAGCGCCGTGAACTGCCCAAGTTCACCGCAGACGACGCTTTGTTTGTTTTTTTGTTTGTTTGTTTGTTTGTTTGTTTTATTGGGCGTGTTTCCTAGCCACATCCTGTCACCTGGTCGGGCCCACAGACAGGTATTTTACCCCCTCCATGCACTCGTTCACCACAAGAACAGTAATTCTATTCCATGTTTTCAGACTGGAGGAAACGTCAGATTATACACCCTCTGCCTCTCTCCCCCCCTCCGTCAATCTCCCGTCCGGCTCACTTTTTGGGGAGAGGAAAGAAAGCTAGACTGGGGTCCGCTCAGAAGCAAACAATGAGCAGATCGCGTTGTGGGTGATTTCATCTACGAGTATTTGGCTGTATTCGTGCGTAACCAGATGTATATACGTAGATCAGTAAGCACTCCGGCAGTAGTAGGATTTCCTCGCCAGAAGAGAGAAGTACATGTACAGTAGTGCATATACGTAGGGGCGTGGGGGGGGGAATGCTATTTTTGTCCACTCGGTGCCGGTCGTGGACTGTTCTTTTTCGGGCGGAACTTGAGTCACTCCTTTGCGGAGAAACGGTCTCTACAGGAACCCGCGAGCGTGACAATGAAGCACACGCGCCGACACCCAACCACCATGATATCGATTCGACGAGACACCGACCGCGTGACCGCAGGCGTCACCTCGTCCCACCGCTGCTGACGGAGCGCCGTCTGTTGGGTTGGCTCATGGCGTGCGGTGGACCAGTCCACCCTCCGTCGCCACCGTCAGGGTAACCTCTCCTGTCGTCGCCGCTCCCGAATCAACGGTGGTGCCGCTGCTCCGTTCGTGAGTGCGCGCGTCCCGGCCGGCCGCCGCCGCGGGGGCCACATGACTGACGGTGGTCCCTCTTCTCGCCGCCGGTGCTGCTGCCGATGCTGCCGCTCCCGCCACGAGCGTCTGCAGCCCGGCCGTATGGTACTGCCCTAGCCACGACTGCCTGCACCCGGGCCGTCCCGACGGCCGGCGTCGCGGAGAACACATGACTGCCGGTGGTTCTCCCTCTCGCCACCGGTGCTGCTGCCGATGCTGTCGCTCCCGCCACGAGTACCTGCGGTCGGGCGGCCGTCTCCCCCCGCCGCCGCCGCGGGGAAAACTCTGCCGCCGGGGGTCACCACTCTCGCTGCCGGTGCTACTACCGATGGTACTGCTCTAGCCGCGAGTCCCTGCACCCCGGCCGTCCCGACGGCCGGCGTCGCGGGGAACACGTGACTGCTGGTGGTCCCTCCTCTCGCCACCGGTGCTGCTGCCGATGCTGTCGCTCCCACCACGAGTGCCTGCGGTCCAGCCGTCTCCCCCCGCCGCCGCGGGGAAAACTGCCGCCGGGGGTCACCACTCTTGTCGCTGATGCTGTTGCCGATGCTGCCGCTCCCTCCGTGAGTCCCTGCGCCCCGGCCGTCTCCCCCTGTCAGCCCATCGGGGAGAACTGCGTGAGGCGTTTTTTTCGTGCGATTCTTTCGCGTTTACTTCTTTTTCGTAGTATCCTGTTATCGTAGGTTTTGTTCGGATTTAGCTCTTTGGCCTTGTCATCGTCGGCACCATAGTTTCAAGGTCTTCATCGCGGTCTGGACGTCTTCATTCTTCAGTCCCTTTGTTTTTTCTGTGTATCGTGCTCGACATTATTACCGTAGTCAGCAGTTGCGGTTTCCCGTAAAAAAATCAAGAGAAGCTTCAGACAGGCAAGGCCGACGAAACTCGTCGAGGAGTTGCACATCAACGACATATTTCTCTCCACGCGCGGGGTGGACCAGCACGGCTAGCCACACTCTGGAGTGAAACGAATCACATAACTTGGAGAAGCAAGATTTCAGCGACGGTCCAGCACACGGCCCTTGTTCTTATCCCCGCTGTCCCTCTCATCGTGCACGCCCCGGCAGCCGACATACGGTTGAGTGTTTGCGATGATTGTGGGCGTCGGAACGGTACCGATGCGCCACAACTTCGGCGAGGCATGTCTTGATCTTTTGCTGTCGATCCGTCGGTGCTTTTGGCGATTTGGTTGGCGGGCAAGCACAGATTTCACTTTCGCTTCATTTGTTTTATAGCTCCTCCGCCTCGACAGGGCAATATATCTCGAAGCTGCTCTCTACAATGAAGCGATGGAAGGGCACACGTACCACAGCCTATCGACGCGTGGGCTGACTAGTATCGTGTCATTAGGACTAGACGTAGCTGTAAGGCACACGGAGAGCAACAGCATCAACCGCAACACCCCCCACATATACGTAGTGCTACAGTTTGTATGTACCATCCGTTACCGCCTTTCGAACGAGTGAATACCAGCCGGCCCTTCGCTCACACCCAGCTACTGTAGTGCTCCCCTTCGAAAAAACACGACAGTCAAGTACTTATATTTCATCTAGGGCCACTTTCAGCAGCGAGACAAGGATACTATTGTACGACGTCGGTGTCACTATGTACTGATGGGACCTTGGTCGGAAAGCGGTGTCGATCGTTGTTTCCTATTGATGCTGACGTTCACCCATCTCAGCTCTATCCGAACAACGTCTCAATCTCCTTCTCGAAAGGCCACTCCACGGTGTACTTGAGGGGGATCGAGACCCCACCCTGAGGGGCGATCTTTCCCACCCAAGCCTGGCAAAATCCAGGTGTTTCGGAACGGCAAAGGCGGTGCGAATCTTCAAATAGTCTCGTCTGGATATTCGGCAGCAGCCAAACCGTTCGAAATACGCGCTACCCGGTGAGAAGCGGAGGAGGATGGGTGCGGGGTGCGGGGCCGCGAAAAGAGAGCACGGCGAAAAGCTTCAAATCGCCTCCGAGGAAGCGATACGCGAGGTGAAGAGGTCGAGGGGGGTCATCAAGCCGTGTCGTCATTGCCACAGAGTAAGGGCACCTGGGATTATCTACAGATCGATATTGCTATAATATCTCCGGATGGTGCGACCACGCGGTTATGTATGTTCGTCAAGGAAACATTGCAATCAGTTGCTACCGCCTTGTCTGGAGATGAATGAGACAGAACGGCTCGTCTCTTTTCATGAACCGTCGCGTGAGCGCCCTTGGTGTAAACAAGCGTCACCTCACCAGATGATTCGATGGACTCTTCATCACACCCGTCACGAGGCTTCCGGCGGGAGTCGCCGGCGGGCGTTGAGTGTTGTTGTTGATGTTCCCCTCACCACCTCCGTACATCTCCAACGCGACGGACACGAGCGAGTCGTCAGTTATGGCTTCACACTCGGACACGCTAGCCGGTAGCGGTTCCTTCAGAGTCACCTGCATCGTGTCGTCGTTGTCAACGTGATTGATCCAGCCCGTATAGATGTCGTAAACACTGCAGGAGTTGTGATCACCGTCCATGGCACAATCGGATGAAAAAACAGCAGCGTCATTAAGGCGGGCCGTTTTCCATGTATCAAAGCAACGTGGACGAGGCGGGCACTGTTGCTGAACCCTTGTTGTGGTTGTTTTTGGATGTTTTTGTATCTTTTACTACGGAGTATGTCAATAACTGAAGTCGCCTCTACGTCTCTTCGCTCAAACAGTGAAGGGCACGGCATTGCTTTGCAAGAATTGAATATGAAGCAACATGACCCACCTTGATGACATCGTCTGTGGAACGCGGCATGGCGTCGACGACGACACACGTCACCGGCACCTTCTTCGTGTTGGAGATCAACGTGCTGTTATTGAAACGACCGCAGAATCCGCAGCACCAGAGGGCGGGAAGGCTGCATCGCAATAATATCTAATTGGAGGCAGTTATCGATCATGTGCGCCATATTGAGTTGTCCGGGACCCCTCGATATAGGGTCGGCGAGTTCTTGCTGTCTTCCGCGTAGCAGGTTACAGACACAATCTACCGATGTTTTGTTTGGTGCACACTCTCGCAGGAGGTGGCCTTTCTTGTTGAAGAGCAGTCTACCACTGCACCTCTGTTGTGCAGTGGCATCGGTACTCGAGATAGCTAGCGGGGACGGACATGCTCGGGTACGCGCGAGAGCCTGCTTAAGGCCAGACATCCTACGCGGTGTAGGGCGGCCACGGCAATGCCGACTGTTTTCGAAACAGCGTCGCCTTTGGTACCTGTGTGTGTGTGTGACGTGGTTGGACTTGGAGATGATGCCGCGCTTCGTGCTTGTCTTGCGTGGAGGCGCCACCGTGATCTGAAGCATTTCAGACAAAATGTCAGGAAGGGGAAGGTGCCTTAGGACAGGTAATACTTAGTCTAGGGGATCAAACAAGCAAACGTGGTAGACATTAGCCCCAAAGACGAAGGCGAAACACGTTTTCACGGAGCTAAACACGAGCCAAATTGTCCTTGGCACATGGGGGTTGTCCATTTTTTGATGCGCACACCTTAACGGCGGGGTCGATGCCTAGGAAGGTCTGGAACGACTCTCCGGGAGAGACGGAGGAGAGGCTGGTCTTGGTGACGAAGCTGTTGTCGAAGAAGATCGACACGTTATTGCTCGCCAGGAGCAGGTAGTCGGTGTTGTTCGTCGCCTATTTGGCAATTACAACAAGCAGACATCGATATGTTGATGCCTGTGTGAACTATGAAATTCTATACTGTAGGTCATTTCCTTGTTTGCCAATCTGCCGCGTCAACAGTTGAATGGCATGCGTTTCTGCCGTGTCAATCGTTGAAACCTTCCCACGGTAAATGGGAAGTCCTTCTCCGCCTCTCTCTCTCTCTCTCTCTCTCTCTCTCGGCACCTTTGCCTGGAGGTACGCGGCGGGTGCTTTAGCAGGTACGATGTAGTGTGTAACCTCCACGGATAACTGCAGTTCTCCCACCGTGAGCTTCTTCATCTGACCGTTGCTCCTACAGTGGCAGAAGCATGAGAGCAGGGAGTTAAGGAGGAAGGAGGGGTGGGCAGAAGGTTGGACGGAAAGAACAACCGTAGAACCTGGTGTAGGACCTGGCGGAACGAGGAATTCTGTTTAGAGACACTGGGGCCATCGTAGCATTCGTTGTCCGACCGTAGCCGGTTGAGAGTCGGTCGACTTGTCCATCCTACATGTCGCATGGAATTACTGTATTGATCAATGCGCCGGTCGCCGCACTTTCTACGTTGGAACCAAAATGCAAAATATAATCTGCAGAAACACGTTGTGCTGCAAGCACAGCAGTTCTCGTGAGAATGAATGCGCTTCACCGACTTTCATGCTAACACATCAAGTCACCAGACGAACTCCCCTCTTCTGGCATGAACCGCTTTGTCCGTCTCACTTGATATCTGCAGGCGCTTCGACGGCGAAAGATACGGCGCCCAAGAACCGCCCCCCGCCCTCCACCTGAGCCGTGGCAGGTATCGCCCTTGGGGGCGGCGGTGGGACGGAGGCACTCCCGCCATGCCCGCCGCCAGCACCGCCGGCACCACTGGCAGCATGAAACCGAGCTTGCATAGGCACCAGTTCCTCCATACCGGCTCCTGTACGAAGTCCGGCCCTCTTCGCACCAAGCAATGCAGGGCGTCGATGAAGAAGTAGCAGGGAACAAACCAGGGGACATTGAACCAGGAACACGGGGGAGTAGGAAAGCGGGGAGGTCAGTTGCTTCACAGGATCAAGAACATCTCCGTGAGAGAGGCACAAACCGACACATCAACAAGAACGTCAGCGATATGCTTAACACCGGTCAACAGCATCCTCGATTGCAAATTGAGAGAACAACAAGGTGGCAACAAACTTTCCATCCTGCAGCCAATGACAATGCACCTTCCCCATTTTTTAGCACGGGTATATTGTCGTTGATGGCGTTGCAGCGGCAGCCGTGATGGGTTTCGCGTGCGGTCGCCAGCCCTTGGCCACCAAACAATCTGCGGTCGCCTGGGCGGGAGATACCGAGCCTCTCCTTAACTTTTACGATCGGCTAGTGTCCTTAGGGACCCGTGTCTCTTAACATGCATGGAATCCTCACCCTGCGAGAACGGGCGTGGGAACTGGGCTCCGGCTTCTGGACGGTTTTGATGCAAAGGGTCTTGCTTCCCAGCGCAGGTGGCGTCCCGTGGACAGTGGGCTCCGCTGTCGATAGCCGAAGAGACACTCCTGGTGTACGTAGGTACGTAGGTTGGTAAGGAGGCGTGTGCCAGCGACGACGCGTTCGGCTTGGAGTGAAGGCGGACAGACAGATGGGAATGTATGGATCCGCTGCTCTAGCTTGTTTGCTTGGGAAAGGCAAACGCTGCACGCAAACCGACCAGTGGGTAGGAAATGACACGCATCGACCACCCTACATGCACCACAGACTATTTTGGTGCACTCTTATCGCTCGAAGCCAACGAACCTGCGCCTGACCTCACGGCTGTGCGGCGGGGTGATGGCCCCATGGACCTACCGACTGGTGCATCGTACAGGCGCTTGCTGTGATGGCCACCAATCAGTTTATCGAGCGCTTCGTACCTTGCCAGTCCTCGGAGGTGCTCTGTGTGACCATACCGTAGTACGTGCACGACACGGAGTCGGTCTGAGTATCCACTCGGAGGTCGTACGAAGGAGACCAACTCGCCCCACGGGTCATGTATTTGACCTGTTTCGTTGAATATTTGTTTTCGGTCGTTTTTCCTTCGTGCACCAGTAAAGGTACGACTGGACGGAAATGAGATTCTAGCCGGCACTTCGATTTTCATGATCAAACAGCGGCACGGTCACGCGCGCACATCAGAACATGCTTACCAAAGGAAGGGTGATGTGGCCGCCTCACCAAGGGGGTGAGACCCTAAGGATGGCGGGTATCGATCCGTCACGTTCGAAAGGTGCAGTCTTGCTGCCAATGTTTGGCGAGTCCGAGCAATTCTCTGTCGCAAAAAACCGTACCTCCAGTTCGATGTTGCCAAGCTCTTGCACGTCGACGGTGATGAGTATCCTACCCGGCTTTTTCGTCGCCATTGCCGCAACATTCCCAGCGCTTGCCGCAACATTCGAAGCGCTTGAAGGCTTCTGGAGCTCGGCGATGGCTTCCGTCAGGCTGTTCGTCGGTGGTTTACGTGGGGTCATGTTCGCGTGTATGCCGTGATGTTTGTTGAAGTCAACAGAGGCCAGACGTACCAATACGCGCGTGGATTAGGGGTGCAGCTGTCTTGGACTGTTGGTTGACTAGCAACACCAGGCGGAAGCAAGGCCAAGAGTACGACGGTCGCTCCTTTGCAGACACAAGCACACATCGCCAATTTAGTCTACTGTTTGAAAGGAAGCACCCGGCAAGCAAGCTAGAGGCCTGCGTCGTACCGTTGGCGCTCTAGCTCGAGTCGGTGTTGTTCGGCGTCGGTCTGCACCGCTCGGGTCGTCCACCAGTCCAGAGCCTTGCCCACGTCTTCCACTTTCGGACCCGGCCCATCGTTGGAGACGCCCGGGGTGGCAGCAGCATTCGCGCTACCTCCGGCGGTGGTGGTCATGGCGAAGCGATCGGCGTACTGGAAAACATCGGCGGATTGCACCAAATTGGTGGCAAACTTCCAATCGGTACTTCCAGGACAGGTGGGTGATTCCATGAAAATTCAAACTCTTTTTTCGCCGAACGGTGGTGTGTCTAAAATGCTGCGGAACGTGCATGAGATTTGTGGTTGGGGTTTTGGTGATGGCTAGGAATTCGGCGTCAGTGATGAAGAAATGGGCTTGGCGTTTGTGATCGAACCGTTGGCGTTTGACATACCGAAGGACCATCGCGTTTCGGAGACTATACACTTTTGTCTGGACAGAAATAGACTTCTTTCCACCGGTCGGTGGTTGATAAATACTGCAGCGTAGTGATAAGTGTTCCGCAGCAAGAACAGAGCGAGAAACATCAAAAACGAGACCGTTGAGGTATGCTAGGATTATTGGCGCTGCTTTCCGTTGCTACCTCTGAACACGTCATGCACCCTAGACTAACTCGCCACAAACAGCGCCAAGACTAAAAAAACAACACTTGTACACGGTCTTGCTCGACGCACCCATCGCAGCTGCACGTTTCGAGAACATTGCTGGCTCAGGATCGTGAGCTCGTTTGTCAGCCTCTGGATATCTTGCTTGCGCTTCTCTCCCCTGGCCTTGGCCGCGTCTCGCTCCTCCTGGGTCTGCCAACATCGACACGTTTCGTGATTTGTTCGGCAGAGAGTGAAACCGTAGCAACTTGACGAAAGAGAGTGGGTGAAGATACGTTGTAGCTGTCTGAAGCAAGTCGGGCAACGGCGAAATGCATCGTCAAGTACCCGCTTGCCAGCAACACGTGACGCGCGTGCGTGCGCGAAGTTCGGATGGCCGAGAACATATCTATCATAGGAAGTCGCGGAGTCAGTCAACAACACAACACAAAGACGAATACGTGTGGAGGATCCTCACCGGAAGTGTTGGCGGCTCCTCGGAGTAGCTGACGTTGAGAATCGTGCAATGCCCGGAGCCCGTGACTCTGACGCTCGTCTGGTCGATGAAGCTGCGGGGAAGATCTGCGAGCTCCACCTTCCAGATATTCGTGGAGGGGGTAATAATCATGTAAACCCATGCGGTAGTCGGTAGACCATCGACCTCGTGTTTTTACCCAGGTATTCTCTGCGTATTCGATGGAGCTACACTAAATAGATACAAATAGAAACAGTAAGTGTTATTATTTTGGGGGGTGTTGTTATTATTATGGGGGTGTTTGATTTTTTAATTAATTGGTTTTAGGTGAATGTTGTTGGTTTGGGCAGGCAACATGCAGGCAGGATCAATTGTTTCGGGCACAAACGCCGTTCGGGCGACGCTCGGTGGTTGTGTGCAGATATCACCAAGGCTGTGGGAATCGACCTCAAGGCGGGTCGGCGCACGGGCAGAACGCTATCCCCTCTAGCCCACACACCCACGCTTCGTTAGAACTGGCGGTGAAGAATTCCTTTCTCAACAACAAATACAACGAATGGCCCTGGTGCCAGGTGTCAGTCAGTGCAGCCCGGCTTCTGTAACAGACAGACCACAGCAGCTGCACACAGCAGCAGCCCCCCAAAAAATCGATTTGACCTATTTTTTGTTTACCGCAGCCGGTTGCGCCGCCACCTCCTCACGCACACTGCGCCACCGTCGCGGCCGCGCTGCGCGCTGGGCACGAGACACGGCGCGCAGCACCTTGTGTGCCTTGGTCTCCCTCCTCGCGAAAGACCCGGAGACTGAAACATCGAACAGCGCGTTTTTGAAAAGGGACGACAACAACAACAACAACAACGACGACGACCTACAACGTTTTGTTTCATAGGTACAGATTTCGACGTAACCACACCAACCAATCACGGCGGTGTCGTTCGCTGCGAAGGTACCACCATTGTTGAAAACGCAGTAGTGCAAAACACGACGTCCAACACCAACACCAGAGAGGCCACTTTGACATGATTGGGTGGTATCAATTCCGTCGTGTCTTTATTTTGGTGCTGTCTTTGCCTTTTTCTGTCCCTGGGGGACTGCGAGGCAGTTGAGGTTGCTATCTTTGCCCGATGCAGCGCATCACAACTAACCGTAGCAAGGCGGGAACGCGGCCTCTACCTTCTTGCTGAGTTGATCAGACTCGCTTTACCGTTCCTCCTTATGAGCTCAAATATTCGCATCTACATGTAGCTCTAACACCACGTAACATGCCGCAACCCACGCCATACCACGTTATGTCTCCAATGCTGTATGTACATGTTGTCAACATTTACTTCGTGAAACGCAGAAATCACCCGTCTCCATCGTCCACCACACCACGGCGCAAGACTCTACCCTGTAACGTTGTCACACCTCATGGCGACCGAGGCTGGACGGTGACGAGAAGTTGATGATACGTGTGACTTCAGCCTTGCCCTTGCGGAACACGGTCACAGCCTGGATTGGCGCATCCGAGCTTGAAAAAGAGACCGCTTTCGGCGCATCCGCACCGGGCACTGATGGAGGAGGGGCGGTCTCCGTTGCCATATTATGGATGTCGACGACGACAGCAATTGGACACTGCTGTGTGAAAGCTATGGTGCGCAACAGCAGTCCCTCGAAGGCCCGCCCGTAGTACCTGCGCTACTGCCGTGCTGTGAGCTGTCCGCTGCTATGGGTGAACGGTGAACAAAAGGAGAAGGGAAAGGATGCAGGTGGGTGCACCCTGCATCTCTCATGAACACGATAACTTGCTGGGGGACCGTTCTACAGAACGATATCTGCGCACTTGCTCCGAAGAGCAACATAAAAGTCCTCGCAGCTTACGAGCCAAGTCTTCAGTCACCATAGAACACAGCAGACGAGCAGCCGGACCCACAAACACAACACTATACCAACGGATTCCTTAGGGATCACAGTGCGCCCCATCGCTTCTGCAGCAGTGTCGTCATCGACATCGAAGAATGACCTCGGAGATCGCCCCTCAGCACCCTTGTGGATGCGCCCAAAGTGGTCTCTTATCCAAGCTCGGATGCGCCAATCCAGGCTGTGACCGTGTTCTGCAAGGACAAGGTTGAAGTCACACGTGGCATCGACTTCTCTTCGCCGTCCAGCCTCGGTCGTCACGAGGTGTGAGCGCTTGCATGTGGATATCGCGCGTGTTCTTGGTGGGCGGCAACCGTATGGTCCACATTTTTATGGATCACACTTACTGAGTGAACTTCACCACCGGAGGGCACGTAGCGGGTGTGAGGCATGAGTGTGAAATTCCGCTTCACTGTGTTCAACTCAAGCTTGGCCTGTACGAAGGTCTCGGAATGGAAATTCCGGCTTCGGTTGGGAACATGCTCCATCTATTGTGGAGTTCATGGGGGGGTCACCTCTCTATGAATGAATGTACTGTAGTCCGACGCCCGCACCCTTGCCCGACCGGGTCTCAAATACCCATCTCGACCTACGGCACAAGTCTCACGACATCTCGAGCATGCCTCGGAAGGGTATCGAAAATCATAGCAAGTCGCCAGTGGTATTCAACTTCCGTGCGCAATAGCAACTGAACCACTGAACCCAATCGCGCATTTAGTTCTCCCGTCCGAAGAACGATTTGGTTTTTTCGGTGTGACGTGTGCACCAACTTATGGTTCCGTGCGGCAAACGCAAAGAAGTCTAAATTTCAACGAGCGTATACATATATGTCTTTGGTCACCGTGCCGGAATTTTTCGCATCCATATATGCAGCATTGCAGCAGCCGGAAGCACTACCATCTCAAGAGGAACTAGGGTTTCGCTCGCCTATGCATCTTCTTTTGGTATTTCTTGGTACAGATGGCGCCCGCACTTAAGAACATCTTAATTTGCATGAGGCTGGGGTTCTTAGTTGCCTGTTGAGGCTGCGAATGGCCATTATATAGGTTTTAGTGTGAGGTTCTTAACGGGCACCACTAAAATACGCTCATGTTCATGAGTTTTGGATTTTTTGAGCCTCATGTTCTTAACAGGTAGGTTCTTAAGTGCGGGCGCCATCTGTATCCTACATGCACGTACATGCACGTACAATATTTTTGTTACCCTTCGCGCAAGTTCATTGCGCGAGATACTACTCTGTAAGTACCCAACACTCGCACTGTCCAAGTTTTCGGTTGCATCCAGAGCCCAGTCCGCCATGCTTATCGGGGCCTTCTTAGATGTATCGGTGAGCTTTGGGGGCGTCGTCTCATCGTATGATCTGACGATGAAGATGGCGGCGCCCCCTTCCTTGCTGTCCCATCGGGGGAGCCTGTTTCCTCTACAGCGTTGCACCTTCTTCGATATCACCTCTCTCTGTACATCGGGGCTGCAATTTTCGAACTTTGAACTGTTCGAACAAGTTATTTGTTGTTTGTTGCGGCGGACGGCCTTCAGACGGGCAGAGCAGCAGAACCGAGAGATTCGGCTTGTCTGACTTTAAGCGCAGAAGGAAGTTGATGACACCACTTTGGCGGGGGGCCATGATATTCCGTGCCATCCCGCCGTGTACTAGAGATGTCACGAGACGCGGGCCGAAGGTCGAGTTTAGCTTTTGCGACCCGGTGGAGGAATCGGAGTGAAATGGAAAGACTGCGACAATATAATTATCTTCACAATGTTGTGCCACTGTAGCCGGGACCTGTCGCGGAAAGAAAATGAGTCGTATTTCAAAGTTCGAATTGCTGGTCTCATAAACAATCGCAATTTTCGCCTGTCAAGTACCTGATGCACTTTCCTGTGAAACCTGAAAACGGCTGGATACTCTTTCGCCATCCATCCACAACCAGGCCAATTAGGCACGGCCTGAATATACATGTGATCTTGGCATGTTCGCGTCCATGCTGTGATGAATGAGGTTGTTGATTCACAGCGAGAGACCCTGCCGGAAAACACCCGCCTGTTGTAATCAAAAGCCACACGCATCGTTTCACAAGTCGCCACTTGTGTCGCCTATCGTCCCCACGGTCTTGGTGGCCAGCCTTACTCGATGCATACCTATGGGTAAACTCTTTAGTCATTCAGGGGGGACACACCGCTTTAGGAATCGTCCACGTTACCTCCTGCGGTCCATGCCTCATTTTTCGCTCGATAGGCGTTCGGCAGTCCCCCATATTTTTGGTACTGACGACCAATTCTTGTATTTGCTTCCACCTAAACAAGGCGAAGTGCTTTCATTCTGGTTTCGAGATTGATCCTGTTGTAGAGAAAAAAGTCTTGCTTGCACGAGGTTGGTTACCAACTTAGCCACAGCCTGCGACAGACAACAATAGCTCTTTTGTTTTCTCCACGCGAGGGCAAAAAATTGCACGAAGACACACATTGTCCTGAATGAGGTAACTCAGAAACCTTTGGAGAAGACCAAGCTCCGCGCGACTGCGCAGCACACGACCATCATCTATTTTCATCCCTCATCACACACTTTCCGGCAACCGACATATAACCGACCGTTGGCGATGATTGTGAAAGTGGGACCGGTACCGATGCACCTACATGTCTTGCTCATTTAGGTGCGTTGGCGTTCACGCGTTTTAGGGGAAGGTAAGAACGGATCTCACTTGTTGGACAAAGCTCCTCCGCCTCGACATGGCAACATATCTCCAAGCGATGGAAGGACACACGTATATCAGGCTTCATCGCGCATGGGCGGAATGATATCGCATCACTATAGTTCGGCGAAGCAGCATGGTGAACAGCCACAACGGCCGCAACGTCTACCACCACCTGCTGCGTACCCGGTTCTACTGCAAGAACAATGAAGCAGCCAAGCGGGGAAAGCAAACGCCGTACGGCGGCATGTACAAGCCGTTACTCGCCTTGAAAAGGATGAATGCCAGCCGGCCCGGCGGTCACACCCAGCTACAGTAATTTTTCCCTTCGACACAGTCAATACAGAAGTTCTTCCAAGACCAATTTCAGCACCGAGACAAGGGGCAATACGAAGTTGGTGTCACTACCATTTTCTCTGCCGATAGGGCCTTGATCGGAAAGCGATTCCGATCGTCGTTTCCCATTGACGTTGCTCGTCCAACCCGTGTCAGCGTGTCAGCTAATAATTGAACGACATGTCGATCTCCTTCTCGAAAGGCCACTCCAGGGTGTACTCGAGGGGGACTGAAACGCCTCCCCGAGGAGCGATCTTTCCCACCCAAGCCTGGCAAAATCCAATTGTTTCGGAAAGGAAAAGGTGTGCGTTATTCTTCGCATTCCTTTGCGACGACAATAAAACCGTTTGAAGACGAGGGTGGGGCGGGAGCGCGGGCGGGGCCGCAAATGGGGAGGACGGCAAAAAGCGTCACATCCCCTTTGAGGCAGCGGTACGCATATGGAGACGTCGAGGGGGGTCATCAAGCCGTGTCATCATAGCAACATTGTCGTGCCTGCTGCGCTTGTCATATGAGATTGATGTTACTTTACAGTCTTCGCCTCCGAGGCAGGCGTAAAACGGCTCATCATTTCTAATGAACCGTCGCATGAGTGCCCTTGGTGTGAACACATGTCACCTCACCAGGTGATTCGATGGATTCTTGATTACACCCGTTACGAGGCTTCCGGCGGGAGTCGCCGGCGGGTGTTGAGTGCTGTTGTTGATGTTCCCCTCGCCACTTCCAAACATCTCCAATGCGATGGACACGAGGGCGTCGTCGGTGATTGCTTCACACTCGGACACGCTAGCCGATAGCGGTTCCTTCAGAGTCACCTGCATCGTTTCGCCATTGTCAAACCGATTTGGGTAAGCCCGTCTAGATGTGGGTCTACCGTAGCTACTGCCATTTTCCACGGGCACAATCGGGTGCAAAAACAGGGGGGACCTCAATCGATGCCATTTTCCATGTAAATGCAACCTTGGCAAGTCGATTCACTGCTGCTTGACATCGTTGTGGTTATTGTTGTTGTCGTGGTCGTGGTTCCCTCCATATCAAGAACCGAATTGGCCTCTGCCATTATCGGTGAACAGAACGACATTCCGTTGCCAGAATCGAAGATAAAGCAACACCACCCACCTTGATGACATCGTCGGTGGAGCGTGGCATAGCGTCGACGACGACAAACGTCACCGGCACCTTCTTGTTGTTGGAGATCAACGTGCTGTTATTGAAACGTGCGCGGAATCAGCAGCGCCAGAGCACGGGATGGCCGCGTTGAAAAAATCGCAAGTTGGAGGCAGCTATCGACCATGTATGGCATATTGAGTTTTTGTCGAGATCGGTCGTCGAGTTCCTGCTGTATTCCGCGGAGTGAGTTACAGACCGCAAACTACGTATTGATGGGTACACACTCTCACAAGAGGTAGCACTTCTTCTTGACAGTACCGCGGTATTGCCAGGGTGCAGTGGCATCGGTACTCAAGATAGGGGGCGGGCACGCACCAGTTCGGGTATGCGCGAGAGACTCACTCAGCCACAAGTATCCTTCGGCAACGCCGATCGTTTCCGAAACAACGCTGCCTTTGGTACCTGTGGGTGTGTGTGACGTGGTTGGACTTGGAGATGATGCCGCGCTTCTTGCTGGTCTTGCGTGGAGGTGCCACTATGATCTGTGGAATTTCAGACCAACAACCAGGAAGGCGAAAGTGCGATAGGACAGGTGGTCAAGGGGATGAAGAGCGGAACAACAAATGTCAAGGCGCAAAAAAAGTAGAGTTGAAGCTCAAAGCCGACGGACACACACATTCTCACGAAGATAGACACAAGCGAAGTGTTCTTCGACACATGGGTCGTCTCCGTTTCATTCGCGCGCACCTTGACGGCGGGGTCGATGCCTAAGAAGGTCTGGAAGGACTCTCCGGGAGAGACGGAGGCGAGGCTGGTCTTGGTGACGAAGCTGTTGTCGAAGAAGATGGACACGTCATTGCTCGCCAGGAGCAGGTAGTCTGTGTTGTTCGTCGCCTGTTTTTCGATTACAGCAAACAATGACATCGAAAAGTGGGTGTTTCCAGGACTAAATACTTTATGCCTGTGAAAACTAGCGATTCAACATCATGTATGCCAATCTACCGTGTCAATAACTGACTCCCCCCCTCGGTAGTTGGGTAGTCTCGCCCCTCTCCTCCTGACCTTAGCTTGCAGGTAAGCGGCGGGTGCTTTAGCGGGTACGATATAGTGCGTGACCTCCACGGACAGCTGCAATACTCCCACGGTGAGCTTCTTCATTTGACCGTTGCTCCTGTAAGGGCAGAAACATGACGTCAAGGTATTAGAGAGGAAGGAGGGAGCGGCAGGCGGGTGAACGCAATGAAATATAGAGGAATCCCGTTGGGAGGCTCTCGGACCATCACAGCGTCGTTGTCACTAGTCGACCCTAGTCGGTCGACTTTGCCCATCTTAGCATGGTCGCCTCTAACATCGGAACCAAAGCGCAAAACCAATTCCGCAGAAACACGTTGCGCTGCATGCATAGCCCTTGTGGGAATGAAGTGCTTCGTCACGTCATGTCCATATACAATGATTACCACATCAAGCCGCCAGTCAAACCCTCCTCTTCTTGCGTGAACCGCTTTGTGTGTCTCACTTGATATCTGCCGGCGTTTCGACGACGAAAGACACGGCCCCCAAGAACCCTCCCCCGCCCTCCACCTGAGTCACGGCAGGCCTCGCCCTGGGTGGCGGCGGTGGGACGGAGGCGGCCATACGGCCACGAGCATACTGCGGCTGCTGCCGGGCCCCGAGAGACATGCCCAACATCACACCCTGTGTAAGGAAAGCGGCGGAAACAAAGTAGGCGTCATTTGCCAAGGACACGGCGAAGGATGGAGGAGGGGTTTCACATGCTGCAGACCTCACGCTGAGAGAGGGAAACACCAACACAGCAACAAGAACAGCAGTACCGACGTGCTCACCACCCGTCTACAGCAGCGTTCTCAATCGCAAATTGACCGACCAGCAAGGTTGCAACATGGACACTATCCAACCTGCAGTCCTTGACAATACAACATCCCAAGTATTCAGCACGGGTCTTACGGCGTTGGTGAGGTTGCAGCGACTGCCGGGATGGGCTTTCCCTTACGGTTGCTATTCATTTATTCACCAATCAATAAAATAATATGTGGGCGGCCCGGGGGGAGGTGCTGAAGTTTCTCTCTCAACGATGAACTTGTCTTCTTGGTGATCCCAGGGGACCCGTACCTCCAACGTGACCTTCTCACCATGGAACTCTGAGGGTTGTTGTAGCCGTGTACCGGCTTCGGGACGGTTTTGATGGAGACTGTCTTGCTTCCCAGGACAGGTGGCGTTCCGTGAACTGTGGGCTCTGCTGTCGACAGCCGAAGAGAAACACCTAGTGTACGAACGTACGTAAGTAAGGAGGCGTGTGCCAGCGACGACGCGTTCCGCGAGGAGTGAGGTTGGCCAGACAGACGGGTGTTCGCTGCGTTCACGCCGACCAGTGCGTAGGAAATTACAGGCATCAACCCACGCGAATACACAATGGCCTGTTTTAGTGCACTCTTGTCGCTCGAGCCAACGCGCCTACGCCTGAGCTCACAGCCGTGCAGCGGGGTGATGGGTCCCATCGTCCTACCGACCGGTGCATCCGTACAGGCGCTTGCTGTGATGGCCATTAACCAGATTTCTGAGCGCTTCGTACCTTGCCAGTCCTCGGAGGTGCTCTGTGTGACCATACCGTAGTACGTGCACGACACGGAGTCGGTCTGGGTATCCACTCGGAGGTCATACGAAGGAGACCAACTCGCCCCACTGGTCATGTATTTAACCTGTTTCGTTGAATGTTGGGTTTTACATACAGTAGATCGCACACCGGCAAAAATTACGACAGGATGGTAAGCAGGTTTTAGCCGGCACATCTGAGTTTTACGATCGGTCAGCAGCACGGTCACGCGCGTACATCAGAACACGCACACCGAAGGAAGGGTTATGTGGCCGCCTTGCCTCACCAAGAGGGTGAGGCCCTAAGGATGCGGGTATCCATCGGTTCGTTCAAAGATTGCAGTACTGCTGTCCACGTTCGGCGAGTCCGAGCATCCCATTCTCTTTCGGAGCGCAGGTAATTCCCCAACCATACCTGCAGTTCGATGTTGCCAAGCTCTTGCACGTCCACGGTGATGAGTATCCTACCCGGGTTCTTCGTCGCCATTGCCGCAACATTCGCAGCGCTTGCCGCAACATTCGCAACGCATGAAGGTGACTGGAGGTCGTCGATGGCTTTCTGCAGGCTGTTCGTCGGCGGGTACGTGGGGCCTTGGTCGTGTGTATGCCGTGATGTTTTGTTCAAGTCGAAAGAGGCCAGACGTACCAATAAGCAAGTGGATTCAGTGCATTACTGTCTTGCGCTGTTGGTTGACTAGCAACAAAAGGTGCAAGCAAGGCTAAGAGTCAACCATCGCTCTTTCGCAGGCATAATCGCATCGCCTATTTAGTCTAATGATCGAAAGGAAACACCCGGCAAGCAAGCCAGAGCGCTGTGTCGTACCGTCGGCCCTCTAGCTCGAGTCGGTGTTGTTCGGCGTCGGTCTGCTCAGCTTTGGCCGTCCACCAGTCCAGAGCATTGCCCACGTCCTCCACCTGCGGACCCGGTCCATTGTCGGAGACGCCCGGGGTGGCAGCAGCGTTGACGCTCCCTCCGGCGGTGGCGGTCATGGCCCTCTCGGCGAAGCGATCGGCGTACTGGAAAACATCGAATGCCGCTTGTATAGTAAGGTTCCCAATCGTTTTGTCCGGGAGAGGTGAGTGATGGTTCCATTTATACACTTGAGAATATTTGGGCGGCAGGGGGGTGCAACCGTTGCAGGACGTGCAATAGCCGTTGTGGGTCTGGTTCGGGTGGTAGCTAGGAGTTCGGGTCAGTTGCTCATGGTTGAGGTAAGGGCTTGACTCTTCGTTCGCGAATCGTTCACGTTACATACTTTCACATTCGAGGACCAACGCCCGCCGAAACATTCCAACTATTCGACAGTGATAGACTATTTTCCACTGGTTGCCGGCTGATGAAGCCTACGGAGTGTTAGGTGCTCCGGAGCATGAACGTCGCGAAAAATCATCTAAAACCGAGACCGTTTGAGGTTTGCTAGGATTCTTTGCGTCCTGCTTTCCGTTACTACTTCTGACCAGTCACGCACCCTAGACTCCCTCGCCACAAACAGCACTAAGACTCAATAAGCAACACTTGGGCATGTTCTTGTTCAACGCACCTCTCGCATGCGTGAGTTTCGAGACGACTGCTGGTTCAGGACGGTGAGCTCGTCTGTCAGCCTCTGGATATCTTGCTTGTACTTCTCTCTCCTAGCCTTGGCCGCGTCTTCTTCCTCCTGGGTCTGCCAATATCGACAGGTTGTGAAATAGTTTGAACAGAAGAGAGTGGATAACGAAGGTAAATACATATATATTAATACTGGTCTGCAAACATGTGGAGAGGCGGCGAAAAGCATCGTCAAGTTCCATGTGTGGCATATGCGTGCGCGAAGTTCGGATGATCTAGAACATGTGACGTAGGTGATCGCGGAATCAGTCGACCAGACCACACAAAAAAGACCACACGTACTGTACGAATACGTGTGGAACCTCACCGGCAGTGTAGGCGGCTCCAGGTCCTCGGAGTAGCTGACGTGGAGAATCGTACAATGCCCGGAGCCCTTGACTCTGATGCTCGTTTGGTCGATGAAGCCGCGGGGCAGTTCTGCGAGTTCCACCTTGCGGATATGAGGTGGTGGGGGGGTCGTACTCATGTAAACGCATGCCGGAGTTGGTGCACCATCGACCTCGCAACCCTACGATGCCAGTATGGAGCGATTTGCCGTTTTTTCGCTGGCCCAGGCTATGTTTCACAAGCATGAACCAGAAATTGGTCATCATCGTTGTGTGTGCTGTACGAAACCACATATGCTATGGGTTGATTAGGAATCCCTGCATACTACTTGAATAATATTCGGCAGGCACGATTATACCCTGAAGTACCGCAAGGGACTTCGATATGTGCGCGCTCGTACAAAGCGCACGCGCCATACCTACAGGACGGGCCCGCGGACAAGAAAATCAAAATCCGGTCGAGCCTCATTCCCTTACTTTGGGTCCAAGGACCAGCCGAAGTCGTCCATGTTCCTAAAAGGCATTTCTTATTCCTTTGGACTGCTGCCGCATGCTCCTGATGCTCTTATTTCTTACTTCGTATTTCGCTAAGAATACAACAACACAACAAACATTCATGCCGCATTAACCAGAAAGAAAGCTCGGTGTGGCGAAAATAACCATTCTCCCCCTACAAAAAAAAAGCGATGCTCAGCTAAGTAGGGGGGTGATGGGAGCACGGAAGGAGCAGCAGTGGGACGTTTCTTATTAGACACGCTCCTCGAGCTGCCCCTTGTTTCCAATGTGTTGGGGGGCTATTTCACCATCATAATGTTTCTTACTGGGAAGTTCCTACAGTAGTTTTGTGGCCAAGAGTGAGCTGTACTTCTCAGCCCATTTTCCTTATTTTTCGTGAAAATTCGAGTCTATTTTTCTGAAATGAATTTTTCTCAACTGCGGGCCCGTACTGCTGTAGCAAACCTGTGCATACATACCCCATACTTGGAATTTTTCCACCCGTGGATAAAGTAAGCAGATTCTAAGTGTACAACACACGAGAAGCGACACGTAATTTATGACTATTCTTGCTCGAGGACGTCCTTCAATCTTGAGGGTAGACCGACTTTTGGCGCCGCTTTTGGCCCCAGCGTCCTCACTTGTTTCAGTTCGCGAGTAATGACATTTCTGTCAATGACATTTATTTCTGTCTCCACCTTTGAACATCTCGACAAGGGCGGTGCCGGTACGCCGGGAGAACTGCGGGGATATTTGAAAACCTCGTTTTTCATGCCCTCTGCCTACCACCCTCCCGCCAGTATCTGTCCACAATCCCTGTAAAATGCCCCCTCGGTTTGACAAGAGACGGCTCTGGTGAGGGCGTAATTTTCTGGAGAGGGAACAGCGAACAGGGAACTCGGAATTATTGTATGACTGGCCAGCCACACAAAATAACTTTCCTGGAAACAAGAATTGACACACACACATTTTCTCTTGCTTTGAGGCACAATAATTTTAATGTACGCGCGAGTATTAAAATCAGCCACCAGACCATATAGGGAACGTGGGACACGGGCTCTTCGGTGGCAATTCTGGAGATGGTGGGATGTGTGTGATCACTCTCGGCTATGTGGCTGCCACAGGTGCTGCATGCCGCCAGTTCAAGCCGTATGGATAGGCATTGCCGCCATCATCAGGTGCTTGCATGAAAAAATTCGGCGGCGGATGCTCGTGTAGTCCAGCCGTTCTACATACCATGGGGGGAACAGAAAGCGTCGAAGACATGGCAAGCTGCCGATGACCACAAGTCAAAAAGCAAGCCTTCCAGAGCACTCTCGAGGGTGCGGATTGCATCACGAGCACCGCCTGTTCTAGCCGATACCTACACCAGTAGCACATGTGTTTGACGTGCGCTCGTCAACAGCTTACCACGCACAGAAAATTCGTCGTTCTTGCGAAATTTCTGAAATGTAAGAAAGAGAGCGAACGACGCCTGCTGATTGGATGGTGCAGACAGTTCCATCCCTTGGTGCAAGTGCAAAGCTGCCTTCCCACTTGAGCCGTCTCTTGTCTATAATCCCTATCAAATGTCCCCTCGTTACGAGGGGACATACGAGGGGACATTTGATAGGGATTATAGACAGCAACTGGCGGGAGCGTGGTAAACGGGGCACGAAAAGGAGGTTTTCAAGATATTTCTCTAGAGGGAAAGCGAGACCTTCTAACTCAAGCCCTAGGTTGCTCGGTGCCTTTTATCAACGGTGGGCTAGGTACTTCTTCCGCGCTTGCCCCTAGTAGCGATTTCCACCCAAGGGTAGACAGACGCGGCGCAATTTCGCTGTTGAACCCGCGGCGCAATCGCCCCGCAATTCGACCTGTTCATTATCCTATAAATCATCAGTGTATAGACTTTCAAAGACTCGAAATAAGTCCAGTACCCAGCCGGTTTCCCTTCACTCACTGAAAATACTCCACCACATCATCCCGTTCGACTGTGGGTATATCTCGAATGGGTAGTCTTTCTGTGTGTGTTCTTATTATTCCTTAATTATCCTCATACCTCATACTCCTCCACTCTACGAAGCATTCATACTAGAATAGAGTCGTCCCTGTGTACCCCGGCACCCCCTTGGTCGAGTAGTGCAAAGGAGGAGACAATCAATCATGCCATTCTTCGCGAGGTAAAGCAGGTGAAGAAGATGGGGACAAAAAGTGTCCCCAAAAGGCGATCCAGCCCTACAATAAAGGGGAGGGAAGAAAAGCGGTTTTGACGCTGGCTATTTTCCCATACTTTATATTAATCCTATACAGAAAAAGAAAACAACCTTCTCGCCAGGGTTAGGTTAGGCATTCTATTGTCATCGGTAGAGGACACCATGAAGAGGCGTCGTGCGTGCTGGCACGTTCAGGTTTGCTACTGGAGCTGAAATATCGAAGGTCGCAGCATCCTCTGAAAACAGTCCGAAATCTGCGTCGGAACCAAGCGGCATCCAACATTTGTCACAGCCAGCTCACCGAACGCCACTAGCTACTGCTGACACCCTCCGTTCAGGGGTTTATGGTCCGTGGCGGTGAGCATGGCTGTGACAAATGTTGGATGCCGCTTGGTTCCGGCGCAGATTTCGGACTGTTTTCAGAGGATGCTGCGACCTTCGATATTTCAGCTCCAGTAGCAAACCTGAACGTGCCACCACGCACGAAATCTGCACCAACTCCTCCTTCCTCTACCCCCCACTTGTCTTTCTGCATCCAATGCAAGACTTGGAACAGGAACTGGGAATTCCGAGTTCCCTGTGTTCTTGTGCGTTCACTGTTCCCTGTCTAGCAAAGGGACGTTACGACACACCCTGAGGAGGCAACTTTTTGCACTTGCACACACACCAGGGCTTGAACTTCCCGCATCATCCGATCAGCACGGCGCGCGTCTCTCTCATCATGTACTTACAGATGTTATTTAGTCTACACTTTGTACAGTAGAAATTTCTCCAGGAAAAACAATATTTCTGCGCGTCCTACGGCAACCTACGGGGTTAGTTACAGTATTAATAAGGGTGTGCACTATGTACGACCGAAGCCCACAAGCTCAAACGATTTACCGCATGAACATCCCCATGCCTTTAGGGTTACTATAGTTTTACAGCTCCATGCTACAGAGCCAACCCCGCCTCTCGGTCAAACTTCCCTCGAACCTCGCGGGCGGGGGGACCATCGGTGTGAGCTTCAATAGGGTGGGGTGTTGGTTGAAGAATGTTTACTACTGTGCACGTCGCAATTCTACAGCAGTATTGTACTGCTGAAGACGTAAACCACACAAACCAAGCAGCAACTGTTGCTCGCTGCGAAGGCACCACCATCGTTGAAAGTTGAACACGCAGCAGTGCAAAACACGACGTCCAGCACCAACAGCTGGGACTCCACTTCGACGAAGGCGTGGTGTTCGTGCACGTGTGTCGTCGAAAGACTGCCTTTCGACGACATTGGTGTGTGTACTGCTGTAGCATTGGATATCTTTGCCTGATGCGGTGCATGACTGAACGTACAGCAGTGGTAGTGGTAGAAACGCGGCCTCTACTTGCTTGCTAATTGACCAGACTTTTAAAGTACCGTTCCTCCTCGGAGGTCGTATGCTCGCATCTGCTGTAGCTCTACGTCACACGGAACACATGGTATGTAAACCAAGCTGTGCACCACGCCATGTGCCAGTTCTCCCACCGAATATGTACCTGGTATGTCTAGACTGTGTAACTCTGCATGGTGTATTCTGTAGAAGAGAAAATGGAGAACACACGACCCGTGTCCATCCTCCATCCTCCACCACCACGAACTGCGCACGATTCCCTACACTGCTGCAACGCTGACACACCTCATGGCGACCGAGGCTGGACGGCGACGAGAAGTTGATGACACGCGTGACTTCAGCCTTGCCCTTGCAGAACACGGTCACAGCCTGGATCCGCACATCCGAGCTTGAAAAGGAGACCGCTTTGGGCGCAGCCGCACCCAGGACTGATGGAGGAAGGGTTTCCGTTGCCATATTATTATGGATGTCGACGACGACAGCAATTGGACACTGCTGTGTGTAATGGCTATGGCCCGTAACAGCAGTCCCTCAAAGATCCTCTGCAGTGCTTGCGCTTCTTTCTGCCGTGCCCTGTCCGCTGCTATGGGTGAACGGCGAATGGGGGAGGGAGAAGGGTGGAAGGTGGAGCGGTAGTGCCGACGACTTGGCTCCACTTGGTCGAACCTGATGGTCTCCATAGCACGCAACTGTAGTTCCTCAGTTCCTCAAAGGTCCGCTGGCAGTGCTTGCGCTTCTGCTGCGTTGCGCTGTCCCCTCGTGATTGGATGTGCACGGTGACCTGACGACTTGGTCGAATCTGATAGGCCTCCATGCCGGAATACCATTTCTCGGAACATTCCTTGGGTACATGTCCCTACAGACCATGCACGGCAACCTACATACAGCAGCCTAGAGTTGACGGTGCACATAGAGCAAACCTAGCCAGGGTTGCTAGCCCTGAAGGTGCACGGCAACCTAGCCGTTACCGCCTCCTTCGCCGCGGCTTAGCATAAACGGGACAGCAGCAACCTACATAGAACGCAACGGCCGCACCACGTATGTAGGTTGTAGATATAGAATAGCTTTTTCACCGTGCAACAACATCTAGCGCAGCGGCTTGCCGCGGCCTAGGCTTGCTTGCTTGGCACGTGACCTACTTGTTGTATTGTAGCACTTTCCAAATGCCATAGGTTTGGGTCGGGTCGGTTGGGTTGGGTTTAGGGATATAGCGCTATATCGCTATTAACTACCTTTGGAGCGGCGCAAAAAAACGTACAGCGCGCCGAGGTCGAACCAGCAACCAGTGTAGCTTCGGAAAGAAGCGTTCATCGGGGTAAATCTTAAATCTTTTCAATCTTTCCTCCTCCTCCCACCGCATCTCTAACTCTCACATGAACACAACAACTTGCTTGGAGACCGTTCCACAGAACGATCGCTTCGCACCTTCCGAAGAGCAACATGTTGCGGTTCCAAGCCAAGTCACCTTCAACACTACTAGCAGACGAGCAGTTCGACTCACAAACAGAAAGAGAAGCACCACCTGCAGACCCCTGAGGGACTACTGTGCGCCCCATCGCTTCTACTGCAGTGTCCAACTGTCCAATTGCTGTCGTCGTCGACATCCAAGAATGGCCACGGAGACCGCCCCTCCCCCGTCAGCATCCGGTGCGGATGCGCCCAAAGCGGTCTCTTTTTTAAGCTCGGATGCACCAATCCAGGCTGTGACCGTGTTCTGCAAGGACAAGGCCGAAGTCACACGTGTCATCAACTTCTCGTCGCCGTCCAGCCTCGGTCGTCACGAGGTGTGAGCGCTTGCACGTGGATATCGCGCGCGTTCTTGGTATGTGTGAGACCCGTTCTCGGGGATTTTTTTGGATCACCTAGGGATTAACTTCACCACCGGATTGGAGGGCACGTATACCTATTGGTGTGAGGCATGAGTGTGAAATTCCGCTTCACTGATGCTGTTGAACTCAAGCTTGGCCTGCACGAAGATCTCATGATGGAAATGACGACTTGTTGGCAAACATGTTCGCTCTCTGTTTTTGTGGAGTTCATGACGCATCTCCTCGACAAACGACACGACACGACAACTATTTGCGCCGCGGTAAGGCGGAATCTACAGTATGTACATTAGTCTACGCATTTACCTTGAAGGTCACGTAGTCAACTGCAATGAGAGATGAGATTTATCTTTTATCAGGCATCAGGCATGTGCGGGGAAGTCCACCGCAGGCGAAACACATTGATTATTGCGGTAGGCAAAAATTCAGGCAGATCGGATGCCTGGGATGCCTGATACATATCTGGACTCCTGTGGCCTGAAATAAAACATTAGCTACATATAGCGACGGGTCATATCGGTCTTTTCGTCGTGGCTTTTCTCTAATGTGCTGCCTGGAGCTGCCTGGAATATTGTGGTAGCCACCAGTCAATCAAGAGGCACTGTCTCAGGCATGTATCTAATAAAATTACTCTCAGGGAGCAAGTCAGGCATGCCAGGGGCCTGTGAGGGTAGAAAATTGGGGTTCGCAGGCAAAAGCTCAGGAATTCCTGGTCCAGCTGAACTAAGAAGTAGGGTGGTCGTGCTTGTATGAGAGCTTTACTTGATGTCAAAACGCTTGGAAGTCGTGTACGCACTATTTGAGCTGGGTAGACTAGGGCACACAAGCACACAGAGGAGAGACTATGTTCACTGAAAACTACAGACATCACTTGGTCGAGTACACGCTTTGCGCCATCACCTATTGCTGTGTGCGTAGCTGTGCTGCCTCAGATTGAACTGGAAAATCTACGAAACACCTACGAAATACTGTACGATTGTTACTCTAAAAGAAAACAAACACCAACTGTTGTTGACGTGGAGTTGAGAAAAAGTGTCTGTTGTTGTTTTAACCACGAACGGCCGCCGCATCTTCCCGACGCTGGATCGCCCCTGGACTCGTCACAAAGGTGGAGCTCGCAGATCTTCCCCACCGCTTCCTTATCAACGAGACGAGCTTGAGAGTCAAGGGGTCCGGGCATTGCACGATTCTCCACGTCAGCTACACCGACGAGCCGCCTATGGGCCCTGCAGAGCCCGAACTCGTGGGTAACGTGTTCCAGTTTTGCCTGCCCGGACTGTCGCGAGCTGACCAAACTTTCTACAGTACCATAGCTCGTGTAGTCGTATATGTGGCATATCGGGCCACAGATGGCTGCTGCCAAGCGTTCAATGGTTTTTCGCTGCGTGATACCTTTGATCACGTCCGCGTCGTGCGGTCCACCATGTCTCCAACTTGAGTTGCTACGGTTTCACTCTCTTCCGTATATTATCACGAAACGTGTCGATGTTGGCAGACCCAGGAGGAAGAAGACGCGGCCAAGGACAGGGAAGAAAAGCGCAAGCAGGATATCCAGAGGCTGACAGACGAGCTCACCGTCCTGAACCAGCAGTCGTCTCGAAACATGCATATGCGAGAGGTATGTTAATGTGAACCGACGTGCTATTGATCGACGTGTTGTTGATAGTACGTCTGCTGCGTGGAGCACCTTGACCCAGGGTGTGGTTGCTTGATTGGTCGAATCAGGAACGGGGAGCGGCACGGCAAGAACGCTGCAGCACCATTTGCTGTCCTCGGCACAGCCATTTCTCTCCATTCTAGCTTCGGAGCACCCAAGTGCGTTCGTTGTTGCTTTTTCTGCCATGACATTATTGTATTTTGTTTTTTTGCTTCCTCAGTTTGTCCTCCTGAAAGCAACGATCATAACCGTACTATTCTGATGTGTTTCAGTACGCCGATCGCTTTGCCGAGAGGGCCGTGACCGCCACCGCTGGGGGGAGCACCAACGCTGCTGCCGCTCTGGGCGTCTCCGACAATGGACCAGCCCCGAGGGTGGAGGACGTGGGCAAGGCTCTGGATTGGTGGGCAGCCAGAGCGGTACAAACAGACGCCGAAGTACACCGACTCGAGCTAGAGGGCCGACGGTACGGCACAGGGCTTTGGCTTGCTTGCCGGGTGTTTCCTTTCAAACAATATACCATTCGATGTGCTAGTGTCTTCTCAGGAGCGATGGTTGTAATCTTGGCCTCGCTTCACCTGGTGTTGCTAATAGTAAACCAACAAATGAATTACGTGCGCATCGGTACGTTTGGCCTCTGTTGGCTTCAACAAAACATCACGTTATTCACACGGACATGACCCCACGTACCCGCTGACGAACAGCCTGAAGGAAGCCATCACCGAGCTCCACAAACGTCCGGCCACTTCATCTGCTTCCGCGCGTGTTCCGAAAGCAACGGAGAAAGTGACGAAGAAACCGGGTAGGATACTCATCACCGTGGACGTACAAGAGCTTGGCAACATCGAACTGGAGGTAAGTTTTGGGAAGTTGGTTTTGCTTCGATAGAGAAAGGGGTTCTCGCCATCGCCCAAAATCAGAAGGCGTGATTACACCCTTGGAACTAACGGTTCGATACCCGCCATCCTTCAGAGTCTCGCCCCCTTGGTGAGGCGGCCACTTAACCGTTCCTTCCGTCTACGCGTTCCGATGTACGCGTGTGGCTACGCTGATGTCCGATCATGAATCTCAACGTGCCCGGTAGGACCTGCCTCCCTTCCTGTCTTGACTTTGCCGGTGTGCGAACGAAACTACAACATTCAACGAAACAGGTGAAGTACATGACCCGTGGGGCGACTTGGTCTCCTTCGTACGACCTCCGAGTGGATACGCAGACCGATTCCGTGTCGTGCACGTACTACGGAATGGTCACACAGAGCACCACTGAGGACTGGCAAGGTACGATCCGCTCGTTAATCTGGTTGGTGGCCGCTAGAGCAAGCTCCTGTACGGATGCACCAGTGGGGAGGGCCACGGGAGCCATCACGCCGTCGCACGGCCGTGAGTCAGGGGTAGGCTCATTAGCTTCAAGCGATAAAGTGCACAATAATTGTTCGTGGTACAATTGCATTGGTCGATGTGTCATTTTCTGCGCGCTGGCCGATGTGCATGCAGCATTTTCCTTTCCCAAATGAACAGGCTAGGACGGCAGATCCATACATTCCCATCTTGTCTGTCCATCCTCGCTCCACGCTGAACGCGTCATCGCTAACCCACGCCTTCTCACCTACCTACGTATCTACCTACACAAGGAGTGTCTCTTCGGCTGTCGACAGCGGAGCCCACTGTCCACGGGACGCCACCTGCGCTGGAAAGCAAGACTGTTTCCCTCAAAATCTATCGGATGCCGGAGCCCAGTTTCAACAAACCTCGTGGCGCCATGGTGAGGAGGTGCTTCCGGGTGCGGCATTTCGTATTCGTTGCATGACATGGTACCATGGTAGTGTGTCATGGCTCCCCCATCCTCGCGTCGAGCTATCTTGTCTTTGGTTCTGTGCGGAAGCAGAACGGGCCAGCATGTGCCACAGTTGCTGCGCTTGTTGGTATAGAGACCACGCGGTGATGAGCTACACGGGTTCTGCTTGGGGTTGACCTGACTCTGCAACATCCGCCTCATTAGTAGTCCCACAGTTTCTGGCGAAAAAATGACTAGCTTTGTAGGACATCGTCACGAACTAGTTTGCCACATCTGGTATGCTCTTTTGCAGAAATATCCAGCAGACCGTTCACCTTCTGACCCCCCCTCGGGATCGTCGGAATGTTTGGAATTTCCCCTCAATACCTCGAAAAATCTTCGAAAACCAGAAGGGTATGAGGAAGAAGAGCGGAGCGTCCAGTCGGCGATCGAGCTTCGGGAGTGTCGGTGAATGCGAGGAGGACGGGGAGTCTTCAAGCCTTGATGACACCATGTCAGCGGCGCTGTGCGTGGGGGGCTACGGCGGCGGCGCTCCTGGCGGTGGTGGAGGCGGCTCTGCTCCGTGTGCCCCACCACCGCCTCCAAAGGCGAAACCCGCCGTGGCCCAGGTGGAGGGCGGGGGCGGCGGAATGGGTGCCGTTTCATTCGTCGTGGAAACGCCGGCAGACATCAAGTGAGTGCGCCAGGCTAGACAAAATCGGCCCACGTTCGAAGCCCACGAAATCACGGCTCTCTTTATGGGTTTGGAAGCGACACTTCACCTGCATCGGGCACAGGGAATGCAGGTGGTGGTGGCGCCGCAGACTTTCCAGTACCGCGTGCCATACGCCAGCTCGATGATCGATCCGATTCCTGAATACGAGCGAAGACTTCATATTGCGTCCCCAAACGTGAATATTATTAAGTTCCAACCGAAACAACACACAACACCACTTATATATTGCCCCCGTCCAACTCAAGCCCCTCCCGGGAGCAAATATTTCGTTCAGGTTACATCTACCGTTGACCATTGCATGTTCTGGTTCAACTCTTGTACGCATGACGCTAGCGGACCACCTATTGCTGAGGACGGAGCGTGGGTGCAGGAGCTCACCCCCCTCGTTCCTTTCTCTCCTTCCTTCTTCACGCCCTCCTCTTCCAGGAGCAACGCGCAGGCAAAGAAGCTCACCGTGGGAGTATTGCAGCTCTCCGCGGAAGTTTCGCACTACCTCGTACCTGCCAAGGAATCCGCCGCTTACCTGCAAGCTAAGGTACAGCGCGATTGCGTTTCGTTCTCTGGAGAAGCGGTGGGGGGTGGGCAGGGAGGGTAGTAGGGGAGAAGTTCAAATAACATTATTGTCTCCACACACAGGCATCAAGGAAGGGTTCTCTCGAAAAGTCAAGTGTCGATGGTGCTGCTTATTTTGCACGCCAACCAGGCGACGAACAACACCGACTATCTGCTCCTGGCGAGCAATGACGTGTCCATCTTCTTCGACAACAGCTTCGTCACCAAGACCAGCCTCACCTCCGTCTCTCCCGGAGAGTCCTTCCAGACCTTCCTAGGCATCGACCCCGCCGTTAAGGTGCGTGCATGAAGGAACGGAGACACCCCATGTGTCATGCAATATTTTTCGCTCCTGTATTGCTCCGTGAAAACGTGTCGACTTTGGGCCCAAAGACTACCTTCTTCGTGCGTCGACAAACGTGTTCCTTCCTCGACCCTCTAGACTACTATCTGTCCTAGCGCACGTTTCCCTGTTCTTCGACCCTGAAACGTATTGGTCTGAAATGCGACAGATCACGGTTGCGCCGCCTCGCAAGACCAGCAAGAAGCGCGGCATCTTCTCCAAGTCCAACCACGTCACTCACACCCACAGGTACCAAAGGAGTACACAACGATCACCGAGATCGACGGGACAAGTAGAACCATAAGCTTTGAGACACTCACAGCGGTAGCAGGTTACTCGCTACGGAAAAAAAGAGGGTGTTACACCCGATACTGTATGTCTTTTTCGCACCCTCACATTACAGCGTTCACCCACGGGGATGATATTCGGTATTTATGCCCTCACGGCTACAAGGTACGGCGGTATTATAACTGTTGGGGAATACCATCCGTCACCCTTGGCGACGGTCGACCACGTCGGGGCATATGGCATCTTGTTGCGGCGAGGTTGTTGCTTCCATTTAGACTAAGTTCCAGGTACCCGTTACCCGTTCCTTGCGAGTTCACGAAACAAAATAAGAGATCCACCGGTGTTACTGACACTGTAGAACGCTACCCATGTTTCGATGCTTGCGTCGGTCTTCCGTTACGCTCGGAACTGGCGGTTCGTTGTGCATCGCAGCACGTCGATCTCCAACAAGAAGAAGGTGCCGGTGACCTGTGTCGTCGTCGACGCCATGCCGCGCTCCACCAACGAGATCATCAAGGCAAGGTCATTATCATTTACAGGATATCGCTGCAACAGTCGGCCTTGTAGTGTTTCAGTTATCGGGAAGTCGATTCGAGTTCTGTCCTTTGTTTTTTCATGAAGCGCGGATGCCTATTTGAACGCTGCCTGATTCAGTTGGAGTAAGCGAGGTGTGTCGGGTTAGGTTCGCATTCCACCGGGCGAGCGACTCCTTCTCCGTTTGTGGTGCGTCCAGCGCGACCCATCTGCAAAGCCTCTCGACGATCGTACTTGCGTTTTTCCCACGTTTGGTTTATTTAGTCTCTCGTTCAAGAATAGCATCAACGTTGACCACAATGCATCTCTGGTGCAACAATACCCGACACAGGTGACCCTCAAGCAACCGCCACCGTCTGGCGTGACGGAGTCCGAAGCCATCACCGACGACGTCCTCGCTTCCGCCGCCTTGGAAATGTGCGAAGCGGGTGACAGGGGCAGCAGCAACGTCCAAATGCCGCCTGCGGTGCATGGCGTCTTAGGTGTAATCAAGAGCCCGTCGAACCACTTGGTGAGCCCACAGTTCGAGAGATCTTGGCCAATAATTCAGAACGCTTCCCAACATAATGCTAGGCGGACCAAGCTGAAAGGTTGGGCATTTTTCGTAGAGAGAAGCTTGACGTCATGATGACAAGCAGTTTCAAGTCAACGTGCGATTGTCCCCGAGCAGATGAGGTCCGGGAGAATATGAAGGTGCGCCGAGATGTATCAGATGTGTAATAATGTGGAATATGCGCTCGATGCGCGTGATACGGGCTGATTGTTGCCAGGCTCACCCATTAATCACCAGGAGCAGTGCTATCGTTTCATTTACTATGGTGTATCAGCATTGTACGTATAGTGTGGAGCTGCAGCCGTATCATGGCACTCTGGTGGCATCTGACAATTTTTATTTTCCCTCCTTTTCACTGAATCGCGACATGACCTGTGCCGCCCTCCATCCATGCTCCGTCGTTGTTTTCGTTGGTTGCCGATCAATATCAACTAACGCGTGCTCGGACTTAGGCGTGGGTGGGGAAGATCGCCCCCCAGGGAGAGATCTCCGTCCCTCTCGAGTACACCGTGGAGTGGCCCACCGGAAAGCAGATCGAGTTCTCCGAATGAAATATCGCAGGACGAACATGCGGTCAGAGCGAACACAGACGAAGAAACTACCTTGCGTTCCGAACACATGGTAAACTTACATTCTTCCCTGTGCGATTCGTGATTCCTGATCGATTATTCTTTATGTAGTTGTCCCGCTTGCAGCGGTAACAATATCGTGCTACGGTTGTGCCGTACTGCTGCCGAAACGACGTAAGTCTTGCTCTGTCGTCTCGGGGTGTGAAGAATCATTCGAGCTGTATACTTTATCAGCTCTGCTGAGTTTGCACGCTGTTGCCGGGTGTGTATATCGTTTGTTAACAGAACCCAGTGCCATGTGTTTCGGTTGAGCGTGGAATAGCAAGACTGAGAAAAGAGGCTCAGCGCGTGCAGTTTTGAGTGCTATCCCATGTAGTCGATTGGTGAGCACATCGCATTGCCCACCGTCCTCGTCGACGTTCACTCTCCCTCTTGAGGGTGGAGGCTTTCTCAAGGTTGGTTGTGGAAGGGTGTTGAGCAAGAAGCATAGTGTTGATGGTGTTATCGTTTCGAAATTAGAGTAGAACCACTCGCGTGCGCAACTGGGGAAGCATGAGTGCCCGCTTTGTTGCGCTCGCCGTGACAGGCGCAGCCCAGAGTTGTACCCGGTGTTTGTACACGTGTCGTTGTGGGGAAACTCCATAGAAAACCTGTAACCAGCATGCATTAGGCCAGTCAAGTCCACATGGCTCCAAATCATGTAGAATACGTGAGATTCCCTTTGATCTTCACGGTCCGCGTGGGAATCATGATGTCATCACTGAGTTAGGTAACGTTTTAATGCGAATATGATGATGCATTTTGGGGTTTTCCAACAGACGGTGGATGTTGTTCGTGTAGAAACGTGTAGAGTCGCGGTGCCCTTTACCAAGGGTCGTCTGCTGGCGGTTAAGTCTTTGTGCAGTTCCAGGACCGAAGTCTGTAGAGGCAGTGGCCGAAGTCGATGTTGTTCTAAATGCCGCTTGGTCACAGCATACTTGCAGAGTGGAGATGTTGAGGGATGGTTCGGAGTGAGCCTGGTGGGGCTCCCAACACCTCGTGATCTCGCTACAATCACAATATTCTGATCACCCATCATTTCATTCACGAGCTCCTCGCAATAACTCGTCGCTACATGTTACAGTACCAAACGTCATCACACCGTTTCCCTATATTCGTATAATTGATACGGCAATCATGTCATACCCAATACATCTGGTGGTGTTCGCATCACTGTCAACCATCGGAAGCATAACACGCTCTGTGCTTTGAGCCATCTTCCGATCCCTCGACTTGATACGTTGGACAAATCGTTGAAAAGGCGAATTTATTCCCTTTTTGACATGAAATCCTCGTTCCACCGAATTCACTATCCCTTTGACGGCATTCGTGACGTCTTCTGGGTTCTTGGAGTGGCTAAAGATGCCTCAAGGCAGGTCTATCGCCCCTGGGTGGTTTCGCAAAGTCGTCAGCGAAGTCATCAACCCTCTCAGCGTGATGCATCGTACTGGGATTATTCGTTCATCTTTCACACTCCTGCATCTCATGTTGGTACCATTCGCTCTCTTTTTGAACGATTGCGTTCACAAAACAAGGTCATGCTCAACAAATAGTCCGGCCGTGACATGCGATAGCAGCGCTGGCGGAAACTCGAACATCAAAACGAAAAGCAAACTGCAGGTGGTGGGAGGCGATGTCGCACACGGGAGGGTGGCACCACAGACTGTGAACAAACCTACGTCGGTTCGAAAGCGAGTACAAAGCGAAACATCTCTGCAAACTACCGAAAATATCCACCCCGGTGGCGGAGAATTTCGTAACGCGAATACGAGAGGTCTTCTCAAAGGAATCGAGGGGGTGAGCGGTAAACACGAAGGTACAATAGCCCGCCTCAAACAAAAAATCGACAGGGCGAGCTTAAAGCACGAAGAAACACAAAAACAACACGACCATGAACAAATCAACATTCCGGTTAGCCAGGCGCGTCAGGGGAATAGGACGAGCTACCGCCAGGAATTCGAAAATGTCCGTACCACGTGATTCGTTTACGTTTCGTAAGATACCACGCAAGAAGCCACTACGTAGTAGTACAGCGCAGCTGAAGGCATCAAGATCAACATAAAGCTCCTTTGACGGAGGCCACGACAAAAAATTAGATGTCCCCCCCACTCTCCCCAAATCCGATTTAGCCGTACCCCCACCACGCTGACGTCACCACGATAATGCATACGCGTCCCCCCCCATCACACCGAAATAGACCTGCGAACCAGCTTTCCCGAGGAGTACCTCGAGCACTGCTTAGCCGACATGGCGTCTAGAGCTGGCGCCTTCGCAATCGCCCAAAAGCTCGAGACAGACCTGGCCCGCTTCCAGGAGACGCTGGCAAAGAAATTCGACGAGGAGACGGCGGCGCTGACCACACTTGTCGAGGACGAGGACGGTGGCGTTGGGGCCGAGGAGAGCAAGGGGGAGGAAGACGGCGGCGACGTAAGCGGGGAAGCATCGCAGGTGGTTGAGGCTGACTGGCGGTGTCATTTGGAGTCCGGTAGGTCTGTTTCATGGGGGAGGGGCGTTTCCATGGGAGTAGTTGAGAGTGTGCGGCACTTGGCAGGAAGGGCTTTTATTCTTGCTCAACAACAGATGAATCAAGCCTACGTCACGGTAATGTCACCCAAATTTCGCTTCTGCAGCGCCATGAAGGGGAACGGGAACGGGAAGGGGAAGGGGAAGGAAAAACGCGTTTCCGTTCTCGGGCGTGTTGGTTGTGGGTTGGTTTATTTTCGATTAGACCACCACACGTTTCGCTTTATTTCTTTCGGGCTTTGCCCTGAGTTTCAATTTCTTGGTATCTAGCGGATGCGCGTCGCATGGGAAACCAACCCTGCGTCAAAGATTCCGTTCGACGTTCGTGTCGGCGGGGTGTGCAATGTATAGCTGCTTTTGATGCTTTTTACGGAGACACCCTTCCTTTGAGTTTATTTTCGTAGACGGTGTACATGTATCAGGTCGGGACGGCGGCGGGCAGGAAGGGAGGGGCTCTTCCTGACAAAGCGCACATCTGACATATTTTGCGCGCAAATAGACGTGATAGTTGTTCGGTTTCAAGGTGCTTGCGCCAGGAGACACCATTTGGCATAGGCGTTTTTGAGTAGAATGCGACCGACGCATGTGTGCCAGTCCCGTGTGCTGTTTACCTGCCGGTTCCCTACTCCGCGTCAACATGCCGCCCATGTCAAGCTTTTGGTCGCTCTTGACAAGGCAGTTTGTGTCGTCGTCGACACGTTCAGTGATGTTTCCGTATTCCGTTGAAATTGCGGAGTTGCCCACTCGCACAGGTGCTTCGTTCTTACGTTTTCCTGGTCTTCTTGTTCGCTTCGCGGTGGCGAAGACCCCGATATTTGAGCAGTTTCGTGTAATTTTTCGTATTAGCCCGGGGCTAGCCCATACCTCAACTGAAGCCCTTGTGCTTTTGCCAGCGGGTTCGAAAGTGAACTCTGTCGCCTTGTCTTGTCGAACGGGGGGGGTCTCCAGTGACACTACTGCGACATGATATTGCACGGCCGTGAAAACAGCTGTCACCGCGTGCGAAAATCTGGATGCTGTACCTTAACGTTATTGTTTGCCTCGTGGTGGGAAAGGCCGCAGAAGGAAAATGGCCGCTGGTATTTTTTGTGCAACTTTCATATTGTTGACGTTCTTGTTTGCCTAGTGCTTGCCGTGACGCTCCAGTGCCGCTACCGAAAGAACAGTGCCTTTCGGACAGAAAACATGGAGCAAAAGGATGACCTTCCTGCCCCCCTCCCCCCGGCCCGCTGCCACCGCACCGGCATTACCGCGTTACATGTTTTTCCCTTTGCAACCCCCTGACCAACATCGAATCCTGACCTAGTCGGTCCCCACCTACTAAACTGTCCTCCAGAGTGGGGTCATGAGAACACACCGCCATCATGGCGTGATGCAAGACGAAAAAACAAGCCATGGTGGTAGCGAATCATGCACGGTGGCGTGACAGGATTGAGGGAGACGACTAAACGTTGGGGTACAGCTCAGCAGCAACCGCTCGCTAAAAACAGCTGGCTGTCATCTGACGGCTGCGTGTTTCGAAGCTTTGACCAGCCCAGCTTTAAACTTTCCCCGGCTGGATAAGCTATCTATCTGCTGTGACGTTTTCCAAGTCCCAAGCGCCCACACTGCCTAATTATAAGTTGTTACTCGAAGAGCCCAGAACACCACACCGAACAAAAAAAACGATATGCAAACCTATGCACAGTCTTCCCTACACGGCACGATGGCACAGGCAGCATGTCCGTTCTACCCATGCCAAATAAACACGGGAAAATAGTGTGGCCGTCACTCGCTGTACGTCCACCCAAACTTGCTGCAGGCAAGGTACGCGCTACGTATGTTCGCTGAGCGGAAGTGCCGACACACCCAAAGCCATTATTGCTGCAAGGGGTAGCTCTCCACTGCAGCTCTCGGTTAGTCGAGGGTCACCACCGCCTCCGGAGGGATGTGCAGATCCGCCAGGAGGCCTTCCACGTGGAACACGAAGCCCGCTGGCCCGGACACAACCACCTGCCAAGCGGGAAGCAGGGCCACGGGAAACAATTCTATCGTCGCTACTCGACGTTATTGATTGTTCATTACCCAAGCCGTTGAGGAGGAATATGTGCACCACCAGCAAAGCTTCTCGACGGCTAACAAGCGAATGCGTGGCCAATCAATCCCTGTACCTCACGCCCTGGTTCCACATCGTTACACCGCAGCCGCCCACCCACCCCTATTCGGCGTCTCATCACCTGTAGCCGTCCGCTAGAAGTTTCGATGCCGACAAGCTCGCGAAGGGTATCGGTCATCCTGTTGAGGTCGTACGGCGGGCGAAGCTCCGACTTCGCCGTTACCCGTGCCTCGGCTTCCTTGGTGGCGACTACGGCCGTCATGACAGGCTCGCCTAGAGCTCTCTCGAGGATTTCCACCGTCAGCTTGGAGTGCTGCCGCCCGGTGCCCGACTGTGAGCCAGCCAAACGTTTGCTAAGTTCACGTGCGTTCATGGTGGCATGTTTGTGGTGTTGTTCGCGTAGCGTGCCGAGGTGTTCGTTAGTGTACCGGAGGTGGAAAGCGCGATCAAGAAGGAATGCAAGCAAACAGGAGATTGATCAATGCTTGCCTACATTCGTTGTATTGCGACACAAGCAAGGTTTTGTCTCCTGGCCGCGGAGCAGATTCTAGAGGGAAGAATGAGCAAACAACAAAGGCTGGGTTTGCCTTTGCCGTCGCTGGGCGGTACGGGTCGATGGACTGCTCGATTGCGCGCACGCAGCAAAGGATGGGAACGGGGGGTATGACAAACGTTGTGACCACGGGTCTTGACTACTATGGTTAGGGGCAATACGCGTCGACCGTGGCGGAGTTGCTTTAGAGAACCGTATGTTTCCAGCTGTTTAGGGTGCTGGAATCGTCTATTGTACGACGGCCAACACTCCGGACATTCTACGGGCACCAGCGAGGTTCCCGTTGAAACATCATCGTCGGGGAATGTATTCTTGGCATGCGATGTACACCATTCGCATCAAAACGTCTCAAGCAGTTAATCACTCTCGGGATCCATACCCTACGGCAAGCTAAACGGACAGGGCAACACACAAGAACGCCTCATCAAATGCCCTCAGTCAACAAGGTTTCCATCAACCAACACACTTGTACATGGGCACCAAGCGCAAAACAGGTCCTTCTCACGTCATCGAGGAGCGATCCTCCCGGTTGCCCAGCGCCTCGCATCGCTGACCTTTCCCTCGAAGCCCATCACCTCCCCTTTCTCCGTGCCCCAAAAGCCTTTGGTTGTCGCCCTTGCCCGGTGCCCGAGAAATCGTCCGCGACATCACACTCCGTACCGATCTTCGGCCGTAACGAAGAGCGCAACCGGGGGGCGGTGGGCTTGCTTGTGCCACCGCCACCGCAACCGCCACCACCACCACCACCACCACCACCATCGGCATAGCTGTAGAGCTTTAACTTTCTTCCCGGAGACTTCTGCTTGGACCAGCGTCCACGGTCCAGGCCCACCGCCCGAATGCTACCGGCGACATGGAAGCCGCTCCGCGCGCTGTCGCCTCCTAGGCCGTCGCCACTCCACCGCTCGGGCCATCGGTGGATTTTCGAACGGGGCTCTTGCGCCTGGTGCTGCCGCCGTCCGTGTCGACCAAACGCCCACCTCCACTCCCTCTGCGACCAGCGATCAGGGCGCCCTTGGGTACGCCGCCGTTGTGACTGCTGCTCTTCTGCCCCTGCCCCGCCTCCTCCTCCGACCAGGTATGGGCGCCACCTGCAAAAGACGTGCTTCTAGGATTTCTGGCCGCGCCGCTACTCGAAGAAATCTACCCTCCGCTGTTCCCGCCGCCGTCGCCGCCGCCGCCGCCGCCGCCTCCGTGCTGACGGTGCCTCCCGGCTTTACTCGTGTCCGCGGCGGCGTCGCTCGCGGACCGCGGAACATCGTCACCGATGCTGTTCTCGCGACCAAGGTCTCCGCCACCCCCAACGGTCTCCAGGTCCCTGCTGACGCCGCTGGCAAACAAACCACGTCTGCAGGGGCTCTTGCTCCATCGGGTGCGAGTCGAGTCTTCCTCCGAAACGCGCGACAGCTCGCCGACGGACTGGAGGCGGGGCAGGTTGGTCGGCAAGGCGGCGGCGGCGCGCCCGGCGTCGTCGACGTGTTCGGCGTCCCCTGTGTCGCTGTCGACCTCTCGCTCGCCCCGTGAGACGAGGCCTGCGGCGGCCCCCTTCGACATGAGCCGGGCAATGGCGCGGCGGAAGGTGTTCCCGGGGATGTTGCGACGGGTGATGTCGCCGCTCATCAGGGCCGTGACCTCCAACAGCCCGTTCGCTTTAGCCTGTTGTTCGGTTGGTGGGGTAGCAATTTCGTCAGTTTTATGTAGATTTAATCACAAGAGCAAACTGAAAGGATGCTATAGGCAGGCAAGCGCAAGTTGTGATCGATTCCGCAGATGGTTTCCGAGGGACACGCACAGCCCCCGTGACAGTTTATGCAATGCGGTAGACGACCCACGCCAAAAATACCCCTTGGGTCGGTCGACTGATGCTCCGCGAAAAACAGAGAAAACTCCAGCAGAAGAGAGGGGCTTGTGCGGGAAGCGGCGGGAGGCTTTCCAGCGCCAATCAGTGCCACGAGACGAAGGTGAGTTCGTGTACCAGGGGTCAATTCTGGCGTAGAATTCTCGTGGACATCACTATCTAGATAGCAGTCAGAGTTACGCGGCGCCTGCCCACGCTGACCTGCAAAGCCGTGAGTTCGTCCGTGCAATAGAGGTCGGCCTCGACGCTGTTCTGCCACAGGAGCACCAGCCTTGAGTGCACCCGCGTTACGCTGCTGTGATCTCGGCGTGTGTATTCGTGCGCAGATGAGGGCAAGCAAGAAATGCAAGGGGAACCAGCACGACAATACGAAGGTCGCCTGGGCCGTGAGGAAGAAAACAAATTACAGGCCGCTTTTTCACACAAGCAGCAACATGATGAGCGCGAACTATCACGTAGCACTATCATAACTTGCGTGTTCACGACTTGGTACGTGAGGCATCCTCCTGGAGTTGCAGTAGGACTACCGATAAGGAAACAGCGCTACTAAAGACATACGTGCAAAGAGCTAGCTCTGCAATTCATTAGATCATGTTCCCCCAGACCGGAGGTCATGCCGATGCTTCGCTACGCTCTTGTGCTCCAACGTTTTTCAACCAATCGGAGAACGTCGCCTCACTGGAAATAACCCCGCTGCAACCGCATCCCTCTCTCGTGTTTGGAAGAGACCCATCCCGAAGGACCAACAGCAGCGAAGGGGGTGCATAAAATAACTCGCAGACCGTATGCTCACCTGCCCGGCGTGATGTGGTCACGTATCATTCGTAACAACTTTTGGCGTGTCAGCATGCATGCACGAGTGCTAGCGACGAGATCCACAGGAAAGGGCGGGGGCGGAGGGAAAGGATTTCAGCACCGACACGTCATGGTCTGCAAGTACGACGCGAGGACAACCTAAGCTGCCATTCCAGGCGGTCCTGCGCCGCTGTTGCATTGACACTGTCGGCAGCCGCCAAATTTGCGGTACTATTTCATCGTAGGCGGCAGCGCAAAACTCCTCTCGGTGCACTATTGGCGGGGGGTCGGTTCCTGTCAGTCAATCAAACCGGTAGACACGAAGGACCAGGGACGTGCACGCGCCGAGCTTGGTTTTCTCCGAACTTACACATTCACTTGGGTTAACACCGGTTCCGGCCGCGATCATCACCACGTTCCGGTGGGCAGGCGGAGGGGTGAGCCAGTGCTTCAGGAAGGGTCCCTGCAGCTGCACCGCGGTGCTGTCCGAGTTCTGGTGACCGCCCCACGTACCCAACCACAACACCAAAAAAAACACGGATAATCGGTGTTACCAATGGAATATGGATCATTCCTCCCAAACAGTCGATCACGTGTGTCGGTAGATCCATCGGTGGATCCGTTGGGCGGTCGAGATAATTTGTTGTTGGCCGAGATGAACATGTGATGGTGTTTGTGTGTCGAGCAATGGCGGCCCGAAGCGCAAATGTCGCGACGGTAGGCACAACCTACAATACCAGGAAAAAAGCAAGGGGCATAAGGCGGAGGGAAAAGGTACTCAGCAGCGAACAGGACAAAAAGTGGTGCACACATGGCGGGCGTTGGCGCTGTCCTGACACAATCCCTACCGCGTTTTCGTCACGGACCAAGCACGTCCCACGTGCGCGCCGACTCTCTTGACAAAGCCATCAACAACTTAACAACCCCGGTTGAGCGAAAAGAGGAGATCGTCATTGGACGTTGGGGAGGTTGTACCCTTTATGTGATCTCCGCAGATACAAGACCCTTCTCTATTTTTTTCCATTGAGCGCGGCCTTTGCAGCTAACGCGGCCGGAGAGACGATGAGCGTTTCGTGCGTCTCTCTCCCCAACACGTAGCCTAGAAACCGAAGAAATAATGAAGCAATTCGAAAGAAAACAAAATAAAAGGAAGGTTTGTTCGTCGAAGCAGATAGAATAAACTGGTGTTTATTTTGTAACAGTCGAATTAGAATTTGGTTTCATTTTCTACCGGAAACCCAGGGTCACGGTGTTTGGAATTATTAGTCTATAGTTGGGGGTGTCATTCCGTGATCGAGTCCACGCAGGGGCTGTAGCAAAGTCGGGTAACGCGTGACAGCTAAAGAGCGCGTGAAGCAACGGAAGGACAGCAGCAGCCGCCTAACGCAGTAGCGGCGGCAGTTTAGAAAATCCCGCCCTCCCATCCCTTTTCTTTCGAAGGTGGGGGCATAAGTTCGGGAATATTCGGTATCTAGTCAGGTGTTGTAGAATGGTGTGTGCCATTTGAGGACTTGGTCAGTTTTGGGACTCCTGCGTTTGCAGTCGTAGTCCCCCGGCTAGTATTTGTGGGGAAAGAGATGGATTTGTAAGAGTTGACGCCGGCCTTTGCAGCTAACGCGGCCGGAGAGACGATGAGCGTTTCGTGCGTCTCTCTCCCCAACACGTAGCCTAGAAACCGAAGAAATAATGAAGCAATTCGAAAGAAAACAAAATAAATGCTAATTTCCAGGGTTCGAATCTCCCCTCGAGCACAAGTTTCTTTGCGCCCGAATTTATGAGGAAGCAAAAGTCCGGGGAAATAGACTTCGCCAAACAAGCCGATGAACCTCTTGTACCGATAGTGATTTCCGGGCAAGAGAGCGCTGATCACAGGGATGGCCACCCTGGGGGGACGTGTGCGTGGCTGCACAGAAAGCCAGACTGGACACGGGCATTAACTTTTGTTGAGAAGCACGATGACCACTACACCACCAGTCAGCGCTGACTTGTGGTCTGCTGACTGGTGGTGTAGTGGTCATCGTGCTTCTCAACAAGTTTCCCCCAAATATGTTGTTGCCGCCCAAGGAACGTTTGATTTCGGTAAATTACTACCTTATTAACATCACTTGCGGCAACAACTGCCCGACCCTCCCTGCGATGCCATCCTGTAGTTGTTGTTCGATATCCTCCGCGAGTGGTGGAATTTCTTACGAAGGACTTGTTCAGGCCAGCTTGTGGCCAAAGAAACCTGTTTCTTTGCCTTGAATGAAAATAGGCGAGATGTGCTGAACGTATAGTAGTGAAAACAGCTTTCCGCGTGAACATAACACAGGATGGGTGCAGCCAGAGGTCAGAACATTATTTCAATACAAGACAACGCCAACAAAAAGGACAAACGCATGTCAAAATCACAATCCAAACGGGTGCAGAGGACCAAACATCGATTCGGAAGTATTTCTTTCCCTGAATACGAACCTCTAGGTCTGATGGCGAACGGGGGTTCGGCAGATTCTCCCCAGTAATACCCACTTCCAACTGGTCCTACCAGTACAGTCATGGGCCCTCAAACGGGCGGGTTGTACGGGGAAGGGTTGTACGTATTGGGCGGGTGAAATCTCACTTGTTTACATACTTTGAATAAGGCGGGCACCTGCTATAGGGGGGGTGAATCGTCTTGCCACCTACCCGCTATTGTATCGTGGCCCTCTGCAATTACATTCCAAAACAAAGATAGCCGCTACAAGAACACGTTATCTACATCTGTCTGTGTGACTCACCAGGGCTGCCGCCGTTCCTGGGCAGGCGAAGACAAACTTGTGCACAGGCCGCCCGCCGCCGTCACACAGCTTCTCGTGCGCAAGGGATACACGTGGAAGGATTGGAGCGGGTTCCTCGTCCTCGCCACCCTGCGCGGGACTCTGAGCGTACTGTCGTCCTGGTGGATCGCAAACAAAACACATAAAACAAGTCGCGTCGAAGAAGGGAAGTAACATGAGTTAGGTCGGCGGGATGACGGGGGGTGTTACCGTATCATGCACGGCCGTAGTATTCCGACGTACGTAAGACCCTCGCACCGCCACCACACGTCGGGGACGGAGGTTGCACCCATGGGGGGGCATCGATTGCTGTATAGGTGTTCAGGGAGAGCTGCACGAAAGGGCGGTCGGTGTGCGTGTGTTTAGTTCGGTCTTGTACGCGTCGAGATCCAGCATGGGCTCTCTCATAGTATTGGTTGAAGCATTGGAACGGGGATTTCTTAGCATTTTCCGGGCAATATTCGATTTCGATTACGTTGCAAGCCCCGCAATTTTTCGTTAATGGTATTTACGAAAGGGTCCCAAAAAGAAAAATATGTTTTGTGTTTAGTTCAATGTGAAAGACAATCGTTTTGTAGGCTGTGTACAGGCAACCCGAACTCATCAACACATCAAACACCCCACAATTGGATTTTAATGTTTTGGATGGGACATTAGTCCGACAAGGACCGCCCTGGGTCTTGTTGAGGGTGATTTAGCCTTCGTGGGAAGAACGGGGGGTCCCTGTACAATCACAGGTGGGACACACGATGACTCACCAATCCCGCAATTCTGAAATTGACACGACATATCTACGACGGAAACCCACAAGTCAAGATGTATGCCATAGTTGCCTAAAATTCCGCAATAATACCAGTGTCGTGTTCTTCGTGAATCCCCCCCAGATAAAGGTCGTATTGTCGCACGGTGACACAAGACGCCGTCCCCCTCTGTCGGCGGCCCTCGCTTATCACGTGATATTCTAACTCTTGAAAACAAGAAGCACACAAGCGAACCAACCCGCGCGCCACAGGCATGGAGAGCGACACAACAGCGTGACCGATGTCATAGACAAGTCAACCTAATGGGAGAAGGAGGAAGGGATTGGCTACGATGTTCTCCTCTCTCGGCAAATGTCTATACTGCGCGTCCGAAACCACTGCCTTTATGTACCTACCCCACGGCCTACTGCACGTCAATACCGGATTACACGTAAGGACTCCCACTTGGCATGCCCCATGCCATCTGGATGCCATCTGGTCAAGAAGACTCCCACCCCACCCCACCCCACCTCACCCCCACTCATCAACAAGTACAAGAACCTCTCATCACCTCCAACTTTTATACAAAAAAATGTCTTGAACTGCGCGTATGCGCCACCGCACCTGTATTTCGGTTTCCAACAAGATCTCCCCTCCGGTGAGGGAAAACAGGTATAGATACATAGACAACTTCTGAGACATTCTGATGCCGTCTGCCCCCCACACCACATGCTCCGGACAACCTTGATCAGATTGTTTTCGCCATCGACTCACCCCACTTGGCGTTCTCCGAGTTGTGCGAGACAGAGGTAGTGAAAACAGCTTTGATAGCAAGGGGGAGTAACGCTTTCGTACATATCACCTGTTGTAGTACCATAAGGGGGGTTGGGCTGGGCACAGATTCCATTGGGGTGCATTTTTAATGTGGCATCCGTGTCGGCATGAAGAAACTCTATTTGGTTCTCCCCCACTTCAACACCAACTACACAAACAACGGATATGCAGAAACAGGACAAACTAGGCACAACCATCTCCAAGCGTACTACAGGAGGGTTATAGGGATAAGGTTAGGGTATAATGGTACAGAGGTACACGGTATGGTCTGGATTATGTAAGCCGAAAATGACCGCAAACACGGTCCGTGGGCCCTCAGTCACGACACCCCCACCTGTGGCAAGGGGAAAACTCGTACAGTTGCTGCCGTTGTTCTTCTCTTCACATCAAAACCGTATTGACCTCTATCCAGTTCCCATGGGGTTAAGAGCTAACTAATGATTCTGCTGATTGCGGAGCGAGAAGCCGACATGGCTTCGGGTCACTCGGGAAAAACAACACGCAGGGGACGAAAAAGAGTCCTGAACCCTGCGCACCAAACACACGACCATACACTCTTGGTGCATCTCCCACCATTGGTTGCCGATGAACGACTTCTTGCCCTTTCGGTACCTAACCCAGACAGAGGAAGAGAGATAGGGGCAGGTAGATAAGACATAGGATGATCGAAAAGCAAAAGTAGTAGAGCATAAACTTCGAGGAGGGGGATACAGGCGAAAACAAGTTGCGTCATTTTCCGCATTTACCTACCCGTGTTGATAGGGAGGGATAGATGTGGTACCGCATGGTGGATCGCTCGGCCGCTTCAACCCACAAGCTTACGATGAAAAGACCAACGACAATCGTTCGCGCATCGGGACCACTTGGCCTTGCTGAGAAATTTCGCGAAAACAACGCTAAAGGTGGCATGCCTAAAGCAGGCAAATAAACACGCATTCAACCCGTCCTCCCGGGGCTACGGATTGAAATGACCTGTTGAACCTAATTGATGTAGACCCTAACAGTCAGCAGACGCAAAGCAATACACCGTGGGCATGCGGACGCAAAGCACTCAGTCACCGGGGACACAAACACACACACAACAATACTATGCACGCAGTCCACCGGCTTGGAACGACTTGCATGCACAAAGTAGAGCCGGCAGGTCAGAAAATCTTCCGTTCGTTGGGCGATTTCACCTTCGAGGACCGAACCGCAGCTGTACGTCCGAGCAGTGTACCAGCACTATTCGTTCTCCAATGCGGTTATTTCACTTCTATATTCAGCTAGCCGCCCGGCGGTGGATACCTGTTGACGTCATAAATTGCAAGTCGACCAAAGGTGGCAGTGATGAGGTATGTCTTGTTCACGTTTTCACGGGAGTCCCCTCACCGGGCTTGGTAGATCTCGTAAGGCGCGATTCTCATCCACGCCACCAGCAGCAGGGCGCCGTGGAGAGAGTAGTACTCACTGGAGTCAGAGCACTGCTCGTCAGCGACCGAGCCATCCTTTAAGTTGATCTGGGCCGCCCCGCGTTGGCTGTTGGGGTGCTTGCCGATGCCGTCCCCGGAGCGCCAGGCGTAGATAATGGAGGTATCTTGGGAGGGATATATGTCGTCGCTGAGAGGGTAGTCCTGATGTGTTGTGTAGTAGCAGAGAGAGTGGCAGGGCTTCTGCTTTATGCTGCTTCAAATGGTGAGGGCTGGAAGCGCGCTGGGCCGGCTGGAGTTCATATTTCGTTTGCCCTTGCCGCATTGCGCTGCATGAATGTTCAACTACAGTCGTCGCTACGCTTATTGCTGGAATGATGCCGATGACACAGAGAACCCTACCTCTCACTTGTACTATTCCTCAACCTACCGCTGTAGTTCACGGCCAGCTTTCGCCATGGCTTCTGTAGGGCAATCGCTTCCGGCGAGCACCGTGTCAAGTTACTTTTCACTTTGTCGTCGTGCGTCAACACGAATCACCCGCTGACACGGAGCAGCTTCGTGGACGACATCGCTTCGTATTGTTCACTGAAACATGACATGACAAGAACTCTGGAGTCTGTCTGATTGCACGAAATATTCGCCTACACGTGTGGCCGCAAGGAGCTCCGCCCGCACACCCATGGTTGTTGAGTTTCAGATGCGAAATACCACGGGGATGATTTTCAGGAGAGGGGAAGAGCGAAAGTCTTGCTACATCCTAGATAACAATTTCTGCTTTGACGACGCCCATTCAAACTGCATCTCTTGCTTTCAATTGACGCTGCGGCGCGACGTTTCTTTGCGATATAAGTTTACCCTTCCACATCCGGGCAACAACAACGAGATTGACCCTGATGCTGACCCTCTTTCGATTTCGCCCGTTCCTCCCTTACCGAGTCGTCGGTGCCCTCGCCGGAGAGAGCGAAGGTGACGCCGGTCCACTGCCCGTCCACGCTCATCCTTACCACTTCGAGCTCGTTGTTCTCCTCGTCATCCGGGGGCGGCTTTGACCGGCTGCACAATTCGCGAGACACCCCCCCCACGACATGTTGGCCAGTCGCGATCAGCACGATCGACGCGAACTTCAAGAAACGTAAAGGAAAACAAAGATCGCCTCGCGCGGCAAAAGGTACAAGTGCTTTTTTTCTCTTCTGGGTTCCGAGGAGACGGAAGGGCTTGTCATTGGCTGGCCGAAAACGCGGTCGACAACACAATGCGACTTACCTAAAAACATACTTGCACGTTAATCAGGTTATGTAGAAAAAAGCGAGGGCAGTCCCAACGATGCCTAAGCACCAAATGCACGACACCGACGGGAAACTGAGGGACATTGTTTTCGCAGATTTCGCAGATTTCGCAAGTCTGTCTGTCTGTCTGTCTGTCTGCACTCACCCCCCGGGCCCGCTGTGGTCTGTGCACTCGGCCGAGGTCTCCGACTCGACGACGTAGATGACGAAGTCGTCCGTGGTTTCCATGCTCAGCCCTCCGAACCCGATTGTCTTTGACACAACGAGAACAATTGACAAGGCATCAAGGGTGCGGCTCGGAGGTGGACACGCACGAACGACAGCAGGAGCACCACGCCATCAAAACAAGACACCAACCAAGAGGCAACACAACATAGGGACATATCGGTTTGAGCGAGACACACACGAAGGGCACGCAGTACAGAGGGAGCATTAATCTCATGCACAATTACCAGCGAGAACCGCCCACGATTTTCGTCCGAACGGGAACGCTGCTACGATGAGAGAAATATCCACAAAAAAATCCCGTAGTATTCGCAACGGCCGTAGCGGAGTGAGGGAGCGAGCCTCGTTGTCGTTGGCACAGCGGCGTTTCCATAGTCCGTACGATCCAACCCGAGGGATAAATGCTAAATATAGGCGTGTTTGGCGCTTTCAAAGACAGTTTTGTATCTATCCTACAACCATGCTTTGAACCAGACACCGGGAATCGTACAATGGCACTGTACCCTACACAAACGGCGGAGTGCCCCCGCACCACCCGCCCCCCTCACCCGAGCAACACAAAATGCTGTGTGCGTTACCCCCCCCCAAGCAACACGGTCACGTCAACATCCGCGCAATACCCCATCGCGCATGCCTCTCCTTGACTGCAGCACATCATGAGCACTCACGATCATGCCCTGCGCCTCGATACCCCTCGCTGAGAGGGTGATGAACATGTCCCCGCCTTCGTCGACCAAGTCCGACTGATTCCAGGCCAGCATGTAGCTTTGGTGAATGGGTTCCACGGTGGACATACACACGCACAGCGAGACGAGAGGACAGGGGCAAGTATTGAAGAATGCTCGCCGTAGACATAAGGGGTGCTACGCGTTTTGTTTTGCCCTAATGCTGAGACCGTTGACTGGGCGAGCCTCTCGTCCGGGACGGAGGAGAGAGGTAGGGCTACTGGGCTCCCGCGCTCTCTCGATTCAATTCGGGTTTGAAGCAGCACCCCTCACCCAACTCGTCGACCCGCCCCCCCAAAAAGTACCACCCCGCGCCACGAACACTAACCCTTCTGCGAACGTCACTTCGTTGATCTCGGTGGAGGAGCAGTTGGATGACGTCACCATATCGGGGGCGGACAACTAGTCGAGCGGAATGGATGCCACCCTCGAGTTATTGAGGATGAGGTCAGTGAGAGTCCACAGCGCGGGGTCCTCGTTCTGGGTGGAGTGGGAGTGGTGATGCCGGTCTCCCACGATGGCTCAGTACAGCTGCTCCAGAAACACCATCCACATATAAGCGAGAGGGGGCGGGGGGGGTACGGCGAGCGAGGAGGAAATGAAGCTGGGATCAGAAGAGCGAGGGCAAGGAGGGGAGAGCTCCTTGGCCGCCGTCGGACACGGGAGAAGCTTGCGTGGGGCGCGACGAGCGCGTGCATGTGGGTACACCTCGCCTGCATCATGCCGCAAGAAATCCAAGACCATGGAGATAGCCTCATTCTCTTTCCCTCTTTCTCTCTCTCTCTCGCGCGCGCTCGAAACGTGGCCGAGGGTGCGCACAACAAAAGTGCAAGCATGTTTCACACTGGGTTGGGTAGCCTTCGTATATTTCCGATCAAGACGAGGGAAACTCCAACGAGTTACGCCATCTGCAGCACCAATGCTGGGCTACCAAACAGCACCCGAAACGATACGTCATTTGCAGGTGACAACCTACACCCGACATTCTTTGATAGGGCAATAAGGGGTGATAGTTTCAAGAGACAGAATAGCAGGGAGTCCCCTCACAAAAAAGTATGACGCCAAACTCTCAAATGTCGAAGGTACTATCGCGCGATTGACGTTGACACAATACGCGAGACACCACCGATCCGGGACGCTACCCCTTCTCCTTGCAAGCAAGCAGCGACAAAAAAGACTCGTCCTGCTCGGTCGACTAACACTCTTTCTTTTGCCCGCAGCAGGGTATCCGCGAACAGGCCGATCCCTTCTTCCGTCTCCGCCAGCGCCCCCGTGTAGGCGTCCAGCAGGTCAACGTCGTTGCCGCAGGCCACCCGGAGCGTTGCCTGCACCGTCGTGTCCGACGTGATCTCGGCGAAGGTGTCGAACCGCGACAGCCCGTATTCTTCTCGGCGGGCGTCGTTGTACGACGGGACACCTTGACGGGGCGAGCACGAGAGGTTCGAAAGGGGAGCTTGACGTGGAGGAGGGGAATACCGAACGGTGAGGACGGGGCGGGGCGGCATCGGACCCGAGGAGAAAACCAAATGACGCTGTCGAAGAGAGGATGAGATACGGCAGCGCGCGCAAGAGAGCTGTTCGGCTACCAGTGGATTGTATCGCAGGGGAAATACGTGTTTTTCACCACCCCTCGAACTTTGTCCAATGTTGGTGAAACCTGTCTCCCAACTTCACGACCGGCCCAACCAGCGCACGTTTGCTCGGGCTTGTACAATCCAAACCCGTCGGCATGACATGACGCTCCCACCCGGTCACGGCGAATACCGCGGTCCTCACACACTCTGAAGGGCTACGTAGCCCGCCTTCCAAGAAAAAACGACGACGTAGAATCAACATCGCTTCCATGTTTTGCCACAGCCAAAGAAGTTAGGAGATTCCGATTTCATTAGGCGAGAGTAATGGTGGTCGAGAAGATCATGTTGTGCGGGGCGGAGAACCCTCACTCCGCGCAAGGGGGATGATCGCACCACGTTGTGCCAAAATGGTCAAGCACTCTCGAGGCAGTTACAAAGTTCTTACAACTGTCTTGGAAACTACAGCACCAGAAAATAAATTAAGCCATACGCAGCTGTCATCCGTACGCAAGGAAGTAAGCATAAGATGCCGAACACCCGTAGCAGGATGCAGCGCACCCTTCACGCGACTCGCCGAATACCTCACGGCGCTTCGTGCTTGGTGATGTGAGAGCCTGGCCCGGTGAGAACCCGGCGTGCTCCGTTCCGGCTTTGTAGGAATGCGAGGTCAATGGTCCAACGACTACGGCATGCACGACTATGAGTACACCCTCCCCTCCCCGCCTCGTCACGCTCACCATGATCGCGCCCCCTCTGGGATGACCTCGACGGAGGAGTTGAACAGAGGCGATGACACCGAAACCTCGGCGACAAGCGGGGCTTCAATGCCACGAGCGCGTGCGTAGGAGGCTCCCCTGATGATGGGCGCTATCCCGCCGATTCGTGTCACGATCCCGGCAAGATCCGCGTTCGCAGTGCACAGACGACTCGGGAGGGGGGGGTTGGGAATGACATCGCGGATCGATGAACCGTATCCCCACTGCACGCCCACGCTGTAGTTTCGACGACAAATCGCCCATGCCTCGACTCTCTCTCATTTAACTATCGGAGCTCTGGTCAGCGAATCGTAGATCGAATGCGACATTTGAAGGTCGAGCATAAAGTTCCAATCTGAAAACATTTGGTTTTTTCCATTGCGCGTCTCCGTTCTCCACGGTTTTCAATCCAAAGGCGCGCAAGATTGTTTCGCTTTCTAACCTCGCCTCGATAGAAAATCAAGGACCTCGGTACCCCCAGCCATCGCAGCGGCTTCAGCAGCCAAGTGTATGCATGGCAGGTTTGGTATGCCGTATAAACTGCTTCTCCATTGCTTCGTGTGTGAGGCGGAGCAAAACCGGTCGAGATTAATAACCGTCTACAGCTGTGAGGATGAAATGGTGTGTTTGTGGTATCTGCGGCCTCAAGACAAAAACTGTGCCAGCACGGACGCACCCAGGCCATGATTTCGAAGCCGTCGTCCAGGAGCCCTACCGTCGACGGGAGGGCAGAGTACAACGCCGACGCTGCGACGGTGGCGAGAACGACGTCCGTCCCGTCGTCTCTCCCGCGGCGTCGTAGCTGCCGTTCGAATGCGCGAGGTACCTTCACACCATTATTAGACAAAAGTGCCGCTTCCTCCATGGAAGGAAGTTGGATAAGGTATTCACTTCAATGGAACTGAAGATATGAGTCGTGGACGTGCCACTTCCATAGAAGTCAGCTTCCACGGAAGTCCAATGTAAATCCCATGGAAGAAGTGTAATAACTTCCATGGAGGTCGAACCTTTGGCTTCCATGGAAGCTATTCAAAACAGGCTTTAGGGTAGCTTCCATGGAAGTTCTCAGCCTCGGGTTAGCTTCCGTGGAAGTCCCCTTCGGGATCAGGGTTAGGGGGTAGGGTGCTCGGGTTAGGGTTAGGAAGCTGGCACGACCACATGTCCAAACGCTTCCTCCGCGGATGTTGCTTTCATGGAAGTTTCGGTTCTTCCACGGAGTCGGTTCGACCTCTGTCATCCACTTCCTTCCGTCTTCAAAGTTGCGCTCATGGTAGTGTTCGTGATTAAATGGAAGTGGCAGAGACTCTGTCGAGCGACGAGCTTCCATGGAGGAAGTAGAAGTGCTACTTCCTTCCATGGAACCTCGTCGCGCTTCTGTGAAAGTCCGAAATGCGACTTCCATGGAAGCAACGAGCGGTTGATATCGGGTACTTCCATGGAAGTGTATCAACTTCTAGGAGGAAGCGGATAAACTTCCATGGAACATGTGTTTACCGCTTCCATCATGGAAGCATCATGGAATATGGAACCCGAAACAGACGAACATATTCGATGGAAGTCAATTTCGACTTTCTCCATGGAAGCATATTACACTTGTCAAATAGTGTAGCGCTGACTGCGTTTACAATGTACTCTGTACTCTTCGATCTCGGAACACGTTCCGCGCGGCCTCCGGCTCTCCCCCACCACAGAACGACCCCGGGCCCAAACATCGAGCGGAGAGCCCCCCTAAACTCTTGCACAATAGTTTGTTTGGCAACATATCCTATTTGAGTCGTGCTCCCCGCGTAAGAGGGTTTGTCGCAGTTTGGGGTACATGTTTGTTTGGTGAAAAGCGCATGGCACATGATGAGAAAAGGTGCGGGAGGGGTATGGGGGCAGAGGTAAGATCTGGTAACCTTTCGCAAGCATCAAAGCCTGTTACGAGAGAATGAATCGTCAGTGCATCCACCCCGTCCACCCGGCTGGCTCGATTGAGGAGCTACAAACGTCTTGTGCTTGGCAGTTGGTGGTATCATTCCTTCCAAACGTTAAATGGGCTGCACCTTTAGTGCCCACAGCTCCACGCGCGCACTAGTCTCGATGGGGATGAGCCGTCATGAAGCAGAAGCATTGTCTGGGATATTTCCAGAATCACCAGAATCGCCAGTCATCAACATGACATCATCCTGTTTTGTTGAAAATATCTCGATCTTGGCTGTATATACAACGCATTCCGAACTAAAAAACTACAATCATTTACGAAAGCACGTCGCAATAACTCCACATTGTCAGCAGGCTCAGCATACGCACTTCTGTACTCACCTACACCCCCCCGGGGTCAACAGCCAACGAAATCACACACAGAAATGTTTCAGCATCCAGAGCAACAAAATCATCGTTTGCATGAAACTGGGGTCCATGAGGCCACAAAGCGTGTATTGGCCAACTTAAGCCTTGGCTAAGAAAGCGAACTAGAACACCCGAGAGTACAAAGAAACAACATCTATAACATATGAATGAGGTACCGGAGTTGCAACCTTGCGCAAAGGAAACTGCAGAAACTATAAAACCTTCACTGGGAATACAGGGACCCGGTACAAACGCTATCCAAAATTGGTGTGATACTTTCTCCATTGGTGTGTAAATAATTCCAATCTTCCTGTGCCTACCTCGGTAAGCCTCCCCAAAATCGAGCTAGATGTATTACGGCATAAGATCGACAACCAGACCAACATGGAGAAGCCTCGCACTTATGGAGCAGCCTCACACTTTGAAAGGGGTAGTCACCAGTCGGCACAACAGGTTGGCATGCATGCATGCCAGAAACACACACAAGACAGGAAGAGACAGGCCAACCTCTCACGACTTGGTGAAACCATGTTCCATCCCGACGGCGTTGTAGGCCCCTTCTAGATCAATTCCTTGCTATTTCCCACCTCCGATATTTATATACAAGAACCCTTTCGAAAGTTCTCTAGGCGAGATGCCATGTTCAACACACCCTACAAATTATTGTTGCAAGCACTATCCTAACGCATTGGTACGGCGGACTCAAATCATCGCTGCTGGCAACAACCTACCTACAGAAAGCACCGGGGAGTCGACGAGCTCCACTAACGGTAAAATGGGCAAACCATGAACGCCACGGAACATAGTGTGGTTACACAAGAATATCCAAAATCCAGCTTCAGGTCGGTCGTCCCTTCCTCCGAATTAAACAAGCTGAGGCCAGAACAAGAGAGTAATTCATTGACTGCAACAAGAACAACGACAACCAGAAAACGACCATCCTACCCACGCGACCTCACTGGCCGGTGAAGAGCACCGAGAGGGACGTGATGGGCAGTAAAAAGAGTGTAGAGCGCGTACGCCCGAACACAGTTTAGCCCTCATGATGAACAAGTCCTAGAGAAAGCACCTACCCGTCTAGGGCTGTTCGCATCAACAACAACCAGCGACTATCCAGAAGGATAAACCCATGTTAGTGACATGATTAAAACAAAGACCTAATACACAACAATAAATCGTTTTGCCCCCCTCTTCATTTTATCTAGCCCCTCGTACTCCACCTAAGCTAACGTTTCGTGCAACTGGAGCCCTTTGACTCCTTTTAAACCGTTTACGACAAAAATCCATGTATGCTCACACGGGTACCTCGAAACACAACGAAAACCCGACATCATTCTCCTCGTGGGGCTACTAAACCCACGGCGTGTTGCCTAGACCTACTCAGCAAAATCATCCACCTTGTTACTCGTTAAACTGACACTTCTGCGGTCTCCGTGACGCCTGACACGGTCGTCGTCACCACCGTCTGCGCGCCCGACCACGCGGCCCCGTCGTTGTGTACCTCGAAGTGGTTGTCCGTGGTCCTCATGGCCGACTGCCCGTCAACAGTGAGGCTCACCACCGGGGTCGTGGTACCGCGTGGCTGCACCTTCCAGTAGTAAGGGTTAGCGGAAGGAGACACGAAGGACGTTTCCTCTCCCGGGCACGCGACGAACTTCCACTCGATGTCCCACCTCCCGTCGCCGGACATGGAGAAGTCGAGGTCTCCCTTCTGGCACTCGGGGCATCTGAAGCAGGGCCAGAGAGTGGAGGGAGGAACAATCAATCAATCTCTCTTGTCTACTTGGGCGGAAGACAGGTCCATCCCTAGTTTCTGGGTGGGTTTCATGTTTTCTGTTGTAGCAACATTCCAAGAGGGAAGACCGAAAAGTGCAACACAGGGCACGCGCCATCACCAGCCATGGTGTTTGCTGGAGAAACAAACGACGGCTCGCTACAGTTACAAGTAGTTGTTCGTGCCCTCTTCTCGCTTACTTGTCCGTGATGAAGGCCTTAAACGTGGATGGGATCGGGTTGTTGCCGGAGCCGCTGCCGCTGGCGGTCCCCTCGACGCATGCGCCACACATCAGCGAATCGCCGTACTGCTCCGCGTTGAGGGCGACTGGAACACAAATGCACAACAGAATAATTTTCGTTTGGGGAAGGCAGGGGGCAGGAGGGGTAAGAATGGAAGAACGAAGGGACACAACATATTCAGTCCGGCGACGAATACGAATAAGGCAGCCAAAGATGTTGAGAAGAGGTTTGCTAGTCTAACGAAAGCCGGACATGCTCGCTCGTCTTGACACGCTTTACTGTTGTTTCGATAAAAAAAAAAATGAAACAGAAAGGATGCATACACACCTGGAATCATGCCGTCGTACATTTCCGGGACATCGTCGAAGAAAGAGCACATGCCTGCCGTCGTGTGACCGTAGTATGTTCCTTCTCCGCTATACTCTTCTCCATATTGTCCGCCACTGTAGCTGGGCGTCGGCGAGGGCCCTGCACATTTTGTGGAGACAAAGGGAAACATGACAAAACTACAGTAGTTAGCATACTCACCCACGGCGAGCCGGTGCAGTGCATTAGGGAACCTCTACATTAGGCTGTTGACTACCAAATCGTATCCCCATTTGTGTGGGATTCCCCTGGCAATTTGAGGTTGAGGTTCTCTAATGCAGAGGTTCCCTAGTGCAGTGGCATTTGGGATACGATATCGTATCCCTGTTTGTGTGGGGTTCCCCTGGCAATTTTAGCTTGAGGTCCCCTAATGCAGAGGTTCCCCAATGCGCTGCACCGGTGTCTGGCATTCAAATTCCAGCGACGCCAGCGCCATTACCCAAACGTTCGCAACGAACGGACAGAGCGATGATACGACGTACCAGGCTCCCGCTTTCGATTGTTGATCATTGAACGGGTATGATGCGCGAAATATCTTGGATGGGTGGTGTCTACTGGTGGGCTGAAGTCTAGTCTTGTGTTTACCGTCGCTGACCTTCTTCGTCGATAATGCACGGGGCTGATCCGGTTTCGCTGCACAGTCTCCCGGAAGCCTTGATTGCATTGCCGCAGCACGAATCGGCGCCGAGGCCGTTCTCAGAGCCAAATGCAGTGCACCCTTCCCCGGCACACCGCCCGCAGCCCAGCGGACAACACACCACGCCGTTGCCGTCGATGCCTTCGATGCCGTTGGTGCATGTATCGCCTGCATTCATATAAGGAGAGGTAACGGAACGAAGTTTAACTTCATGAACAGACCGTCAACGAACAACCCAGCCGCGCGGGTTGAATCGAAAATCTGCGTGAAACATCAACTCCCTGCGTTACTTTACGCTGCGCGCTCAAGTTTTCGTGAGACAGTTATCGCAGTTGTAGATATTCTTTGTCAACACTCATACACCGGGGGGCGATTATGATGCTTTCCAGTCATTGTCGGTTTACTTGTTCTGCATGTATCGAACCCATGTTGTGAGTTCAATAAAAGGGCGAAATGCACATTGGGTGAAGTTAAGCCTATGTTTCAACCTATGATTAAGCACCGCTGCTCGATGTTTCGAGGCCGCTCAACCGAGTGGCCCCGAACGGTTTCTTGTAGCATTCCCTAGACTATTCTTCGTGGGCGGTCCAAAAACACACATCGTGCTACATACGGGAATCGAAGGAGAGAGTTGGGCGTCTGATGCCGACACCCACTTTATAGCCGCTCAACCATGGAAGATAAACGATAAAAGCTATGGGGGCGGTGGGCTCCGTGCGAAGGAATCTCTCGGAAATTCCTCATGTGCGCATGATATGCACCTACTGTATCTGATCCACCAATCTATGACTGACGGCTTTTCCAACGTCGCAATTTTTCACCTTGTACCACAACCGGAAGCAAAAGCACCGGCAGTAGGAGAGCAGATTCCCACGAAAGCTTCATTGTATCGCACTCTCCCGGGTCGACTCGACTTGTCTTGGTAATGTTCTGCCACGGCAAAGAGGAACCGATCGGGATCATCACTATCATCGTCAGCAGAAATCCAAACCGGAAGAGATACGCTCTACACAAAACAAGGCTGTTCGGGACGGAGATTTTTGTATGGCTGGGGCATCAGAAGAGGGGGGGGTGGCGTCTGACACATGTTTCGTTCGAGCAACACGGCCAATGTCTTTGGCTCTCATGCGAAAGGGCGAATGGCTCCGGGAAGAAAGGTCGAAGTTTCTGCACGTCACCCGCTGATAAATCTCTGCAGTGTTTTTTTATTCGCAATGGAGCAAGGGAGGCTTCAAACTACATGAGTAACGCCAAAACAGCATAAAACGAAGAGAGCGTCTTCGAAACCTACGTAATTGTGTGTTCGAGGCTGTCATTTCCCTGCACTCAGAACGAGCCTACGATGAGGTTCCTCGCCAACACATTCATATCACGGTGCTGCCTTGCGGAAATACAGGCAGTGTCTTGCCCCAAAAGAATCCCCGTATGCATGTTACCGAGGAAATCCAAAAGTGCACGCCGACGCTGACGTGTCGAAGGTACACACAATAGGCAACCAACTGGAATAGATAGCTAGGCTGGTGCTGTGGTCAAACCTTGCGGTAAAGTCGAATCGGGGCCATATATTGTAGACAGAAGCGTTGTGTTGGGTTTGGGGGGGAAAGCGTGCGAAAGTCATCCGGCTTGGTTGAAAGATGGCCTGGCCTGTGTGGGTCCGCTCATCCTCTCCTAAGACTGCGTTCAAATTTTCGTTCTACACGTACATGATCACACAGCGGTGAATCTTGATTGACAAGGCTGCCATTGGCATCGAAACACAGAGTCCTACCCTCCTCACATGTTGTGTCTTCTGAAGAGTATCTCCCGTCGACGGTGCTCGCAGGGGCTAAGTGGAAGAAGAAGGTGGAGCTGGAGTGAATCAGTGGGGGAGTGAGGAGTGAGGAGTGAGGAGTGAGGGTAGGAGAGTGCGTTGCCGTGCACTCCTTGGCCACCTTGCTTTCCGTTGGCAGCAGCAGAGCGCTCAGCTGCAAGCACAGTACCGTTGGGAGAGGTTCGTGCTATGTTCGTGGTTGTGATTGGACAAACAACAACAGTCCGCAGTATAATACCAGCCACAATGTTTCAGTTGAGAATTCTGATTCTGACCATATGCAATTTTTCATCCGTTCGGCTCTCGCACGGATTCCCAAGTTCCCAAGCCGTGCCTCCACGCCAACGAGCATGCCTGTGCTGCTGCGGACCGCCCAGCGGCCCGTCGTCTGACACGGAAACTGATGGTTCACACGTCATCTACCCCACACGGCTTCGCATTGTTGCAAAGCACACAGTCTATGGTACGAGATTACGCATATTGACGAGATATGGTAGACTGTGTGGACTGACCACCACATCGTCCTGCATACATACGAGGAAGGGCCCCGACAAGCTGGATTAGACACGTATGCATCGACACAACGCCCGGCGTTGACAATGATTTGAAAATGATGTGCGTTGCGGACCTTGGGACCTTGGTTATGTATAGAAATTCACTCGGTGACGGTTCATGACATGGGCAGAATGCGTACTCTCAACGAGGCTACAGTACTCTGTACCTTGGACATGAGTTTTTTCAACATCTCAGAGTGTGAAACAGGGCAAACGCACGGCGCCATTTGCAGTTTCATGATGTATGTGCGGATGGATACACAACGACAATGCACCACCATCTGGCTGATGGTCCCCTGCCAGCGTCTGAAACTCTTGTACTCGGAGAGGCAGATGGCAGACCTCAAACCTCATGGACCAGTAATTGTGCGCACCAATTTCGCACACACACGTCCATTTCGCTTCTCCAGTGGCATCATGAAACTAAACTGGTAGGGTATGCTCTATACAACAAGAATGAGTGCATGCAATACATAGTCTACATACGTTGATACGTGCAGATTGAATGCATACGATTGTCCTCCTCGCGGGTTGTTGCGAACAAGGGAGCACTGATGGTGTCCATCCAGAGCACACATTCGCGCTGCAACAGTAGTGGTGCATACACGCATACATACATACATGCCGGGGTACATGCCGGGGTTTCACTCACCTAGCTAGCTGGCGTCAGGCAATCGATTTCCTCCTCACTCAACAAGCTAAACATGTAACGTATTCCTGTAGACAACATACCCGCGGTGGAGCCTGACACTGTCAAAATAAACGTTGGAGGTCTGAATCTGAGTATCTAACCAACAACAACGTACATGTAGAATGAGGGTTCGATCGGTGATTTTCGGGTATGTTTTTCGCCGTGCAAATACCACGCCCGCCTGGTGAAGGGTGATGTACAGTATACATTGTTCGGCCATTTGATGGACATGTCCGTGGACAACTTTGCGGACGCGTCCATGCACATAGTCTGCATGTCCTTGGACTCGCGCGGACGCGTTCGTGGACTTCGAAGCGTCCGTGGAGGTCCAGGGGTACGATTTTTTCCCTTCGTTTACTGTACCTCTTTCTTTCGTGGTATGCATATTTTTTTTTGTACTGGCTGTGCTGGTGTTTGCGGCACGCGAACGTGCAAAAACCTACTTCCCACTCCCCCTGCTCATACACCGTCAAAATTGCTAGAACCTCTCTTTTTCCTCCCATGCCAAATACAAATGACGATGTAACATACATGAAATGATCGACCCTGTCTTTACCTGTGGTCCACGCTGCCTACTAGTAGGAGAGGTAGCCATACCTTCTGCCTACAAACGGGTGAGATAGGGGGTCATACCCACTGCATCTAACACACACCCACATGTCGGTGTTGAAACCTCAACCACATGCCTCTATCGGCGACCACGTCAGGAGGCAATGCCGAAATAATGCGAAAAAATGTTCTCCCGTGCCATTTGCACATTTGCAGATTTAATAGCACGAAATTACACGAAATTACACGAAAAGGTAAGAAAATGGTGAGACCACGCTCGTGTGTCCGCACATACCCCGAAATGTATACACACATATACAGACCCAAATACCCGGTACATACGCGTACCACATTGAACATACGTTTGAAAACCGAGGAAGATTGCATTCCATATGGCTAAAAGGGTGCCACACACAAAACGCCCGACCAGTACCTAACACATATCATCTGCAACCCAACATAACATATATGAGACACACAAGACAACTACCAAACTGTCTTGTTGAGCCTGTTACCCGCAGGGGAGATGTCCCTATATGCTGTCTGGGAAATCGTAGACATACAGGTACTTTTCTGACGCTATGAATCCATTGCTAATCTGTCTCAGACTCTATGATGGAGATGGTTTCGTGGTGTCATAATAAGAAAAATAAAAAAAAAACCTTGTCACCAAATAGTTGTTTGGTAAGTTTGAGATAATTAATGGTTGTGTGAGGCGGGAGGGGTACAACAGGCGGACGAGACGGCCAGGGAAGACAGGAAACGCGAAGAGGCGGACCGAGTGGGGCGCGAAATACTCTGTGCCCGATTGAACCCCTTTGCTTGACTTACCGTATGACACAATACAAGAAGATAACACACCCCCTGGACCAATTTTCAAAGATCGATTACGCCACGACGAAGAGGATGCATAAATGAAACACTACCTTTTCGGAAAGCTCTCGACGAGACAGCTTCAACGGCACCATTTTCAGCGCGGTGTCTCTTTCTGTTGTTGAGCAATCGAGATTTGAAAATCGGTCCAGGGGGTGTGTTATCTTGTGTCATTTTCGGTATCCCCTCCCCGGCACTGCACCATTGCCCCAACCTCCTGCGAACGATGACGTGCATTTGCTGGCTCGGGTGGCCCGCTTGGTGTTGTTGTTATGTCTGTTGTTCTTACGTTTGTTCGTTTTCTGTCGCTAAGGGGTGTGCCTTTCTCTGTGTCTTTTTCCTTCTCTTTCCCTTCTTCCATCCATCTGCTCTCTTTTTGTTTTTGTCAGTATAATGACCCAACGAATCCATCTCTATGTAAGAGAAGAGTCTACATGTATACGAAGATAGATTAGCAGTGAATGGATCCATAGCGTCAGCCAAAGTTCTGTTTTTCCATGATTTCCCGAGCAGCACATACCCCGCGGGGAACGAACATGGTCAACAAGAAGACAGTTTGGCAGCAATCTTGTGCATCTCTCAGTATGTTATTTTATGCTGGGAAGGTGTAGATGTTTATCTCTATTTCTTTTTCTCATTCCTTTCCTTTTCCAGTCTAGGATTACCTCGCATAGCGTGTAGAGGCGAGCGGAGTGGCCTAGACTACATGTGGTTGACTTTTTTTTACTTGCGGACTCTTCGATCCTTTTTTATTCCTTATACCTTTTTGGGGTAAGTTAGCCTGTGACCACGCGAATCGACCCCGTCAAGTGTTGGACAATCTTCTTGTACGGACAGAATAAGGTACTGGGCCCAGAGAGAACGAAACGGTTTTTGATGTGAAGTCAATCACAACAACAACAACACCCGGCACCGGAAGAAGATTGCTACTTCGTGATAATAGCTGTGATGGATTGGGGGGCGGCACTGCTGGTTTGGTTCTCAAGAGTGCTTGGGGACAACCCCCCAAGCTAAAGTAAGTCAGAACTTGCCATTGCTTCTGCGACAAGTCCGCGACATTTGACCTTGGGCGAACATGGCGAAAGAACACAAACAAACGACACACCAAAACCAAAGGATGAAAAAACATGCGTCGAAACGTCATCAATCCAAGCTTGTTACTCAAGCCGGCAACATTCCGGAGAGGAACCGTTCATGAGCCTACGGCGGCGGTGGCATCACCTTCTTTGCCACTTGCAACGCCGTACACAATTATTGCAATTTGCCGTGCGTTGTACTTATTCACTCCCCCAAGCCCCTCCACCTCCTCCCTGAACAAGACAAAACCGCCGTTTCTTCGAGCGATTTCGCGTCGAGCGCCTTCGCCCCCCACCTCCTCCTCCTCCTCCTCCTCCTCCTCCTCCCCGCTCTCCCCCACCCCCCCCTCCTCCTCCTTCTTCCTCCTCCTCTTCTCCTTTCCCTTCCTGTCCGCCGCCTTGCCCTCCTCGAATTCCTCCTCCGAAACAGAGCTCTCTTCCTCAACTGAGCCCCCCTTCTCTGCTGACAACTACAGTAATCTGAGCGTGACTCGCCTGTACTACTGTATCACTAACCTCCCCCTGCCCCAGGCGAGACCTTACGGCGTGCTACGGGGGCTTTTCCAGCCGTACTCTTCTGGTGTGGGACCGTTCG